TCCATTCTTTGTTCCATTTAATTCTGGACAAAGAATTGTATCATGATGCATGACATCGCATGTAAATATTATTGTTGCTAGGCTGCTTTCTTACATTTTGTAAATTCCGTCGTGTATGTTTTGTTTTATAAAAGGGCCAAGGGCCTGCTTTAAGGCCCCTGAAAATGTTGGATTCTGGATGCACTGTGATGAAATATACTGAAGTATATACTTAAACTTATAAACCCCGAAAGGATGTTTTTTGGTTCAAGTTAAAACAAAATGGTTCCACTGGAAGCGGGTGAATTTCTGTTCATAAAAATATTCACATAGGCCTAAACGATGTAGCTCTTGATATATTTGCAGTGTTATTTGTTTATTACAGGGAATGGCAAATATAAAAGACTAACAGATCTTTATATTTATGATCGGTAGGTGGCAAGTTTGGGGCTAGACAAGGATTTAACGGTCTACTGAGTTTTTATGAGAAAAAAACTTGCAAAGGGTAACCCCTGAATAGCTTTTTTATTAAAACGAAACTACACTGGAACTAGACTTATGTTTGTTTAGTGCCCAAAGTGCCTTCCACTGTAAAAACGTGTACAAATGCTATGGGCGATGGCTGAAAAAGAAGAAGAAAAAAAAGGAAAAAAAAAGAAAAGAAAAAAAAACTTTAACGAAAACAAAGGCTGTTTCGGCCGGTTGCCGAAACAGCCAACTAGTTTCAATGGAAGCCCGTCCCACTCCTATTAGGTTGGGATGTGTGTGACCTTGCTATTTGTTAATGTTGAGTACAGAATGCTAGCAACGTCAATGAAACTTTTAAATGAAAAGAAAAACCTTCAGGGGAAAGGTATGAACTTTGCCCCTATTGAAAGATCGAATGAAAAAAATCGTGGCAAGCATAATCAACTTTGCCACCATTGTCATGGCCGAGGTTATTTTTTTCGGGTCAAAGCTTCCACCATGGCGGAAATATCCTAAACATTGTCATGATTTTAGATACATTGAGAGAAATATCGATTCTGCACTGCCTGAAAATTTAGAAAATACCTCCTGATATTTTACAGTGTTACTTTGTGCTAGACGTTCGAAGCGCCGCGCTTAGCCGCGGCAAAACTAGAAACGAACAAAACGAAGGAGATATTTTTAGAGCAAGCATAATGTATAGCGCAGCGGCGCAATTTCAACGTCGTAGAACACTGCTGGCTGGAACACATATTTGCCCGGGAGTAGGGGGTGCTGAAGCATATTTCAGCACCCCAATCCAAAAAGTTGGGGGTGCTGCAGCACCCACAGCACCCCCCGTTCCCGCGGGCTTGTTATTTTCGTTTCGGACTATTGAACCTTCGGACTGATTAACCTTATTCTAAATTCGGGGTCCGCTCATAAGTCCGACGCCTCATAGGTCCGACGCCTCATGAGTCCGACAAAATTGTATCCCCTAACCAAATGAAGGCCCCTAATTTCGACGCCTCATAGGTCCGACGCCTCATAAGTCCAACGCCTCATAGCTCCGACGCCTCGTCAGTCCGACAAATTAAACGCCTCGTTTTTCTGTTGTCGGACTTATGAGGCGTCGGACCTATGAGGCGGAATAAATAAATTGTAGGCATCAGAAGTCCGAAATTTCGGACTTATGAGGCGTCGGACTTATGAGGCGTCGGACTTATGATACGGCCCCCTAAACAGTGGCGTCACCAGACTTTTCAGTCTGGGGCGGCACATATATTCAATAATGCTGTACGGTAGTATATTGTGAAGTCAGTGAAATGGTCTTCCAATGTCCCAAGAATAACATTTTTGACAAAAACAAACTGTGTTTGTTTTTATTTTCAGCCCTGAAAACAAACTGTGTTTGTTTTTATTTTCAGCCCTGGCTGACTGGTGACCATTCCTGCAATGATCTGGATGATAGTAAATGGTCAAAACAAATGGATGTGGTAAAGACCAAATTCAAGGAGCCGCACAATTTCACACAATTTATTTTCTGCGTGACAAATACCGTTATTGTAGCACTTTTGTCCATATTCAATAATGCTGTACGGTAGTATATTGTGACGTCATTATTACGTCATAAAGTACCCTTCCTGTCATCTGATTTTTTGCATCCTACCCTATTTTTGATCGTAACACATTGGCAAAGCTTTGTAACGATCCTTAGCATTTTTGTTACTATTTTCCGCTTATCTTTGGAACAAGTTTAAACATATTTATGATACTAATAATCAATTATACAAAAACTCTTTTGGCATAGAATTTGAACTTTTCTCTCGAATTTAAAAACAACATCTCACAATACCATACTGTTTGCATGTTAAAACAAAGTGTCAATGTGACTACCCAAAATCTATATCCCCCCTATAGTATGCACGTACTAGTGATGGTGTTATTTGAGGAGGGATACATACGGCCAGGGTGCAGGACGGAGAGAGAGGCGATGAGGAGCCTGGGGTCTGATCTTTGGTGTTGGGGTTGACCTGGGGACTCAGAGTTTTAGAAGACTTTGATTTTTTTGGAATACATGAAAACCGGGGAGGATTAAGTGGATTTTCACCAGTTGTCGACCATCTTCGTTGTCTTCGTTAAGTGGGTTCTTCTTGAAATGATTCCTTATATGGCCACATTCAGTCCGCAAGCAAAACAATTTACAACATAGGTATGGGAAATATTGATATGGATTGGGATATTTATATTTCCGTCGATAAGTACATGTACTTGACGTCCGGCGAAACGACATAACGTAAGATAGACTATCGTCCATGCCAAGAAAATGCATGGACGGCCGAGACAAGCAGTTTGGTATCAATTGTTCTTGGTATCTCTGTCGAAGAATCATCCTAGTAGCCCTTCGCTGTGCTGATTCAGGCCGCTCTTGACATGCTAAGTGCGCCACCCATACCAGGCTGGAGAGAAGTAATCCAACCGAGGCAAGGGCGGATCCGGCGGGGGGGGGGGGGGGCAACGGGGCCATGGCCCCCCCCCCCCCCCAAAAAAAAAACCCACCCAAATTTTTTTTTTTTTAGTGACGTCGCGAAAAAATAGGGTACGTGCATATACCACCATCTTTTCCTTCAAACAAATTGATGAAACTGGTCAGAACTGAAAGTGCCTCAGATTGCACCACAGAGCATTTAGAGTCCGATTTTTTTGGCCCCCCCCAAAAAAATCATGTGTTCTGGATCCGCCCTTGAACAGAGGTACTACCTGTGTCTTGTACATGTACATGTACAATGCCAAGTTTCGTTGGGTGTCGCTGGTGATCAGTCTGATTAGACCAATCATCCGACTGCATTTTTGAGACAGTTTCATCAACTTAAAGGGAAAAAACAACATTTTGCAAACATCGAAAAACTACCAAGTTGTTACAAAATACCATACTAGGATGTTGGTAAATGACAGTCTAAAGCATCCTGTAAAATTATGGCACCTGGTGCGAAGTCATTTTCAAGAAAAAATGGTACTTTCGTGTACATTTCCAACGGTGGTCGGCCGATCACCGTTGGAAAAACTAGTATATTTCAACTACTGCACAAAATTTACCAATTTTTTTTTTAGTCCAGATTTTGTTTGCTGTTGGTTCCATAGCCTAAATGGGTGCCTGCCAGCTAGACTGGGTCCCTTACCTTACAATTTCCGACATTTTTTATCCATTTCATCTTCAGTGGAGTCAGGGAACCAGACTACTTAAATATTTTTGTTTTTTTCCTGGTTTTCCCTGCATTTTCGAAAAGACTTCAAGCATGTCAGTGTAACAATATTTGATCTATTATACTAACCCCCAAATGGTTAACGTTCATTTCTGAAAATCCCAAGACAAATTGCTCCGAAAATAATTTCCAAGCAATTTCATGCTGTGGGCGTGCCCGTACGCACATACGTACCCAACAGACTCTGATCAGATCGATAACAGTGGTCGGGTGGTGCCCTACCTCAACAAAAGTTATTGTGACTGGAGATCGCAATTTTCCTGAAAGTGTGTATTTTGTATGAATTATAAGACTGATTTTTTTTTTAATCAATTTATTGTGATCAGAGTCGTACCCGTCCAATTGTAGAGCTGTGAGACATGAAATAAAAGCTGGAACTATATGAAGCCATAGACTAGTTTACTTAAAGGGAATGTACATCATTGGCTTTTGTTGTAATTTTCAGAAATGAACCATTTGAGGGGTTAGTATAATAGATCAAATATTGTTACACATGCATGTTTGAAGTTTTGTGTTCGAAAATGCCGGAAAAACCAAGAAAAACTAAAATGTTCAAGCAGTCTGGTTCCCTGACTCCACTAAAGATGAAATAGATCAATTTTCATAGATGCCCGAAAATTGTAAGGTAAGGGAACCTGTCTAGCCTGCCTGCACCCGTTCATGAACATGTAACCAATAGCAAACTAAATTTGGACTGAAAAAATGGTAAATTTGGATCAGTAGTTGAAAAATAGTTAGGTTTTTCCAACTTGTGGTCGGCCGACCATCGTTGGAAATGTATACAAAAATACTATACTATTTTCTTGAAAATGACTTCACACCAGGTGCCATAATTTTACAGGATGCTTCATACTCTCATTCACCAACATCCTAGTAAAGTATTTTGTAAAAACTTGGTAGTTTTATTTTTCGATGTTTGCAAATGTTGTATATTCCCTCTTTAAGACTAGATAATTATGTATATTAAAGGTGTAATTCGTCCTGAAATCTCCGAAAAGTTTTCACTTATTACATTGCAAAGGTCTGATTAAAAACATACTAACCAAAAAGCTAGTTATTTTACATATTCGACGAGATATGCTGTATATGCAGACATGATAACCAGCCGTGAATAAAATGGCGAGCCACCATCGGGCAGACAAAAAACGTCTGTCTACAGACTCGCAAACAAGTCTAGTAACTCGACAAATAATACTTGGCCATTTGGATGAGTTTGTGGTCGGACCCCTGACACACTAGATCCCCATATCTAGTGTGATTGTGGACCGTAGAGTCTGGGAACCAGTTCTACCAAAACAAAGGGTTTTTACACAGGTAGGCCTACGTTTGCTTGATGAATATTGGCACTGACACTGACAGTGGCTCATGCCACTAAAATCGTCGTAAAACTGGTAATCCTTATCTTTAGGACACCTCTAATTTTTACGAGTTCTGTTCAAAACTGACATTTGCAGATGACTGTCAAAGTGACTTTTGCAGGCTAAAGCTATCCCAGGTTGGACTCTAATTTGATCAAAACAAAACAGGGGCCCTACACGATCGCCCATGTTTGTTATAGGCCTAAATGGTAAACATGGTAAATGTGGTAATCCTTACTTTTAGGACACCTCTATTTTTTACAAGTTCTGTTCAAAACTGACTTTTGCAGATGACTGTCCAGTACCAAAGTGACTTTTGCAGGCTAAAGCAGTCTTTTATAAAAAAAACTCATGTTAGTTGTAGTTTAAACTCATGTTAGTTGTAGTTTTATAAACTCATGTTAGTTGTAGTTTTGAAAGCACTTTCGAAGAAAATGTGACTTTCCTACCCTTTTTCGCAGTCAGACGTGCATGTTGTAGTTCTCACACGCGTGAAAGCCCTACATAATGAAAGCCCGATGCTGATTAGCTGCTAAAAAAATTAATTAATCTGGTTTCCAGACCAAAAGATTCTGCCCACTCCTGAATCTTTTGGTCTGGGAACCAGACTAAAAATAAATAAGTTAACTAGTCTGGTTCTCAGACCAAAAGATTCTGACTATTCCTGAATCTTTTGGTCTGGGAACCAGACTAAAAATAAATAAGATGTTTATTTTTTTTATCAGCCAATCAGCATCGAGCTTTCATCGCATCGAGCTTTCACGTTTTGCCATCTTGGTTTTTGAGTCTGTTTTTAGGTTGTCATCGTCGTCTTTTACCCCTGAATTTCTCTCATAAATCAAAGCCCTGCCCTTTTCCACAAAATTAAACCTGCTGACAGTGATATTCAAGAAGGTGTCATTGCCAATTGTTCAGATGTGCCAAGAAGTATCAGAATGTCAATTTTGAGTGTCATTTACTTAGTCAACTTTTTTGGTGAGTCTTTCCCTTCCTATATAGGAACGGGGTCCTAAAAGTAAGGATTACCGTAAGGCGTAAATGTTTCACTCCATGTCAAACATTGTCGAAGATCCCTGAATCAAATCCGTGTTGTGCCAAACCTTTGACGATCGTGTAGTGTAGGGCCCCTGTCTTGCTTTGATGAAATTAGAGTAAAAAAATGTTTTTTATTGCTTAAAAATCACCTTTACAATCAAAAGCAGACTTTTCTCAATTCTAATGTCATGACACCTGTTTTGCAGTTTTGAACAGTTTCTTGGGGTAGAAATCACGATTGTCCTGCGTGGTTTGTGCCTTGCGATTCAGCGCGCCGTCCGTGCTCACGGTGACGGTACATTGCGCGATGATCGCCATCTTTATTTTCGGGTTGCGTGTTGTTGCCGCGCTGTCATCGTCATTTTACCCCCAAGTTTCCCTCAAAAAATCAAAACCCTGCCCTCTATCTATGACATACCTGTTTATTGAGAATGTCGCCAACTAGTTTGGTAGGTCTATTAATTTTAGAGTGGATTTTGTTCCATTATATACTGGGAACTGGGCCCTACACTACCTGACTACACGATCGCCAAACCTTTTGTTTCTCTTTTTTTCTCTCTGTTTAATTAGCCTACTTAAAGAGAATGTACAACATTTGCTTTTGCTGCAATTTTAAAAAATAAATGGATTTGGAGGAATAGTAGGCCTATGGCAAATATTGTTAAACCGACTTGTTTCACGTTTTGGGCTTGTACATATGCTGGAAAAACCAAGAAAACCAATCATGTTCTTGTAGTCTGGTTCCCTGACCCTACATGCCCTACTTAAGATATAAAGCAGTGAAATGTAAAGACTTTGGGGAATTGTAAGGCCAAAGAATGAGCAGGCCTGTACCCCTTCACAGGCGTGTAATCAATTGCAAAGAAAATGCGGAATAACTATATATGGAAACTTAGGAGCAGTTTTTAAAAATAGTAAGTTTTCTCCAACGCTGGTCGGCTGACCAGCGTTGGAAAAAAACAGTTTTTCTTGAAAATGTCTGCAACAAGGAGCCATAATTTTACAGGATGCTTTAGACTGTCATTCCCTAACAATCCAGTAAAGTATTTCGTGATAATTTGATCATTACGTTTTTTGATGTTTGCAAATGTTGTATCTTCTCTTTAATTCACTTTAAGTTGATTGAGCCGTTATTGAAATGTTGTTTATTGTCGTGTCTGCTTTGTTTAACTGCTACACATTTAAAGGGAAAATACAACATTTGCAAACATCAAAAAATAAAACTACCAAATCATTTTGAAATACCTTGCTGGACTGTTAGTGAATGACAGTGTAAAGCATCCTGTAAAATCATGGCACCTGGTTTACTGTCATTTTCAAGAAAAGTGGTATTTTTGTATCAATTTCCAACGCTGATCGGCCGATCAGCGTTGGAAAAAACTGGCTTTTTTTCAAATGCTGGCCCCAGTTGACCATCGCACTTGTTTGCAATCGATTACACACCTATGAACGGGTACAAGCCAGCTAGACTGGTTCCCTGACCTTACAATTCCCCAATATACGTAAACTGCTCTGTTTCTTCTTAAATGGAGTCAGGGAACCAGACTACAGGAAAATGATTGTTTTCTTGGTTTTTATAGCATTTTCGAACCCAAAACCTCAAAAAAGTCAGTGTAACTATATTTGCTATATATTTCCAACCCCCCAATTCCATCCATTTCTGAAAATTACAGCAAAAGCAAATGATGTATATTCCCTTTAAATATTGTTGTTATTTGTAAATTCTAAAATTAGTGTTTGTTTTGTTTTGTCTGGTATTGTTGGGTACATCCTACATAATTCTCAGCGTGCCTCGGATTCGTTACTACGTTAATAGCCGCTATTGAAATTTAGTCTGACATGTCTGAGTAACTAAGGACACTACAAATCGCCTTTTTCAACATTTGGAGATGGTCAGGCGATAGTAGAAATGGAAAAGTCCAGATTTTACCTTGTGATAATATTCCTCTCATTTTTCACTCTGAGCCCATCAGTATTCATAGGATACTATCACAAGATCATACTACAGAGCTTGTGATTAGTGTACGGCCAGAGGCAGTTGGGCTAAGTTCTCCCGGACTTTGACCTTGAGTGCAGAAAAACATGCAAAACAAATTAAGGCAAATTCATTGAAGAAGCAATATTACTACCTCCATGGGCCAACTTTACTCGCTCTTTAAGCTGACAAAATTCTGCAAAATTTTAATGAGGCAAAGACAACTTCCTAATTTTGTTCACCAGCCAGGTGTGAAGTCTCTTTTTTTTAAAGAGACTTTTCTTCAATATTTTGCACTGAGAGTTATGAAGCAAAGGCAAAAAAAGTTCTGCTTAAATGGCATTTGAAAATAGTGTACTGGTTGGTAGGTAGGGATTAATTTTCTTCTTTTGGCAATTTTTTTATTGTGTACGATCAGATGGAGGTGTCTGCGTGTAGTCAAGGGTAAAAGGTGGTAATTGATGATATTCTGGATTTTTCCCATAACATTTTTTTTAGGGTAGGGACTGTCAAAATAGGGTAGGTAGGGTAACCGGAAGCAGAAACTTTTTTTTTTTTTTTTTGCAAAATTGATTTCAATTTGAAGCCTAAGTGTAAGCTAGACTGGTACATGTACAACTGTTTCAACTGAAAAAAAACTGACCTCTTCAGTAGTGTGGTAGCAGACTATTGGAGAGATGTATAGAAATAGAGACCGGCACCAGATCGATGTTTCTTTTGACACAGTTGACTGATGCAGTACTAAAGCGGTGTTGGACTGGTTAATTATTTCAGGTGCCAGACTATTTTCCTGTATTGCATGTTTGCAATACCTGAACTTTTGGGACTCTCATGTATACACAGTATTGAGAGTCCCAAATTCTCAGACCATTTTCAGAAAAAATGACGGTCACTTGTTTTTGTAAAACATTTTTAGTTTCTTATACCGACTTATAGTGAATCCAACTTGAGTCAAGTCTACCTGGCCAATAAAGCCAAATAAAACATGTTTAGCGTCCCCGCCCGCTTCCTTTTTGGATGACGCCTCCTCTTTTTAATTTGTTTTATTAAACCGAAAACAAAAATGATAAATTTTAAACAGTGACATCATTTTGGCCTCTTTGTTGCATCTAGCCCATATAAAGCTGGTATGTCATTTCCTGAGTCCAATGGCGGCCATTTAAAAACAAAATCTGGCGGCCATCTTAAAAAATAGCCCGGTTTGGCCGGCCATTTTGGAGGGGGGGGGGGAAGGGTCTCCCGTTTCCTTGTTTTCCAAAAGGCAGGACGCTAAACATGTTTTTTTTGGGGGGGGGGGGGGCCCCTTATACGGAAAATAAAAAAGGTCAAGATGTATGACCCACAACCTCAACCAACAGTCTAAATCTACTCTATCTCTGCTTATTCAAACACAGATAACTGATTTCGGTGGGAGTGCACATCTACACTTTGTACTCTCAGGCACCAGCAACCTGATGAACAGTGCATACACGTCTGAATGGCACAAGCGACTATCTCTCCTCGGGGGCTGATCGTTCTTTCACTGATTGTCCTGGGGCTGATCATTTTCTACAGGATTTATTCGGAACCAGACCTGCCTGCCGACGATATCATCAAGGAGGAGCAATTTATTCACCTGCTTCAGAAAGGTATGGGGTTAGGGGTTGTGCATTTAGGGGTAGCACATGTACGGAAACTGGGTACCCGATTGAAAAAAACAGTACCCAGGTACCTGTTAAAGGGAAAATACAACATTTGCAAACATCAAAAAATAAAACTACCAAATCATTTTGAAATACCTTGCTGGACTGTTATTGAATGAAAGTGTAAAGCATCCTGTAAAATCATGGCACCTGGTATACTGTCGTTTTCAAGAAAAGTGGTATTTTTGTATCAATTTCCAACGCTCGTCGGCCGACCAGCGTTGGGAAAAAAACTGGCTTTTTTCAAATACTGGCCCCAATTGACCATCGCACTTGTTTGCAATCGATTACACATCTATGAACGGGTACAAGCCAGCTAGACTGGTTCCCTGACCTTACAATTCCCCAATGTATGTAAACTGCTCTGTTTCTTCTTATATGGAGTCAGGGAACCAGACTACAAGAAAATGATTGTTTTTCTTGGTTTTTATAGCATTTTCGAACCAAAAACCTAAAAAAAGTCAGTGTAACTATATTTGCTATATATTTCCAACCCCCCAATTCCATCCATTTCTGAAAATTACAGCAAAAGCAAATGATGTATATTCCCTTTAAAGAAACCCAACCCCAAAATTCAAATCCTGGAAGGTGCTGTTCAGATTGTTCATAAAGATCCGTATGATAAGGCCATACAAAAATTCTGCTAACGATTACATGGCATTCAAAAATAGGGTGGGTAGGTAGGGAATTTTTTTTTTGGGGGGGGTGGCAGTTTTTTTTTGTGTACGACCATATGGAGGTGTCTGCATGTAGACAAGGGTAAAAGGTAGTAATTGATGAATTTGGGTTTTTTTTTTTTTTCATTTACATGTACCGTAAAAAAAAATAGGGTAGGGACTGTCAAAATAGGGTACAAAGGGAAAACAGAAGCAGAAAGTTTTTTTCCCCCTGGCTCACACTACTACAGAGTAAACTGTACATTATGTGTGTGACTACAGCAAGATATATTCGGCATAAACTGCAAGCTTTGCGATCGTCACAAACCTGGAATATGTTTAGTTGATCCCATGTGGCCGGGTTTTCATTTTGAAACTTCTCCACAAATGACATTCAAAACCTTAAAATTTGTATTGTCTGAAAAGTCACTAAGTAATATGTGTAGTAATCTGGAACTGGTTCCTGACATCTCGGATACCTGGTTCCCAATGCACAGCCCAGTATGGGGTACTTCTGAATTCCATAGAGTTGGAATTCCAGCTTGAATTTGCGCATAATGCAGCTGTGGCGGTTCGTTGTTAATTTAGAACCATGAACTACTGACTCACTGGTAGCATTGCGCATGCCTACGTGAGGATTGTGAACGTTCAACCAATAAAACGGTAACAGGCACTGGATTTCATAGGTTTTCATAGATTTCATCATAATAATAATAATAATAATAACAGGTTCTTATATAGCGCTTTTAACTAAGATCAAAGCGCTTTACATTATTATTATCCCTAATCATTGGGCCAATTAAACATTCCATATACCATCTCAGCTCCCTGGGGAGTATACAGCTCGATGCTGCCTGTTAGGCGCAAGGAAGCTAATTCAATCACAGTAACCATCACTGCCCTCATAGGTACCCATTTACTCCTGGGTGGAGAGAAGCAATGAGTGACAAAGTGCCTTGCTCAAGGGCACACGCACCATGACCCCACCAGGACTCGAACCCACGACCTGCAGCTTCACGAATCAGTGCCCTTAACCACGAGGCCACAGCACTCCACATTTAGTATGCAGAAGGCAATATTTAATAAGCCGTTTTGAGATTGATGGACACAATGGGAAGGCCCTGTTCTCGTGTTCAGTGTGGATAAACTCATTTATAAATGACACATTTTGCGGGTAATACCATGTGGAAAGAAATCTCTTCTTGGAAGAAGTGTGTTGGTTGAGTGTAGAACCCGACGTTTCAGACAGTGTGCTCTGTCAGTCCTCAGGAGGGTGAGTGAGTTCTACACTCAACCAACCGGTTCTTTTCAGAACCTCACTTCTTCCAAGAAGAGATTTCTTTTCACATGTTGTTACCCGCAAACTTTATAATTTATCTCATCCTCCATGCAAAGCTTCAAGTAATACTAATTTTTTCTTCCAAGAAGAGATGTCTTTTCACATGGTGTTACCCGCAAACTTTATAATTTATCTCATCCGCTGTGCAAAGCTTCAAGTCATACTAAACTTTTTGAAAACAGAATAGCACCCTTCTGTGTCCGCCGTATCTCAGAGAGGCCAATAGGGTGCTGTCTAGACCAGAAAACTTATGCTGGTTTCAATTTCTATTTTCTTCTTCTGTTTTGGTTAGAATCATTAGGACTCCTAGGCATGTCTGACTGGGAAGAGATCAAGAAAGAAGCCCTGGCCAGCAAGGTGTTAAAGGTCACAGATGGCAAGATTGATGTGGGAGGAAAGGGTGCAGTCTACAGACGAGAGGTTTGTACAGTGCAGTTTAGGCTGGAAAGGTGTCTGGGTACAAGACTGGGTTTGATTTGTGTCGGCAGAGGGCATTATCTGAAAGATGAATCAAATCTGGCCCAATTTCATGGCTCTGCTAACCACAGATTTCAGCACTTATACAATCACCTTTGCTATTGGCGCCAGCAGTCGCAGAAAAATTCTGCGAACACCCTGTAAGCACCGAATCCTTAATTATGGGATGTACGCATGTGCATAAGCCAAAATTCCTGAAGTATATAGGCCTAGTGAATTACTGTTTTAGAATTTCAGGGTTCGACCCATAGAGCTATATTAAATTCTAACTCGATGTACAAAGTAATGCCTGATGGGCACATCCATGTTTGTGCACAAACCTATGGAAATCTCAAAATGTTGTACGGCTATTTGCATATCTGCGTTTGTATTCCATAATGATGCATCATCGAAGCTGATACGCCCAAAACCGAAACGCACACTCAGCAAATGAGCGTTACGTTTTGCTCTACGCAAACAGCACAACGTGTGCGCGTCCCAACGCTGCAGATGCTTTCGCCGTGACGTTTTTGAACCGTCATGACGCGCTTAAGTTGTTTGCATATCTTCTACTTGCGCATTGCATTTAGTGTACACTTTTACAATTCAATCCATCTATTTTGATTGTGTTCTACAAACACGCACATAGATTAAAAATGTCTGCGCCCAGAGCGGCTTCAAAGCGTCTCTGCGCGCAAAAATGAGCAGTTAGTGCTCTAGTAATTTAAATAGCTCTATGGTTCGACCTTAACTTTTTTTTTACCATCCAGGTGGGCTACTGAAACAGATTCATATAAGTAGCTTGCGAGTTTTACCAACCTGCATGTTTTTTTCTTTTATAGAGGGTCTTATAAACAACAACGTATATGTATACATGTAAAACATGTATTCTGAGGCAATGTTGTCAGTGTTTTAAATAAACAGATCAAATTTTTGACTTGCAGTCGGGTTATATGTTAGGGTTTTCAGTCCCTACCTGATTCCGTGTGTTTTCCTCAGTCAGAATATTCTTCTGGGCTTTTTCTCCCACCTCTTAATCTGTAATTTCTTCTCATTGTCTCCTCTCCATAGGTTTTTTCAGGTTTTCGTTCCTACAGTGCTTAGGGTACTTTTGAGGAATCCTTGGTTTCATTACAAGAAAGAAATAGAATTTAAAAAAATATCCACTGGTAAGCCACATTGAGTCAGACCATCCTTTTTTTAACTGACTTTTTCTTCAGGTTGTTGACACCACACGGGATATGCCCAAGGGAGTGTTCCTGCTGCTTCATGGCATGAAATTCAAGTCGCAGACCTGGCTGGACCTGGGAACACTTCACGTCATGGCCAGCTATGGGTACAGGGTGGTAGCTGTGGATTTGCCGGGTAAACCAAAAATAAAATTGTATTCCTTGTTAAGGCCAAAAAAACAAATAGTCGGTCTCTGGTCAGACCGAAGTTCCGGAATTGATGCGGTGACGCTGTGTTTTTTTTTGGTGTTTTTTTTTGGTGGCTTTTTTTTTTTCAAGCTTGTATTGTACAGACAAGGTGGGTACTATTTTGCTTTTTTGTGTCCTCATTATACATTGGTGTCCTCCATAATTTGCCTTGGTGCCCTTTATCATTTGCCTTGGTGCAATTTCCCCATTCCTTGGTGCTCCTTGGTACAAAAATTTGAGGAGGCGTGGCAATAGAGGGCGCTGTTGTAGCTTCCGTGTTAATTAGAAGAAAAAAAAGTTGACGCGCATGATTAAAATTGACGCGCGCGCTGATCGGAGACCGAGTATTTTTTTTTTTGGCCTAACAGGTCCAGTTTATTTCTGATTCCACGCTAGCTTTTTGACGGGGCGGTATCATAAGTCTGACGCCTCATAGGTCCAACGCCTCATAAGTCCAAAATTTTGACGTAAGTCCGACAATGGATAAACGCTGTTTCAGACTTCTGAGGCGTCAGAGCTATGAGGCATCGGACTTATGCGGCATCGGACCTATGAGGCGGAATAAATATATTGTATGCCTCATAATTTGTCCGACGCCTCATAATTAAGTCCTATGCCTCATAAGTCCGAAATTTCAGATTCATGAGGCATCGGACCTATGAGGCGTTAGACTTTTGAGCAGACCCCCTTTTGACAAAGCCATTGTGACTTGGGCCTGGCATATGGTTGAATCGTGAAGCCATTGCAAAAATTGAGTGGAGACTATGCACGCTGAGCGACTTAGTCACGGGGCCTGTTGCACTTGGTTAAAATGTGTTTACCTGAATAAATCCCCATTATCTGACTGATTGGTCGTTGATCACATGTCATTGAATTATTTGTCCCAACGCAGGATGTGGCTGTTCCGAAAAAAATAGATGTTCTATTCCACAGTAAATAGAAATTCCAGTGCACGGTCACACGATTGGTTGCTGTGACCAATCAGATGGCGAGGATTTATTCTGGTTTTGTATAAAACAAATAATCAGTGTTTCACAATCGTGCGATGGACAGAATGATTTCATTCGGGAACAGATGGAATGTTCGAACCCACTCTCTTCGTGGAATGGAACATTCCATCTGTCACCTCATGAAATTAGTCTTACGTACCGTTGCACTCATAAACATTCATTGTATTAACCCTAACCGAATTCAACCCATCAAAGTTCAACAGCAGGTTTTGTTTAAATCTGTCGGGATAGGTACCTCTGAATAGATAGTCTTTAACACTGGGGTTGGCATACCACCAGAAACGAAGTCCAACAGTGTGTGTGCAATTTTCCATGTGGGCATGGTGGGTGTTGGAATTTGCCTGAATGGGTATGGTTCCCAGTAAATTATGCTGGTGAGTTAGGGTTGATGTTTTGTTATTCTGCATAACATCTCTAGCCTTTTGGGTAATCTGTCAGTGGTTAGAAATGGAGTACACTGTTTTAAATGCCAAGTTTACATTGAAATTTATTTTCTGTTAGTATATCTGCAAATTCCACTTACCGCTTACCTCACCATTCAAACTTATTTCTAAATTTAGAATAATCTTTCCAGTGTTTGGCAGCCTTGACTCCATGGGGGCTAGCGCGTTCCTTCACTAACCACTGGCCGTGAGGAATACGTAAACGACGTTGACTGGCTATTCAGAGCGTACTGCGCGCATATCTGAAAGACTGCACGTCTTATATGCGCTCAGGCTCCTGCTCGTCACATCACGTACAAACGTTTTTTTTTCTTCAAAACTGCGAGATGACTGAACAATATGGATTCTGGATGTATCGTTTTTCCCACAAAGACCTGTATCTTGTGTTGTAAAGGGGCGACAGAGGTACATACATTTAATATAAATCCTTGATAAATAACGCATCATCGAAATCTCATGTTTGAGAATCGATTCTACCTAAAAAAGTTCAAAATTTTAAGCACTGCGTCGCGCGTTAGATACATCCACTGCAGTCCTAAGTTAAATGTGCCACTATTTGGCGCATTTAAATTACACAATTACAGGGGTTAAGATCGCGCAAGGCATGATGGGAAACAACATGGCGCAGCAAGATCGTACCCATGGAAACGAGGTTGAATGTATGGTGAAATGTTAATAATGAAATAAAATTACATTTGCCGAGGCTGTTGCATGTATTTACATTAACCTGAATCACTAAGAACTGGAATTCACTTCGAAACCTCCAAGGCTTACATGTATGTCCCTTTTCAGATGACTGCTGAATATACAAAATCGATTTTGTTTCTTTTTATATTTAGGATACGGAAACACAGAAAAAATTGAGGGTGTGGACCACACCGCTTTTATGACAGAGTTACTAAAGAGCATCAACATCAAGGAGCCCGCTGGGGTGATCATCGTCAGCCCCTCCATGAGTGGGTCCTATGCGCTGCCGTTTCTGATGGCGCACCAGGAAAAGTTTGCCGGATATGTGCCTGTGGCCCCCGTCAACACCGAGAAGTACACAAAGGAACTGTACCAGAAAATACAGGTAGGACTTGGCATGGCTGTGTTTGTTACATTGAATGAAGACATTAACCCTCCTACGCAAACATACAATGTACATTCTGTGCCAAGTTGTCCTTGCAGTCAAAATCAATTAAGTGACTGTTTTCAACCCTTAACCCTAACCGAACTGATCAACCCATCAAAGCCCAACAGCAGGTGTTGTTGAAATCTGTTGGGATGGGTACAGTCATGACAGTATCCCAAAACTGATGGTCTTTTACATTGGGTTTGGCATACCTCCAGAAACCAAGTCCAACAGTGTGTGTGTACGGTTTCCCATGTGGGTGTTGGAATTTACCTGGATGGGTATGGTTCCTAGTAAGTTATGCTAGGGAGTTAGGGTTAAGAATACCCAGCCCACATAAAGCAGGATTGACTGCCTCGGACTGCTTAAGTAGCTTGATACAGCTATGCTTTGACTCCAGGAGAGTGATAAAACAGCTGTGACTACAACTTGCCTGCTTTGTCTGTTGACCCACTTTGACTACTCAAAGTACCTGCTGGACATATGATCTGACTGCTGGTGACCAGCCTTTGTTAAAAGTATAGCAGGGGAAGTGGACGTGACTGTAACTGTCTATGACTGCTTAAATAGCAGGAGGGTTAATGACGTGGTACACTGCACAGTAAGACCTCTTGGGGCAAGATCGAGGTGCCAATTTCATGGCACTGCTTCAAACACTAAGCAGAAATGTTGTGCTAACAGTTTTGCTAACAGTTGTGCCAATTACGGCAGCATTTTTGTGCTAACCTCATCAGGACCCATCTGATTTCCAAACGAGTACTGGGCAAATTGTGGACAGTGTATGGGGTATAAGTTGCAGGATCCTGAATGACTTCCCCACAGTCTTTCCACAATGTAGTTATCAATATCGAGTCAAGCAGTTGCTAATGAAAGTTTCCCTGAAACAAGTCCGTGACAAATGCAGAGCGTCTTCTGGACAAATTGAATGATTCTGCCTGCATTGTGTCGGATATATGCATCTCGATGGGCCCTTAAGCATTATAGCACCTCACCCACAGATTCTGTGTCTTGATTGGCCGAGAGCGAGTCACATGTTACTTTCTAATTTTGCTATCTTTCTGTGCACGGCCAAAAGTACTATGCGCATAGCAACCAAAGTACTATACCATTAGCAACCAAAGTACTATTTCCACGGCGCAGTATTTGTGTGCAAATGCATGCTGGTGTGCGCGTTGTGCGTAGCGCGTATTATTCCAAAGAGAGCGCGCCGCAGACTTGGGTTCAAACATTTCGCGAAGGGTTAGTTTTTAAGAGAGAAATACATTTTCCACCAATTTTGTATTGAAATTGAAGTTTATTTCAACTGTGTTCAGATTTAAATAATGTAAAATATTAAAATCAAGCAGAATCTGTGGGTGAAGTGTTATAAAACAAATATTGAATGCTTTATCTCGTGGTGAAGTAAAACTAGCCTCCCGCGGTGATCCATGGACCATTCTATTTTCCCTCGGCTTCGCCTCGGGAAAATAGAATGGTCCATGGATCACCTCGGGAGGCTAGTTTTACTACACCACTCGAAGCATTCAATATTTGTATACTATTTCATGGCCTGGATGTGCATGGAGATTTTCTATTACGTCACGTCTTTTGTGTGTTTACTGCTTACTGTCTCCATGAAATAGACGGAGGTTCTGTTAGGAGAAAATCGTGTGCTTAGCAGCAGAAATGGCAATTGTGATTATTTTGAGAAGGTTTGTGCTGAAATGGCAGGATCGAGCTGTATACTCATTAGGGAGCTGATCGAGGCAGTCTTTGGAATGTTTGATGAACCCAATGAGCGGGGTGAAAATGATGTTAACGGATTTGAGATACATATTCCATCTAGTGCTCAATTCTTCTTCATAAAAAACCCACTAATTATTATATTTTATCATTAATTATTATTATTATTATTAGGTACCGACGTGTATCATTTACGGAGACAAAGATACAATGTTAGGTGAGGTCTCGCTCAAGAATCTCCGTAACCTCCCAACGGCCGAGATCCACGAAATCAAGGAAGCCGGCCACGCCTGCTATCTGGACCAGCCGCTGGTCTTCCACAAGCACTTGCATGCATTTGCCAAGCAGGTCTTTGAGCAGAAATGAAGGTGATGGGGTTTTTTTTTAGAGGAAAGAGGTAACATTGGTTTTAGTTGGGTCAGGAGTCTGAGATGTCAGGAGGGGTAATTTAGGAGCTCTTTTATTTTCAGTGTGCAAAGTTTGTGATCTGAAACTAAAATAAAAGAAAATAGAATTATGTAAGATTTGAAACTTTGCATGCCTGGTGGTGGTATGAACTAGTGAAGGTTTGTGGTAACACATGAAGATATGTGGTTCTGAAAAGAACCGATGGATTGTAAAACACGACACTCCGATCCGTATGCTCTGATTGTCTTCAGGAGATGGCCGGACTGGTGGATAAGGCTGTTATTTAAGGAGCTGGATGATCGTTGATGTGTGTAGTGATGGTGAAGAGTGATCACTGGGGCGTTGAGATGAGGATGCTGGAGGCTAGTCACTGAGGCGTAGCGGTGATCTCTGGCCATCAGTCTTGCCGTCTCCTGAAGACTATCAGAGCATACTGATTGGAACGTCGAGTTTTAAAACCCACAAGTTCTTTTCAGAACCACACATCTTCCCAAAAGAAAATTATGATTATGGTACTTTTTTGTTGTTGTTTAAATGTTTATTTTTTAAATAGCAAAAGTGCTTATTTTCATAACTTCATCCCCTCTAAAGGCCTTTTCACACTATGAATGTCTGATCTGTGTCGAAATGTACACGGTTCCAACCCGTGTCGACTTCTAAAAATTTCAACACGGTTCAATTTCGCTTCGTTTTCACACTACTCATTGCAAACGCGGCGTTTTTGCCACACGTGTAATGTTTCGACCCGTGTATTGCGCGATTGTTTCACACTACACACGGCCGTCCGCCCTACACGTGTTTTATATCTCCATGGATGGTCAGCCCAACCACGGACCTGCACTTCATGTCAGTCTTTTTTTTCTGATTTCGGGCCCATTTTACGTCAGAGGATAAATATTCTGTGACTTGAATTTCTAGCACCATAAAAAGTATATGCGAAGAACGCACGAAAAACCAAGCGTGATCGGCTGCTTCTACTTTCTAGTGCTTACGAAAAAGCAAGCTCGGTAGGCAGGTGTAGCGTGAATATCAGGTATTCTGCAGACTCATTAAGGTATTGCGCATGTTCATGCATAGATAATCAGGAGAGGGACCGGTCACGTGAAAAGGTTTAACCAATCAAAGTGAAAAGGATTCAGATTTTCACAAGAGTCCGATTTTCATATCACACCCTTGGTGGCGTGTCAGGGCAGCAGGTTAAAGGTTATCTGTATGTTCGTTGCATGTTAAAAAGTAACAACTACAGCGTGATGCTGCATGCATGCACTCTCGAACTCCGGCCGGTCCGCGTCCGATGCATGAGTCGATATGCGATTGTACACGGGTCGAACGTAACCCAGAAGTGTTCACACTACAGCGTGTCCCAAAAAAATGTCCCTCTGATAGACTGCTTAATTAATTCCAAAATCAAGTATTATTCTCAATTTAGTGTTCAGATTTAGAAAGCCCATTTAATTTCGTAACTTTTGTGAAAATTTCATTGGTCTCGCTTCATTGGTTTTGAATATACAGTCTATTATGTAACAGCAGTGCTTTTCAGCCCATTCCAAGTTTGCAGGTGGAAGGACGTGCATGGGGGACAATAAAGGTTTACAAGCTGGACATTGAAGAACAAACCATAAGTGGAACACACCCTGTAAAAGCAAACACGACCAGTGGAACTGAACTTTGATTAGTTTTCATTTAAAAAGTAAATGAACTTGACTTTAGTTACTCAATAACAAAAACAACAACACAGTTGTTGAATTAAAAGTGAAGCATGGAATAAGGTATGGTATGTCTGTAGTGTGCATTTCTTTTTATCAAACTTGGAATGGGCCAGAATGCACTGCTGTTACATAAAAGCCTGTGTATTCAAAACCAATGAAGCGACACCTTTGAAATTTTCACAGGAACTACAAAATTAAGTGGGCTTTCTAAATATGTAAACTTAATTGAGTATAAAACTTGATTTTAGTAATTATTCTGTGGTCTATGAGAGGGAAATTTTTTTGTGACACGCTGTATAGCTTTCAACACGTGTCGGACACGGATCGAGAATTCTCAACCCACCTCCCGAGTAGGGTTAATTTGGACACGGGTCGAGCGCTCTACACGGGTCAGTGCCGTGTTCAAATGTTGTAGTGTGAAAAGGTTAGTCCATTTTACATGTGCGGACCTGTGTACAACACGGAGATTTTTCGTAGTGTGAAAAGGCCTTATAACCAGAAGAAAGTTTACAGTGAGGTAAAATCTCTGAAGAGGAATCTATATTGCTTTTATGAAAGAATACAGAGTTATGAACGTTTGTTATACATGTAGTTACCCTGTCTGAGCTGAACTTAATCCAAGGCTGCCAACAATCATTTGGGCATTGGAATTCATCTGATCACGGACCATTAACCACTTCGCGCCGAGGTGATTTTTGCCGAAAATTTCGAATTTTCAAAAGGAAAAATTTCCCAGCCAACTTTTGATATACAGCCGAACGCCACAACTACTGATTTGCAAGAGTGATTTCAATAGTATTTGTGCATCGGATATTTCTTCCCGAAACCTGATATGTATCTATTCTCTGGGGTGTGCACTGGAGCATAAATTGTACAACAATAGGCCCTGCACAATGGCCCACACAACGGTCAGCACATGGTCCGCCTCCACAGACAACACGGACTTTGTGTGTGTGTACAAAGGCACGAGGGATTAGCGTGTTGAGATATCACCCGGAGGTCAGCCGTGCCTGGGTACAAAAACAGCCAATGCTATTATCACGTCCTCCGGCGCGAACTGGTTAAATGGTCATTTTTTCAAGTGTTCATTTACAGTTGCAAGCTGTATAATGTACAGCCATTTGAATAACCTACTTTTCGAATATTCTTCTCCTTATGCAACTTATTTCTTACTGGTATGATGCTATCAAATTTCTATTTCTGTATGAAAGTGTTCAGTCATACTTTTTTTTTAAATTGAAATCTTGTTTATAATGGACCTGAGACCTAATGAAGTAATGCTTTGTTTACATATGCGCTTTTCTATGGGAGTGAAGTCTGGACACCAGACAAAGTAGGGACCGTCTACCACATAGGAAAGCGCACATGTAAACAAAGTGTGACGTCATTAGGTCTCAGGCCTATTGAATTGTTTCCTAATCATAATTAAGAGAATGCCTGTTGAACAAAAGTACACATAGTACACCTCAGTTATGTCGGCAATGCAAACGATCAATTTTTTTTTTCATTTTACTTCCCGAAGCATGTAAGTATGCGTAACAATTTTTGCTTAATATATGTTTATATTTTCCCTGCACAAAGTGCTATGGGAAATGTTTCCTGACAATGTTGGCGATTCTTTAAAATAATGCATGTGTAACTCTTTAAAAAGAGCTAAGTTTTAGTCTATAGGCAAGTATTCTGCTGCATTGCAATGTTATATTTGTCAAATTTTAATTTAAAATTGAAAGATTGATATTTTATTGCATTTGGAAATTGAAGTGGAAAGCTATGTCACTCTCAGCTTTATTTCATTTATTTCAAAAATGTAGATAAAAAGACGGTGTAAATTTTGTTCCATTTAAACCTTTTATTTTCATTCTTTAAAAAATTGATGTTTAGTTTTACTATCATTGATTTCTTTTTGACAATAAAGTCAGATCTAAATATTCTATTTTACAGAAAACTGTAGCCTATGAATCGTTGTTTGGTTTCATTGGCTTTTCCGCTAAAGCCTTTGTTTTTGTTCAGATTTTTGTTAGTGTTTTTTTTTGTTCTATCCCAGATCCCATTTACTTTTGTACACGATTTTTCTCAACACGACTTTTTTTCACTTGTTGTAAACCTTGTATCTTAACCAAACTGGGCATAAGGGAAGACCGTAGCCTATAGACGGTCCGTGAAACATGACGTCGTGATGACGTCAATCATATCATAAGTCATGTGACCTCATCTTAAAGGTGCATATTTTAAAGCCCTATAGCTAGCTGTCCAGCCCCCCAAAAAGTGCGTTCTTGCAGCAAAACGAAAACAATTTACACACATCCCTATTTGATTTGTTTTCGTTTTGCTGAAAGAACACTTACCCTTCCGTGGACAGAACTTTAAAACGGTGGTTGTGTTTAAAATTCCATAACTTGAAAATTACATGAGTGATTTGAACGATTCCTATACTAAAAGAAAGCTTATGAATTGGGCTTTCATATCCTAGATTTTGAAAGTACTACATGCAGAACTTAACTAAAACAATGGTCCGAACATTTGGGTTCTGGTGTTTGTTTTTTTTACTCGCCCTGTATTAGCGCTGAAGTCTGATATATATAATTCTCTATAATGAGATATACTTAAAACGCAGTTATGTCGCAAACCATCTATGTAGATACCAAAAAGATACCAAAAATGCATCGAAAAGATGCATCAAGATGAAAGTTTCTGAACTTTTAACTTCCTGATTAAATACTGAGCTTTCTAATCTGTATACTTTAAATCCCACTAAACTGTACCAAAACGTAAAAAAAACCCGATGCATGATTATAGTTCTCTCTTAAATGAGCCTTTAAGAAAAGAGAATACAAATCTGAACAATTTCATATTAGTCTCTTTTGCGACGATATAGCTCACTGATCTAGCTAAACGTTTCTCATTCTCAAAGTCATTATTGTTAAAACAAAATTACTTATTATTTTAATCAAAATTTTACAACAAAATCAAGGACCCTTTACGTATTTTTTTGTGTTTTTTTTATAGTGGACTTATGGCTGGTGAAACCAAAAAAAATGCAATATTTAGAGCCCTCAATTTAGCCAGATTTTATTTCAAACATTTAGTATTCATCCATCAGTCGGGATCGTTTTTTGAGATACGGGTATGGACTCGACTGGGATTTCTTCCTTGTTTTGCGACGGTTTCATGCATTGTTTCTTGCGGCAAACATCCAGGAATGTGTAGAGGTATGGATTGATGGATGAGTTGATGGGAAGGATGAAGACAACGCTCCAGACGAAGACCTCAGGATTGTTCTCGACAACACCAGCCTGGAAGAGAATTCCCATGATTATGACGGGCATCCAACATAGTAAATCTGTCGAGACAATGACCGCCATCTTAACGGCCATCCGAACCTCGCTTTCATCTCGCGTGCTGAAGCTGCGCACTCGTCTGGCCGCTACTTTGACTTTGACAAAGATGGCGACGTAGCAGGCCAGAATGAGGCAAAAACCGAACAGATTGACACCCAGGAACAGAACGATAGCAAAGACCCAGGTAGCGGACTGGCTGATTGGTACCGGTCTGGCGTAGGTTACTTCACCGATTCCTCCAACCTTAACAACTTGTTCCTGTATCTCAAGGCCAGTAACTCTAGTCGTCAGCGGCAGACCAATGCAAACATCTGAGAGACCATAAGCGTCAGACGCCTCATCCGAAGCCAGAACTGTGGAGACCACGGCAAGAATGACTGTCAGGAGCCAGACAAAGCCCACAACAATCTTAGCTACCTTGAGAGTCAGACGGTGATTAGTGAAGAACGGGAAGACGATAAACATGAATCTCGTGACGCTGATGAGGACTAACAAAAACACGGACGCTTCATTGGCTATGATGGAGATGAACCCTGCTACTTTACACGCTGCGCTGGATCGCCACTCGTCAGACACCTCAAAATAACGGGCCCCGTAGTGCACATCAGCCCCACCTATGATCAACATGTACAAGCCCATCAGAGCATCAGCACCAGCCAGATTGAACACCAAGAAGGAATTAATCATTCGACTAGCACGGTGTTCTGTCTTCTCCCGACACCTCCAAACCATGACGAAGAGATTGCCAACGACTGCGCCGATGCCCAAGATCCACATGAAAGCCTTTAAGACGTAGTTCGGTACCAGCTGACTACAGACAAAGAGTTCAGGAATCTCAAACCACTCCCTGCACCTTTCTTGTAGTTCTGGTCCAAAGAAGCAGCACAGACGATAGTCATTGAAGTACCTAACATAGATGAAATACAACCCAACAGAGAGAACTTCTGAGTAAACTCCTAGTTAGCAGGAGGTCGTGGGTTCGAATCCCGCCCGAGTAACTTAGCTTTTGAAGGTTTATTTTCTGACATGCAACTACCAAAATATGAACGCATGTACTGGGGGTGATATTGTAACATTAATGTATTAAAGTCTTTTGTATGTCTTGGGACCAGAATAGGAGAAAGGACTTCAGATGACAGAATTTCGTAGATGAAGTCTTGCCAGAGCATAGGGCTGCACACGGATCCTACACAGAAGGATAACGACTGTTCTGAGCTCAGTATAAAATGCACTGAGCGGACTTGCCTTAATTGGTTAGACGCGTGATAGCGGGCATTAATACCCGTTGGCTTGCAATCGCGAATTTTTCTGGTGTGCCATTGTGTCGTATTTTTTTGTGTGCATGACATCTTAAACGGAAATATTCATAAAAAGTGTATGCAAAACTACTCCTTTTGTAGGACATAATTCTTCCAAAATTGTTGAAAAATAAATAGGCTTACTTCAAATTTCGTTTTTAATTAGGCTTTCATTAAGAAGTTTTAGACAGATGTGATTCCGAACCGATGAAACAAAAGCGACATTTCATTGTTCATTTTAAAGCTTACGATATTGTGCTCGGTATGGTTATGCAGTTATTACTTATCAGAATTCAATAATAAAGACCAAAAACGTAGACTCATGAATATTCAAAAATACAATTAGCTGACTTGACAGACTTCGACACCAGATCGGGCGCAGATCCATGCAAATCTGAAAGCCACCGCGCGCAGGAGTCTTTGTTGACAAGTATTCATGGTACTTGCGATCACGCGTCTAACCAGTAGTTTGGCCGAGTCGTTAATCCTTCTCTGTGTAGGATCCGTGGGCTGCATCAGCTTAAAGGGAATGTACAACATTTGCTCTGGCTGCAATTTTCAGCAGTAAGTGGACTTGGGGGATTAGAATGTTATAGCAAATATTGTTAAACTGACTTGTTTCACATTTTGGACTTGAAGATGCTGGAAAAACCAAGAAAAACATCATGTTCTTCTAGTCTGGTTCCCTGACCCCACTTAAGATTAAACGGAGCAGTTTGTCGACGTTGGGGAATTGTAAGGTCAGAGAATCAGTCTGGCAGGCTTGTACCCCTTCACAGGTGTGTAATCAATTGCAAAGAAAATGCGGAAAAACTAATTATGAAAAATTAATAGCACTTTTTGAAAAAAGCCAGTTTTCTCCAACGCTGGTCGGCCGACCAGCGTTGGAAAAATACCAGTTTTCTTGAAAATGTCAGCACACCAGGAGCCACGATTTTACTAGCCTTTAGTCAAGTCCCACGCGCCTATACGGACACGTAACGCACCCCGGATGCTGGCACGTAAAAAGACTAGCACGAGCGGCGAGCTGCTTCGCCGCTCGTGCTAGTCTTTTTACGTGCCAGCATCCGGGGTGCGTTACGTGTCCGTATAGGCGCGTGGGACTTGACTAAAGGCTACGATTTTACAGGGTGCTTTAGAATGTCATTCCTTAACAATCCAATAAGATATTTTGTAATAATTTGATCTATTATAAGATGGAAGACATCTGCACAAGAAAGCAGGAGGTCGTGGGTTCGAGTTCCACCCGAGTGATTTTTTTTCCAACTTTCACTCGGGCGGGAGGTAACACACTGAGTATACGTCGGTGAAGGCAAAACCAAATTTGATTAATAATTTGATTGTTTCGTTTTTTTGATGTTTGCAAATATTGTATCTTCCCTTTAAGCCTCTGGTTTGGGTCTCGTTTTTTTTTAACTCAACCTGTTAAAAAAAAAGAAATTCATTTCTGGATTCGTATACTCGAAGTAGGCACACTCAAGAATAAGCACACTCACAGAAAAGACAAGTTGTCACTTAAGACATCAAACGCACCGTCTTCTATTATCGGCAGCCGTGGACTAGAGTCCATTTCCAAAATTGCTCTGAAAATAATAAGAACATTTGGAAGAGACAAACGTTATACCACTTTGCCAATACTATAATTCGGAACATGACTGTATTTAAAAATAAACCCCAAAAAACTTTTTAAAAATAAGGGTACGTGATTTTAAACTACTACATGTACTTACATTGTTTCTAATTTGTCGAGACCGGCAAACGCTTTGGCTTCGATTTTTCTCAGGTTTATATCAAAAATAGCACTAAAAGAAAAAAAGGAGACGAAAACAACGTTACGTTATACCCCATGAAATCGAATGTATATTTTGAGGTTTGTGCTGTATTCGGGAAAAAAAGACGACGACAACAACAAAGACAATAGGAATTATTCTATGGACTTTCAGCTAATTCCCAATTAAAAGAAATCCTTTTTTTATTTTAAGTATGTTTGTGAAAGAAATTTAGTCAATCACTTACAGTGCGGACAAACTGTCGAACCCATCAAAAGCGTAATTCTTTAAAACTGATTCTTCATCACTTGTCGCCTGAATAACCCTAAAAGAAAAAACTGATTGATTAATTCTCATTTTCAGAACTGTTTGATCTTTAAATTAAGTGATTTTCGTGCGGATATAACACCTTGCATTTAAATTTGAAATGAAATATATAAAAAGCATTAATAAGCAATGAAGTTTACTAATTAAATTCGAATTATGATTCCATCAAACTTATGTTAATCTCTGCGCGTATTATAGCACATCATGACAAATACATTTTGAAGACCGATTGGGTGCGTTTAAGTAGGTAGCTTTTCGTTCAGAAATCCAGCTTTTGTCCATATTAGTCGTTCTTATGGGGATCCATTACAATTTTCTGTCAGAATTTTCGGCATTTCAAATTTATCGTAAACAAACTAATTAAAAACAATAATTACTTACAACACCTTCAACTGTTTAAGGTTAGGAAACATCTTGAAGGTCCCATTCTGAAGTGCGCTGACGTTTACCCCGGAAAGAAACCTATTATACAAACGTAAAAGAGATGTGATTTTTTTGCGATATATATCCACTTTGTTAATATGTCACTCTCTCTTCTCGGATGGCCCCGTTGCCCCCCCCCCCCCCGATCCGCCCTTGGGCCTTCGGCACACCGCACACCCTCTGCCCCATAACCTCTCTGGGTCCGCCCATGAATTTGACTAGTTATGTAGATAGACATTGTTTTTATCGCGAGAGGGCCACTTTTGCTTTTAATGGCCAGCTCAGTGACCATTTTATTCGCGTGAGGAGCAGCACTATTATTTCTAAAGGCCAGCTTTCCATGAGAGGGCCACAATTGTAATGTTGAGAGCGGGGCACTAATGAAATTGTGCTTTCGGGGCAGTTTTCCATCTGGAGAGGGGCACAATTTTATTATGGCAAGAGGCCAGGGTATTTGAGCTCACGATGGGCAGTTTTCCATCATCTTTTTTTTTGGGGGGGGGGCAGTTTTCCATTACAAGAGAGAAGACAATTTGTAACGCAATCATATGCTTTCATGTGTGCGTTTGAGGGCATTTTTGTTTTCATCTCGAGGGGCACATTTACAGCCGTGAGAGGGGCACTTTTGTTGGCCTTGGAAAATCTGGGGGAAAGCTCCCCCCCCCCCCGGTTCGCCGCCTCTGCCCAGAGGTTGCGCACGTGGAAGGTCCATGCCAGGGAGTCGAACAGTACAGGGTCGGCGATCAGCTCCTGGATTAAAAAACCCGAAACCGAGATATTATTGCTAATTGGAACAGAAGTAGGCCACATGCGAATCAAAGGAAGATTATCCGGAGATATCATCTGTTAGGGTTGAATCTCCTCTTTAAAATGACACCCTGGTCATGTCATAACATTGACGGTCTACTGAGCAGTGACCAATTTTATGAAAGGGTCTATTAAGAGACGCGCCACTTTTTAATTGTGGTTTTTGTTGTGTCAGTCCTCACAGAGTGAAAGGCTATATGGTTGCCAAGTCAAGGCAGGTGGGGGAAAAAAATTCAAATGAAAAGTCTCTAAATAGACCCTTTCATAAAATTGGTCCTGCTCAGTCAACCGTGAATGTAAGGACATAATCAGGGTGTCATTTTAAAGAGGAGATTCAACCCTAACAGAGGATATCTCTCTTTGATTCAGTGACATGTGCCCTACTTCTGTTCCAATCAGCAATAATATCTCGGTTTTATCCACCCTGTAAAGGGGTATTGTGAATTTGTGATAACCAAAAGCTGTGCCTCCATTTCACCCCCGCCCAATATGTGTCAAGAGGTTTGCACAGACATAATTATTAAGGATAAATGGCAAGTTACAATTGGATCGATAAAACATGCATTAGGCCTAACTGTGATTGTACATTCATTTATTTTGAAGAGTTTATGAGGTTAACGGGCCTATAGATGGTCTTTTATGTTGCAACGTACAGGGTGTGTGTGGTGTCGAACTGTGTCCCCAGCAAATAAGTATAAGGCTGCAACCATGCACATATTACTGCCAAATCTTCACCTCTGAAGCCACAGCCACAAAATGGGTTTGGATCGTCACAGTCCTTTCTGCTGCGACGTACGGGGCAGGACTGGGTTTCTGATGGACACACAACATTAAAGAGAAAAGGTCAGTGTTAATTCGTACTTGCGGTAACACCATGTGGTAATAACTACTGCTTAAAAGATATTTAAGTTCTGAAAAGAACTTGTCCTGCTTATTATCAACTTCTTGGCTAAGTAGTTTTTTGTTCTGATAAGTCTCCTGACGATGACTAGAGCAGGCTAGTCAAAACGTTGAGACCAAAGACACGTTCTTTTAGAACTAAAAGGAGGACTGTTCTTATCAGAACAAAAAACTACTTAGCGAAGTTGATAATAAGCAGGACAAGTTCTTTTCAGAACTAAATATCTTCTAAGCAGTTGTTATTACGACATGGTGTTACCGCAAACCGAAACGATTCCAATTCCTACTTAACAAACTCTTACAGTAATCTGTTGAACTTTCGTGACTTGTACATGAAAAACATTTAGATTCCTGATGTTTCATTTAACTGCACTCGACACGATTTTCGAAAATGAGGATGGAATATTTGCAGAATCCTAAGTTCTTCACATCATGCATAGTTTCATGTGGAGGCAGTGGCGAAACTACTTAAAGCGTGGGGGTGGGAAGTACGGGGGGCACACAAGGTATACAAGATGGCTACAACAGGTCAATGGTGTTCCACACCCCACGGGCCCCGAACCCCACGCCCTATATTTTGGGACCTACTTTTTGTGGGATCAAATTTTTTTTGGCCCCCCTCCCCCCCCCAAAAAAAAATTGTGTTCTGGATCCGCCCTTGAATTGTACAAGTCTGCAATTTTTAACGAAGAATAATTTATTACCATAGTTATATTGCTGATTACTCGGACATTTCCTGCACATAGATTCGTCGAATCTGTCAAGTAGCGAAGTGCCTGCAACGATTTGTGCCAAAAAAGTTGGATATTGGTGAGAAAAGTGTCATAATTTTGAGTGAATTGACAAACATTACTTAATAACAATAAATTACAGGTTGTTGTTATACCTAGGGTTTGGACGAACCATTTTTCCCTAAATCATGGGCGAGGTGAAATTGGAGAAGGCAGCGGTTGTAGTTTCAACAGAATCTTGAGTAAGTTTTGAAAACAGGCATATTTAATAGATTGTGCGGTTACTTTTAGGTTATCACCGTGAACGGTGTCTTAACAAATACCTTGGCGCCTAATTATTAAACTAGACTTTTTTTCACTTACAATTCGCCTCGTCCGATGCGTCCTTGCACTGCTCAAATCCATCACATCGTGAACCATTACCCAAACAAGTCACGCCCTCAACTTCATCAACACATCGGAAATCATCTCTTCTGCAATATCCTATACAAACAAAATGAAGGAATTTTTTGCCGTGAAATTCACTCAGGGCGTAGCAGTGTATTGCTTTGCTGAGATAGTTCATTCCCTATTTTCTGATTTGCTAAAAAAATCTAACTTCTTTCAAATGGATACAATATTCATCCGTTCATTGCGGCATAGTTTCGTAAAATGCTCCGCGTCAAGTCCAACACAAGTCTATCACAAGTCCATCACAAGTCTATCACAGGTCATATCATAGGCCACGGTCACACGACCAATCACAATGACGTCGCAAAACCGACAATAAAGTACATTTGCCACAGTTATATAAAATTAAGTAGTTTTACTTGAGACTAAAAGACTTGTATGGAATCTGTTGACTTCTGATGGCTGGACTCCGCCAAACACCCACCGTTTTCTTTGATCGATGATGGCGCTCCTTCTTGCCTCACTGTCACCGAAAACCCGCGGCAAGAGGAGACATGAGAACTTTGGAACTTCATCCAGGCCTCGTGACCGTTAGACGCGACTCGAGCCCCGCCGACCCCAGTCAAATTCCCGGTGAAATCAACGATGACGTTGTCACGCAAGACGGAGGCCAAGTCTGACGCATCGATCCCGTTCCCGATCTGCAGCTCGTCATTTCCCGCAATCTCTATCACGTCGAAATCAAAAGTCACTCTGCGGCCTCTGTCGACTCGGATCAGCCAGATACTGAGTACTTCATCTGGGTAGAAGCCATGAGTGTAATTTGGGAACTGGAACGACCACTGGGGGGCCTCCTCGGTCAATAAAACAATATGAAGTGCATCGGGAATTTGAGCTAATCATGACAAGAATAGAAAGAAGAAAAAAATGTCATTAATGACGGGTTGACTCTGACCTTTTTTGACAAGGCTAAAATAGTGGCTCTAAGCCGGCATTCGACTAGGTAGCGACGAAGCTGTTGTCGATATAGTGCACTCGACCGAAATCAGGGTCTGGTCTGATCTGCCACTCTTTGGGGACATAATTATAATTTTTTCGCGTATTTCTTTTTTTTATTATATTTATTTTTAATAATATTTTTCCAATTTTCTGGGTCAATGGCCAGGCAATATGTGACCCAAACAAGTGGCATTTTGACCCGGATTTTGGTCGAATCTGACCCGGGATTTTTAAGAGTTAGTCAGGCTAAAGCCCGGCTCTTTACTTCACACGAACGCGAAGCGTATTTCATATCACGAAACATTCGTTGCGATATTCGTATTCATCTCTATGGGCAATTCCGTAAATTCCAGCTCTTTTTGCACGTCCGGCCACATGATTTTACAAGGTCGTAAAGCTGGTTGTACATTGTTTTTGTTTGGCCTGTAATTGTTTTCTCTTCATTAGATGTCACACAATGTCATTACTAATGTATCACATACACACTACCAACAAAAGCTCGTTAAACTGTCTGATATGTACGTCCGAATTTACGCAGGGAATTAAACATCAATAATCTAATTTCAAACTAGGAAATATAAAAAAAAAAAAAATGACGCAAAAACTCAACTGGTACCCTAGTTGAGGGCTCTATACCAACATGATCGAATTTACAAAATGAAACTTATTATGTGTTTTTAATTACAGAAGGTCTAATCTAGACGCTACGGGCTTTTCCCTGCCACTTCTAGACGATATTGTTGGCTGCTGCAGTTTTCGTCTTTGACAGTATTCTAAAGAGTTTCTTCTAGAAGATCAGCACTGTTCTCTACCGCACAAAATTAGTGCCATCGAAGCCTCAACAAAACACTCCCACTAAAAACCCGGAGAACACCAAAAACGGTAAACTAAGGGGTAACACCATGGGCAAAACACTCCCACTGTGAGGGACAAACATGGGAGTCGGGTGGGCGTGGCGGTACTTTCCTCGCCTCCCACCTCTGTGACCCGGGTTCGAATCCCGCCTCGGTCAATATGTGGATTGGGTTTTCAGTCCCTACCTGATTCCGTGGGTTTTCCCCAGAATATCTTCTGGGCTATTACTCCCACCTCTAAAACTGTAATTTCTTCTCATTGTCTTCTCTCTAAGTTGGTGTGATGTTTCCTCTGGCTGGGATGCTTTGCTTACTACACTAATTATACAGATACATCAAAAGGGTAAAACTGCCTGCCTCCCTCCCACCCAACCATTAAGTCACTGATTGTTTCAAATATACAAACCAAAAAGTAACACAGACACTAGACTTGTGTTTGTGGACAAACAGGGCTATTTTCGGCAATTGATTTGGTGACATCTGGCATGTCATGTACTTGTAGATTAACAAGTAGAACTTACATCCGGGTCGGATGTGTATTTCCTGTGTGTAGATACTGAGAAGGACGGTGGTGTCACAAACTGAACGTGAGGACATCATAACATAAGCAACAACATAAGCTACCAACAACAATCACGGCGGAAATCGTCTCAGGAAATGTCGCAAAACAGTGGTTTCTTGGTCTTTTCCAGGAGATCAGACTAAGGAATAGGATACTAAGGTACTAAGGTATAGGATACGTAGTGTGCATCATGAGAGAAATTCGTGTGTGAATGATTTAGCTGACTACTTACCGTAGCTTGATCATGCCAACATACAGAACAAAATGATATCCGAGCAAAGACATCTTGTCGTCATACCAACATGATCGAATTAAAATGAAATTTATTATGTGTTTTTAATTACAAAAGGTCTAATCTAGAGGCTAAGGGCTTTTCTTTGCCGCTTCTGGACGATATTGTTGGCTGCTGCAGTTTTCGTCTTTGACAGTATTCTAAAGAGTTTCTTCTAGAAGATCAGCAGTGTTCTCTACCGCGCAAATTTAGTGCCATCGAATTCTCAACAAAACACTACCACTAAAAACAGGGACAACACCAAAAAGGTAAAAAGGAGGTACAACACTCCCACTATAAGTATAAGGGACAAACGTAGGAGTCAGGTAATTGGCGTGGCGGTATACTTTCCTCGCCTTCCACCTCTGTGACCCAACGCAGGTCGGCCGACCAGCGTTGGAAAAAATACAGTTTTTCTTGAAAATGTCAGCACACCAGGAGCCACAACTTTACAGGATGCTTTAGACTAGTGTCATTCCCTAACAATCCAGTAAAATATTTCGTGATATTTTGATCATTTCGTATTTTCATGTTTGCAAATGTTGTATCTTCCCTTTAACTGACTACTTACCGTAGCTTGAACTTGCCAACACGCAGAACAAAATGATATGCGAGCAAAGACATCTTGTCATCAGCATGGTTGAAGTTGTATCTAGCTACAGGAGTAATGGCGGGTTGCAACGAGGATCCGATGATGAACTGCAGCCAAGTTGACTTCAGGATGAGCATTTATACCCCCAATGGTCAGGAAAAAGCGTTTCCTGTTTCCTGCACCACCATGCCACGTGACACTGTTTTACCAACGGACCTTTTTACTAAAAAATGCATAATTATGCACGCATGCGCATAAAATGGGCCTGGCGACCACTAAAAAGCGAAAGCAGTCCACAGACGCTAATGTAAGACCAAAATTTAGACTGACCCTGAGCACACATCCCCGATACCACTCTAACAACAGGTGTTCCACATTACACCCAAGGTCTTCACGTCACCCTTTTCCAAGCGATACACCCACAGCATACCAAGATTGTGATTTAATCCTTGTACAGGGGAAAGTGACCTCATAAGGGTACTCCCCCAGACTGACCATTACGTCAGTCTATGGTCAGTCTACCTTTACTCAGAAATGATGTCATATAAGTTATGTTTTCCTTATATGACATCATCTCCTATTTTCAATCCACGTGGTCCCTCTGAAACTGTATAAAATGTCCACATTTTCCCACTTTCATTGAGTTCTTCTTCTTCTCCCTGGGAAACCAGAGGCATAGCCATAAGCTGATTCAGCCCTATGCTCTGGCCCGGCTTCATCTACAAAACTCTTCAGAACCTCTGTCTTCTGTCTCCAACTTCTGTATTCTGGTACCCAGCCATACCCATAAGCTGATTCAGCCGTATGGTCTGAGGTTATAATTCTGTACATCTATATTAGAGAGAGTTTGACTCGGCCTCCCACGATGTTTGCTCATGAAAGGATCCGAGACCGCGAGCTCCCGCGGCGCCAAAGTCGCTCCACTTCCGTGGAAAAATGCGGAGGGTGTCTTCCGCCGGGTCGGACACTTCGGGTCGTCCTGATTTTCCCGTCCGGACCGGCGATCCGTTTCGTCGATTTTTCGTGACTGCGTTATGCGCAGGAATTTGCCGTCGTGTGCGCTTTCACGTTGACTGCCTGTCCGCCCCCTGTGCTGGCTTTTTCTGCGTGTCTAGACTGTGCGAGGTCAGCGGCTTCGACGTAGGGTTGCGTTTACGTGTTCTACTTGGCTGTTTTGCAAAAGAGTTCACCAAACGGTAGCATGGGGTGACCTTGGTAAAATTTTTTTCCATGGTGCGTGGCCATCAAGTGTCCCTATTCTTTCATATGCTTCGCTTGCCGCCCCTGCGCCGAGTGCAACGAATACTCAGAAGGACCACACATTAGTATGCCTTGCGCGGTCTGACCAATTCTACCTCCATGGACCAATCAAAAGTCTACACTGCGTAGTACTTCCGAGCTATGCGTAAAACCGTCGATGGCAACGCGTAGGCCTACTGCAGCCTGCTACACACCCTGGAAACGAGGTTGGGTCTACGATGCTCGCTATTTGCAGCACAAGCATATGTGACGTGATATAGTGCTCTGTTGCTTCCATCATGTGTTTACAGCTCCATGCATCCACCAAGGCTGACCGTTGTGAGTTCGCTGCCCGCCACGTATAATTCAGTGTCGCGTTATAATTTCAGGGGCCTGTTTGGGATCAACGAAGGATCGATGCATTGCTTCAAATACCGCGATCTTAAACGCAGTCACAAAAAATCGACAAAAAAGTGTCCGACCCGGTGGAAGACACCCTCCACATTTTTCCACGGACGTGAAGCCGCGGTCTCGGATCCTTTCAGGAGCAAACATTTCTCGGAGGCCGAGTAAAACTTGCTCTTATAGGCCTATAGATGGTTGAACCAACTTGAATAAAAGTTGAATCAACTTTTTCCTCGCATACGGTCTCGCAAATTGTAAGAAGTTCAAATTTACGTTTGTTGAAACTTAATTATGACCTTCCTCCATGATTCAGACGGTTTGTAATTTTATGGTAACACTCAACATTTTCATGTCAAATGACACCTTCACGTTTTATTGCATTATGATTTATTGTCAAAACTGTACAATCAGCCTTCGCCTGTGTACTACAGTAACCTTTTCACTACGTTTTCCAAATGCGACTGCCTCACAAATGCGACTGATTCTATTGCTCAGAAAACATGTAGCTGATTCAATTACTCCAAACTCAAAACTTTAAAAGAACTTCTGCTGAAATTGGTTTTAGTGGTCAGAAATTGCCTCAGATCACACCACAGAAATTGCTTTACTATAACTGCATGTCCCAACTATATCCCCCATTTACATTTAACTCCCCACATTTTCATCCCCAACACTACGCACTACCCGATCTATGATCGGGTAAATCAGCTTGTACACAATACCGGTAGAATATTGAGTTCTTGAAAATAAACCAGTTTTCCATATAGCTGAACTCATAGTCATTAACAGTGTGTCTTTGTATAGTCTTCGTAGTCATCTGTTCATCCTGCTCTTAGCCACAGCTACCCTATCCTAACATATAGTATAGTCAAACAAACCAAAGACTTTATAGCCAAATCTATGTTACACTAATTCCACGGCAATACGCCAAGGTGGAGAGAGGCAAGTGGGTGCGAAGTGGCTTGCCCAAGGACACAACATAATGACCAACAGCTGGATTCGAACCCCTGACCCTCTTATGATGAGTCACGAACCCTAACCACTAGTCAACACTCCTCCACTATAGCTTAGGGTTGCAGACCAGTAAACAAACTGCCCGTAGACCCTAGTGATAAATGCCTCGATCTACTTCCAAAATTCAGGAAAATACTCAAAACTCTGCTAGGTGTTTGAAACACACATCAAATTGAAACTTATTTCACCATCTTGCATTTTCTGTTCATTTAAACTACTGAATACTGTGTAAGGGCGACAGAACTTGCTAATCGCGTCTGCATTAGGGCAACACGCATTATACATGTAGTCAGGTGGCTTAATTTACACCCAATTTTTGACAAGATCCTGACCGACAGGTATATTCAGTGAGATTATTATCATTATTATTCCATTCTATTATTTATTTATTTATTTTTATTTTTATTTTTTTTTTGGGGGGGGGGGAGTTTGGCCTTTAATGCATTGACTTTTTGGAGATAATTTCCATCCAAAGATGATCACCCCTAAAAGGAGTCTTAAATCCCATCGTCATTAACGCTAAAAGGGGCGTGTTCTTTTGACCATCTCTCAGCCGGGGCGGATTCCGCCCCCCTAAGATCACAACCATCGAGTGACGAACAAATTTGAAACTCGGTACATGCATAGAGCAACTCATCATAAACATACTCAAGAAATTTCATGACTATAGGTCAAATGGTTTTGGGATTATGGCTAATTTATTGTTGATATGTACGAATGGTAATTCTACTCTCGCTGCGCGGCAAACCGTAGTCCGATTCTTATATTTTCGGTATCAAAAGATGCGCAAGGCTCGAGGCTAAAAAGTCATAACAGCTCGGGTCGCAATTTTTTTTTAAGGCTATCGTGGAAAAAGTCAAGGTGGATTCCGACCCGGCCCTTTTAGAGTAAAAAAAAACGAGGCCTATATACGCTCCATTGCAAAAAGAGCAATTTGAGGGGGCACTTTAATCCACATTTCACAGAAGTACAGGCTTACAATCTTATTCCCGGCTGCCAACCTAGTGACTGTTAACAAATCCTCAAGTTCATTGCCCACAAAATGCTCTAAGGGCGTCCTTTTTTGGTTCTCATGTTTGTGTGCCTTTAAAGTAGGGTCGGTCTATCGGGAAAAAAATCTGAAGAGAGATAAAAACACACATACTGGAATTTGTATCCTTGTGAAGTCATTCCTATGTTCTTGTGTATACTACAAAAATTGAATTTGAAAATTTAGTTTCAAAATGCTCATATTTTAACCAGAATGAATTTCCTGGGCTGAAATTTCGACTTAATAACCCTTACATAAAATACTTCAATTTGCGACGGATCAACACACCTTAGAAATTCCTAGTTTTTGAGTAAAATCCATATAACTTTTCGTGATAACCTTGTGGAGACGTATTCACCTATAGAAATTGTCCTGTGGAGACGTATACAGTCTTGTGTTCCCTATAATACACGTCTCCACAGGGTACCGTGTACCAGATCATTGCAGTTGTACCCGTAAAGGCGGCTAAGTTTAAATAATGCCAAGTGCCTATTGTCTCTAGTTTTGTTTATCGCAATGCGATTTATCATGACTTGATATCACTGAACAGAATAATAATACCATGTTTGGCAAGATGTAGTTGCATGACGTACACTGTAGATCTGCACCAAACAGCTCACTAACGTTTGGGCTGTAGTGGAAGCCATATATATAGCAATAACGGTATTCATTTTCAACAGCTAGTGAAATAATACAAAGCTTGATTGCCTAAATTTTACTTTCATTATTTTTTCCCCTTTATGTTCATGGGGTTCCAGACAAGGAAGGGTGTTGGTCATAAAAAAACAAAATAGGGTCGGTTTGAAATGAGAACCACAGAAATATAAGGGATGTCCTAATAACCGAAACTTTGAGTGCATGTAAATCGTGATTTTGTTTATATCTTTCTAGAAAGACCATACAAACTTCCATTGGCAACGAAAAGAGACAAAAGTTAGTCTCAGACTAAATAAAAGTGCATTGTTTTATTTTGTTCCTTTTGAATGTATACATGGCGTTTGTATTTACTTAATTACATTACCAATTGTTTTTCCTTCTATTGTTATAGATTATAAAGAAAAAGTAGTTATTCATTACAGTACATATCCATTCAATATTACACAATGCAGTGTGCCACCTAGAGTTTGCCACGAAGATACCATTTTTCAAGTTTACGGTCGACAAAACACGGCCCATTTTGAACGAGTATCAGGAGACAACTTGAGTTAATTTGTTAAGGATTGGCGCATAGTCTTCTGCCGCGTTACAAAAAAAAAATGATAAAAAGAAGAGAAAAAGGCAAACATATACTGGAATCATACGCTTACGAAACAAACGGGACAAACTATCAAATAGCCCGCGCTGCGAATTTGTCGACCATCTCCCACAATGCACTGAGAAAAATAAACTCTCCTTGGCAAACTCTTACTCACTGCATTGTGAAACGCCCGAATTCAAGCGTATTAACATGATGAGCGGGCAAATTTCTACTTTATTCAGGTTTACACGTATGTTAGACATTATTGTGTTTTATTGTATTCAGAGGCAGTACAGCGCCGGGAGTTGAACCACCGACCTGTACAGCAAGCCTTCAGACACTGCCCATTTTACTGGTCCCAGAGGGCCAGTCTAGCGCCCTCTTAGTACCGATCTGACAGACTGACTACCTCACTGCACTTGTGAGTACTGTAAATGAGAGCGGTTGTACAAGGCCAGTCAAAAAGAAAGTGACCCGGATTATTTTTTTCCCTTAAAAGCAATTATATTTGATACACCAATGAAGTATGTCTTAAAAGAACATGTTCTTCCCAAGGGCGGAACCAGTGGGTTTTTTTTGGGGGGGGGGTGGCGGCCCAAAAAGTGGGTCAAAAAAATTACGGCGTGGGTTTCGGGACCCGCTATTCGGTCACTTTCATTTCGACTCACCCTGTATAATGCTGAAGATAGGCGGACAGTGCTTTTCCTATAAGAATACCCCTGCAATCATTGTATATGCAAAGAAAATAGCTAAGTACAAAAGATATGCTTGGCGAATAACGTCCTAATACCAGCCAAACTTACATGGTATGTATACCACTCGTGACTGGTTTTCGGATGATAATATGCTTAGCACAAAAAAAAGACATTTAGTGATAGCCAGGGGCGCATCTAGCTTTCGGGAAACGGTGGGGGTGTCATGAAGTGGGGGAGGGGGGTGAGTGCAACCCCAAATCCCCTCTATCTGCCACTGATTCTCATTCTGAATCATTTAAATAAATGTTTGAGCGCTCTTTGACTAGTTTTATAGGCTTGCCTTCAAAAGTTGTCTTGAAATATAGGGAGAAGTACTACATCATTTTAGTGGTCATGTCACTCGACCATAGGCCTGACAATCAGTGAAATCAAATAATGACCTCTGATTGAGATGAAAATCTGTGGACTTAAATAATAGACCATTATCATGTTGCAGACATTTGTTTTGTTCCCATTCAGATCCATGTAACCACAGCGAGGCTGAAGGAAAAATAGTCTGGTTCCTTTTGGCACAAAAAACCATTATCATTCAGTACTGTTATTGGATACAGGGAACATGACTGAAATGGTGGAAGCATAATAAAGGTCTATTAGCACTGCAGGCGTACTTTCTGGAGTTTGTTAATAGCGTTGGTATTGGTTTTGATTTATTAACTTGTCCAATTAATTGACAGATGTAACGAATTCATAGAAATTTAACAACAGATCGACAATGGGTCTAAAGGACTGGAAAATAGCACACTTGCTAATGCTGTCTAGCCCTAGCCCTTGACACGTTGCCAGGGGTGCATTCAAAAAGAGACGACCGAGCAATAATTTATCTCATGACTGGCAGCTTCCCGCATGTTCATGAAAACTTTCTTGGGACATACCAGGCAAGCTGGCCCCTTCGCTCACGGGAAAGCATCCCTGGCAATGAGTTAGCAAGACCTTTAATAATTTGGGCAGATTATATCAGCTCAGTATAAAGAACAGCTTTAGATAGTGTGTCCTTAAAGGAATATACAACATTTGCAAACATCGAAAAATAAAGCTACCAAGTTTTTGCGAAATACCTTAATAGGATGTTGGTAAATGACAGTCTAAAGCATCCTGTAAAATTATGGCACCTGGTGTGAAGTCATTTTCAAGAAAATGGTATTTTTGTAAAACTGTCCAGCGGTGGTCGGCCGACCACCGTTGGAAAAACCTAACTATTTTTCAACTACTGCTCCAAATTTACCATTAATTCAGTCCAAATTTTGTTTGCTATTGGTTACATGTTCATGAACGGATGCAGGCCAGCTAGACTGGTACCCTTACCTTACAATTTTCTGGCATCTGTAAATTGATCCATTTTATATTTAGTGGAGTCGGGGAACCAGACTGCTTGAACAGTTTTGTTTTTCTTGGTTTTTCCAGCATTTTCGAACACAAAACTTCAAACAGGTGAGTGTAACAATATTTGATCTATTATACTAACCCCTTAAATAGTTCATTTCTGAAAATTACAGCAAAAGCCAATGATGTATATTCCCTTTAAGTGGGCGGTTTTTCTTTCGATGGCTTTTGACGGATTGTCGCACTGCTTCAACGGCACCCAAAAGCTGCAGCCGTGAAACTCTCCCGCGTCAGGCCGCACTCCCAGCTTTTCACAAACATACACGGTTCGTCTGTAGTGTAGGGACTGCAGTTAATATTCGCTTGATATGCAAGTGGTATTGATGTGATATTCTACAGGGATGTTCGAGTGGTAATTCAGTCAAACTCGAGTCGTGAACTACACAATGATCGATAGGACTACAAATCTTCTGTCCCTACTTGAACCGACTATGCATAGGGCAAGCAAACATGTCCACACCACCAACTGCAACATCCCCAACTTATTGTACAAAATCCTAGCTCCCAAATGAAAGTGTCAACAATCGCCAATGTTGTAATTTTAATTCAAACATTAATAGAATTATCAACAAAATACTCAGTTGCTTATAATAATATATATATTTGTACACTATTTACAGAGCACAAAGGGCAGCATGCACCATAAAAAATGACGCCTAAAAATAAAGGGGGCCGTTGCCTGAATAGTCTTCCCCGAAGTTTTAATACTGCGATTGAAGTTTATATAGGAGCTGTTACTGAACTATGAATGACCGGCTCATTGCCCACAACAGGTGTTTCTCTGCTTCTTGATTGGTCATCTCCGCCGCGTCTGCGTTTCCTGTCCCGCCTCTTTGATGGTCTAGTTCCCTGCCTCCTAGGTTTAGTGGTCACCTCGGCCGCCGTGGGTGCCTCGCTGCCATCTTGCAGGGTTTGGGTAGACACCAGACCATCATCAGCCAAGATGCCTACCACGCTTGCCTCTCCTTTGCAGGTGTGTTGGTCGACTGTCTCGGTGCACTCGCTGCAGCGAACGAAGCAGCACCAGTGGAACTTGCACTCGCATTGGCTGGTGCGCTGGACACGCATGGTGTTGTAGCCCCGCCCACAGCACATGACGTCACAGCTGTCTGGACCCTGGGAAGTCTTGTTGCAAACTCGGCCTGCCGTGCCCAGGGAGCCTGTTAAAAGTTAAAGGGAGCAGAAGAGAACTTGAACGTTTAGTAATTACAAAGTGAATGACATCATCATTTCTGGTTCTTGCTGGAGTAAACATGACTGGTCTTAGTTTCAGTGTTGTAGTCGAGACTACAACATCCGAGTCCTCCTGTCCGAGTCCTAGTCCGAAAAATCCGAACCTGAGTCCTCCTAATGAGCGGCTCATAAATCAAATGTTGTCATACATATTAACAAAAATAACCAAGTACGAATGCACAGTAAGCTCAGACGAAAAATGCGACGCCGACGGCACATATTATGGAACACCATATTTATGATTAATTTTCGGGACAAACATAACAGACAGACCATCCGACCGACCGACCGACCGACCGACCACCAAGTGACATGTAGATGCTTCTGCCAGAGCTTAAACATTGCACCCCGCCCACCTTTTGGGGACATTTCCTCCTTCTGGAAACCGTCCAACCACTACACAAAATGGCGTCCACCTTGTTCGAGGAAGATGTTGTACAGCGCAAGTGCAAGTGCACAATAAGCTCTGGCCGCGTTGCAAGAAGTCTGGCATGAAATCGATCAAAATGAACCCTGCCAGAGTTTAAAAATGCGATGCCGAAAAATGCGACGCCGATGGCACATAATTATGGCACACCATTCTTTGGTCAATTTTCGGGGACAGACAGACAGACAGATAGACAGACCAACCGACCGCACCACCAAGGGATCTGAAACTTTGATTTCATTTAATTTGTAAGCAACAGGGCTATTTAGGATCAAAAGTAGGACATGTTTTTTTTGACACGTAGTAGCCTATGTCTTAGTCCATGTTTATGGACGGTATCGGTGTTTAGAAACAGGGTTCCAAATTGATACCCTCCCTGGAAAAAAATCGATCCGGAGTTGCCTGTTATAGAGTGGGTATCCCATCAAGTGTTACACACCTATGTTCCGACACACCAATGTTCCGACAACCCTATGTTCCAACTGCTCATATTCCTATCCCTAACCCTAACCGGGAGTAACACAATCTAATGTGCGGGTAGTCGGAACATAGGGGTGTCGGAACATAGGGGTGTCGAAACATAGAGCAGTCACCCACCAACTAAGCATCCCATGGGTGCATGGATCATGCATGGAAAAACGGTATATTGCGCGTCTCTTGTTGCTTGTTTTGCAGACTCCCAGAAGTTCAAACATCTCGCCTCCTTATCTATGCCGAATCAACCACAAGTGCAGCAGCCTACCTGTTTCAGGATCCCTCTTGCAGTAGTCCGGCGACTGCTCGAAGTACACCAGGTTGGCCCGGTTGGGTCTGCGGTGGTTCCTGGTCACGCTGAGTCCCGTGCCGTCCTGTCCCATGGTCACCTCTGAGGCCTCGTCGTACTTGGCCCGTAAGTAGTCGCCCACCTCTCGGAAGTCCTGCATGGCCTTCCAGCAGGTGCGGATGGAGCAGGACCCGCTGACGCCGTGGCACTTGCACTCCAACTTCATGTTCTTCATCACTGCCTGGAATTGATGGGATGAGCATACACAAACCAGCATGATCAAATGTGTGTATAAAACAACCAAAAGTCATCACAAGTCATGGTACGACATCTGCATGGAAAGATGTTGTACATGGTAATACTTCCGACGTTTGCAGAAGGTCGTTGGTTCGAGCCCCACCTAATAGCTTTAGCTAGTGATTTGTTTTCTCGCATGCCTTTGGACATTACCGAGAGCGTTTGAAGTTAGTTCTATAAAGGGCAAAAACAATATCGAAGGCAATAACAAGTCATCACGTTTCAAGTCAAGTTAAAAGTTATCCGATCGAACTTTGACAAAGAATCTATGGACAAATCACGAGCTCTTCCTTTAACATAGTTCATCCACTGTTTTGATCAGATTAGTAATTGACTCAGTAACAACATTTTTATTTGTAATAAAAAAACACACAACAATTTTGTTGGTGACTATTGCTAACCCTCACCGAATCATTATTCATTGGTTTGCTGATGTGGAATATTTTGATTAAGTGCGAGACATGACTGAAAAAATATTTGAATGGATGTTGGCCATTAATTTTAAAAAAAAGTCCTCCTCTCACAAAGAGCCCACTTTCCACGACCAGCCTGAGAAAAATTCAACCGTTTTCTAGTCAAAACTGGTTTCTTCTTTTTAGAGAGGAAGAGGTTGGGCGCTGTAAGGACCTATACTGGTTCGGGAAGTTAGGTTGGCGTAGAGGTTCTTTTCTCGCCTTCCACCGCTGTGACCTGGGTTCGATTCCTGCCCCGCTCCTCATGTGTATTGGGATTTTCAGCCCCTCCTTGATTCCATAGATTTTCTCAGTATATTCGTCTGTGGTTTTCCTCCCATCGCTAAAACTGTAGTTTCTTCACTTTGTCTTCTCTTTATACTGGGCCCCATGAATTGGCTATACCTAGTTAAACAAGAAATAAATAAATACCCTCCGTCCCGCCCTGTTGTTGTGAAGGTTCATCAACGCTCTCGGGTCTCGGTCCTTCCGTTCCCGAGAGTCCACGAACTGCCGGGCGAAGTCGTGGGCGAACTTGACGTTATCGCTGCAGCCTCCCCAGTCGAACTCGCCGTGCTCGTCCCGGCTGGAGCCCTTCTTGGACGGGTCGCAGGCGCAGTCCAGGAGCTCCCCTTTGCTGCAGGACCGGGTGATCTCGTGCACCACGCCGGCTGAGGAGATGGCGTAGACGAAGGCAGCCTCCCTGCTGGCTTCTGGAACGTGAATGAAACATAATTGAGATGCTTATTATAGTCGATAACACAACTGCGAAAAGTGACTAGCTCTAATAATGAGGTGGTTTTGAGAAACCGAGGTGTGTGGACTCGATGGTCGCATTCAGTATGCTCTGACCGTCATTTAGGGACCTGTATGTATTTTCTGACAGTTATCTGCGGACAAAAAAGCGGGTTCTGAAATCATGTTTCTATTATTATGTTCATATCGTCATAGAGTGCATGTTGATTCTGAGAAACAGGGGAACTTATACCTCGGAGCTTTCCTCCTGATGATGACGGTCAAAGAATACCGACCGAAGAGTCGGGAAAACAACTCTTTTTCTTCTCAGAACTACTTCCTTTTAGAGTAAGTCACTTCACCGCATAGCAATGAAAAATGTACTAGTTTTTGTTTTGACTAGTTTTTGTTTAGATCTCAGGCAAGTTTTGGCAAGATCTCAGTTTAATGCTCAAGGGCAAATAATGACCGATTGCCAGGAAAATGTTGCAGCCCTTTTTCATAACATGAAGGACTTTGAATAGCTTACATAACACAGCAATTACATTTTTTATAGGCAAGGAATTTGGAAACAGTGTCCAGAAATGTGGTTCATTCGTTCATTCATTCATGCATTCATTTGCGGTTTATTTCATTAAAAACGCCAAACAAAAAGTCAAATGACTAAAAATGTTTGATTTACAGTAGGATAAAATAACATTCAACAGTAAGGAAAACAATTTTTTTTTTAAAAATGCAAAAATACACTGAAAAAAATAAAATAAATAGAAATAAGTAGGCAAATAAGATGTGTTAATAAAAATCACTTTCTTAAAAGGTTGAAAGAGAAACGTTAGCAGGTATGAGACTGTGTAATGCTATTACAATAAAAATAAATTAAGAATTTTGCCGTTCATCGTTAAGCAGTTACCATATGCATTATTGGGCTTTGTTTGTTGTGCTGTGAGGCGTGAGGGAAATTAGGCCTATATAAAACTCATTGGGTTGAGGCCAAGGATTATAGGAGTATCTACACAATTAAAAGTTTAAAAATGTACTTCTTGGTTTTGTTGTTATTTCAATGTTGACACTTTTTTTAGGGGAAATACTGTATATTGATATCAGGGATTTGTGCGGTGTTGTAACGTGACAAGGGTGTTTCTCAAACCTCGGGTAAAGCGAATGTACGTCTTTGGCTTCAGGCTCCGAAGCCAAATAGGTCTTGGCTTTCCGACTCACATAATGGGCGCTACACGTACATGTATATTAGGATCATCACATCTAATATGGAGTGAAGCCATGTACTCCGTCGGGGAACCTTTTAATTTGGTCCGAATCTTTTTTAAAGGCCTGCATATGGTTTTGGCTCACACAAAAAGCTGGATCTGGTGATGAAAGAGATGCCTCAATATCGGTCGCTTGCTACATACAGGAATCACATTCGAGTCTTATGGTGCCGCGAAACCACATCTAAGGAGCCTTTAATAATCTGGTACCAATTTTTGAATGGTATCAAGGTCATAAACGAATCCGAAGATAGAAATGAGAGATAATGCTTAAGAGTCAGAGCACAACCGCACTGCAAAATGTCTTGCCATGTTGTGTTTTGACGGGGCGGGGAACATCTTACGACGCTGTCCTCCATCCGCGGTGATCGGCCAAGCTGGATCAACAAACCACTAAGACCTCGCTAGCGGCCACCCGTAACGTTACGAGCACACGGCGAAACATTCACACGTAAGCAAACGGTGGTATCTTCTCCCGGCGCTTGGGGCGGGCCCAGTTGCGAGGAAGAAGCCGCCATTCATTGCTTGAAGGTGTGGACATTGGATATGATATGGCTAATTTGGTTTATACCTCCACGATACTGACACGTGTGAGTGCTTGAAGAACTACATTGGCAGACTGTATTTCAACTTATCAAATACATTTATGTATAAACATTATATAGCTCCCGCCAAAGGACACTTTGATTGAATGTAAACATTCATGGAGTGACGTCATTAAACCGTCTAATGAGCTGCTGATAAGATGTTAGCTATCTTAACACGGATATCAACTGAACTATAATTTCGTATGGCAGGGGGAATTTTCAAAGGAAATGTAATTCTACCATGACGATATAGGAAAACACAATCCATGATCCTACTTATACCAAAAATAGATCGTGACACTAAAACGCAATAAACCCATCGTTTTCGTTGATTTTTCTTAATTGGAATGGCTTCAATTCAAATCTCCTTGCTATTACCAAATGCGCATGTTAGAAAGCAAGGGTTTAAAGGTAAATATCTGATATGAATTATTTCAAAAGCTACACTGTGGACATGGTTCAAACATGGTCTCGTGGTCCGTTTTAAGTAGTAGTAACGGATTTGTTAAACTTACATACCGAAGATATTTCAAACTGCAAAAGGTACAGTTTGAAATTCTCAGACCCATGTACATGTACAATGACTCATGCCTTTACCATTCCAGGCTTGTACTCCCCCATTCATGGCTGGATACATGGTCAAAGCAACCCAGCCCATACAATATAACGTGTTATGCTGTGTCAACACTGTCGCGATGTCGGCTGAATTATTAATTATCCGATTATACCAATAGTCATTAAGGACAACGGCAAATCAAACATACTGAGCGGGTCGAATCCGTGCGAGCAGCCGGTGTCGCTGGCGTGTTGTGACGGTATGGCCTGCCCGCCCATCTCCGGTTCGGATCGATTGAGGAATGGCTCAAGTGGAATTCCTTCCTTTTCAAGACCGTTTTCATCAGATGTACTGAGTCTCTAAATAGATTCTCACACTTTGAACCACGGCAACGAATACTGAGTTATTTTTTTCTGTCGATACAAGCATTATATGGGAAGTTAAAGAAGGCCCCCCACAGTATTTTTTCTTATTTTTTTCCCATGTGGTACCGGTGTGCCCTGAGTATCTCACTGCAGTGGGTCGGGTGAAGTTTACTCAGTTAGAAAGGCCATTAAAAAAAAGAATTTCACGAACCCCAAAATATACTTGGGAGAAATCAAGAAACCACAAGAAATCAAGAATTCTAGATTGAAGCTGACATACACCATGCACACACAAATACAAAAATGTAGGGCAACTAGTGCCAAATGTCACATAGGACTATTCCAAAAGGCAAACTTAACGAAGTTGCTGCGGTGTTCTCTAGCATACTCTAAATTTATCATTTTTTTTCAAAGGGTGGGCGGGGGACATTTACCAACCCCACCCCTAATTGACAGCCCTGCCTACGCCCATCTTGTTAAATGTGTATTTAATTAAAAGCAAATATGACTTCGCATCTCTTTTCGGTTCCCTTGTTACTTTTCTTTTCTTTTTCAGGGAGGGGGGGGGGGAGCACCCCTTAACGCCCCATCCTGGCGACGCCCACGAATCACGTCAATCAGGAAGAACATCCCAAAAAAGCAACAATGTTCACAAAATACGAACAACTGAGTGTTTTTCATGCGATTTCATGTTTCCACCGGTGAGTTATGATTTCGCAGCCTCTGTACTGCAAAGGTAAGACTAAGAATCGGTCGCTACCTACAAGTATCGACCCGCTTGTAAACCCTTTTGTGTCCCGTGCATGACCTCGCATTCTCCCATTTTCCGCCTGATTACCTACAATTAAACTAATCTTCGTTGAAACCCGCTCCGGGTAATTACACTACCGGGCCGGCCCGTTGACCGGCCCCCTGCCGCCACGGGCGACATTACCAGCAGAACACGGACCGTTTTACCTATCTTCATTCACAGTCCAATTTAAGGCAAACCGAAAAAATTGAGGTGGTCTGTAAAAGATTTGAACCCTTTTGGCGGAGATTAGGAATAACAGCCTCCACCCACCGATTTGGAGAAACATTCTTGCATTCTTTTTTTTGTGTGGTATATTTTAAACAATTTGGCAAGGAAGGTAACTAGCATGAGAGTACATGTAACCATGTCCTTGGGATATGGTGGAATGTGGAGATACAGGAAAAGTAGAATGTCCAACAAACAGAATACAATTTAAAGTTTCCTTTTGCCATTTTTAAGGGCATTTTGGTGCCTTTCTTTCTTTTCTTTGGTGGCTCGTTGTTGTTTCACTTTCAGTTCATGACAGTAAGCCAAAAAGCAACGTTTTCTCACATTATGTTTTCAATGCGCAAATGTTGGGTTCGCAATTTGAACAGAAAACCCCTAAACTTAACATTGTCTTCCTGAAATGACATCGCAGCAACATCGTCCTCATTTGTCCGGGAAAGCATGGACAATTTTCAGATGATTAAAGAAGTGCACTTTTCAATAAGATTTACCAGCAAAGGATGTTAAATAGTTTTCATACATGAGGAGAAAGTTGCACAAAATATGTTCCCAAGCAAAATTCATGTCATGGTTCCTTTAAGGGAGTTTTACAGTTTGGGCCTTAGGTCTACAAACCCATCACAACATAGTGCACGCAAAGCATGTTTCTTGCTTAGCTACATCAACCTTTTTTTTCTTTGCACGTTTACTGTTTCGCTCGTACCCCCCGCCCTGCAAACAGGACGCTGGGATACTCTGATGAATTCACGCTCTGATTGGTTGGATTTTGCGTCACCTGTGACCTGCGCGTCATCAAGGTCATGACTCTGCAAGGTTTGAAACGGCCGTTAAGATTGATTAATTACTCTTTTATTCCAGTTTATATATGTTTTGTTTTTGTTGAAAAGCGTAATAATGTAGGAAATTCTGTAAGACTTATCTGTGTTGTAAATTTACAATTCCCGTCACTTGCTCAGGCTCCGTTTCGATTCACGAACGGTCGGATTGTATTATTGATAAAATGCCATGGGAATTATATTTGTATTATGCGACGCTCAAAATTGTGTCCACATGGTCAGCAATGAAACAGAATCACATCCGGAATGGAATGTGCATATTTCTATGGGAAGTTTTCGGATAACATTTGCGCACATTGTCTAACTGCGGACTTCAACAGCTGCAGCCATATGCTTTATACATAGGTCATAGGCCACTTCCTTCACAAGATTCTGTGAAGCTCATCAGAGTATCCCAGCGTCCTGTTTGCAGGGCGGGGGGTACGAGCGAAGTTTACTGTATCAACTTTTCCACAAAGAATAAAGTGCCGCAGGCCCAACACAAACTTCCGTTCCCAATGTCCCGTGGTGTATTTTGTGTTTCATTCTCACGTTGTGGAGGAAACCCATTGTAAAACTGTTTTGCCCTTAAAACGGGGGTTGCTACACTTTTTTTGATTAAAGTCAACAAACGTAAATCCGACAAAAAGGGACCCGCTGTTTAATATGCATTTGTGGTTTGTTGCCATTCTTGTAGTTGATGATGGAAGAAGTCTTCCCCCAGGGCTCCGATCTACGATGATTGAAATGCTTCACCAAGTTCTTTGAAGTTCTCTGATGATCTGAAGCGGAAACTAAGCAGTTTTCCCATGGCATTTTATCAAAAAATGTTCCCCTCCATTTCTTGTTGCACGTACGGATACTGTAATTTCTCAGTGGCCAAAATGAAAACAGTGCAATGCTTTTATTTCACAATCACTCTCCTACTGGGAGAATTACCCCCGAATTCCCTTAAATCTCACTCAAATCGGATTTCAACTGCGAGATTACCAAATTGTAGTCCCTTCTCCCAAGCGGGTGTCCGCGTGGCCTCCTCCCTCCATTAGAGGAAGGAGGCCTGCAGTTGCACCCGGCCCACTGATGACGGTGAAAAACTATTACGAGATCTCTGTCATCGGGCCAAATCCCCGTTTATGTCTGACTAAATATTGAGGGCTGGACCGAGTCGGCAACTCTCAAGAAAACATCCGCGACAGTGACATTTCCCGTAGAATTCCCTTCGGTGTGTGGCGCCCCGCAACAAAGAGAGAAACTGATACTTGTGTAATCCGGACGATTTAGGGAGGATGGAAGGGCAATATTTTAGGATATGTCTGCAACCGACCACCGAGGCAGAAACCGGCCGAGGTCAGGCCGTATACTTGACCCTGAAATAGTTGAGGTTTGAGAAGGGGCCAAATTGCCACCCTCGTGCTAGACTTTGAGAGAAAACGGTGTATTACAGCAAGAGGAGTACTATAAAAAATATTTGAATTATGATTTGCTAAGACCATGCGAACAATAAATTCACACCGTCCCTCTTACTACTGCAACCCACGGAAGCAGGGTGAACATCAATAAGACTTGAAATTGTTCTTTTCCTGTGGGTTTCCGATCGTACCTTTCAACCGTATGGACCAACCGCTTTAATTAAAAGCTGAAAGTTGTTTGCGGCCTGCACCGCTGCACTACTCTTCCATACTCGAGGCCAGGATCTATGATTCGGGGAACAATGATGAATCATCGACCATGTTGCTGCCAAGTCAGACCGGTCTCTGGCATTCGTCAGGTGCGTCACTGATCCCCGGCATTATGACAAAAATTACATCAACCACAGGTGTTCCATTCCGGGCCAACAAAAGACTGGAATAATAATTAGCATACTTTGTGGTGTTGTTGTTTCTTCTTTCCTTTCGCGAGTCAGACCCAAAAAACAACTCCAGACGTACCGACAGAAAGAAAAGTCTATTGGCTCATGATGCCCTGGCAGGATGTTCCACAAAAGTCAAAAGGAATCATCCTCATCCTCACGATTCTCCAAAGGGGTTCAATTTGCGGCGAACAAACAGTAATTTTCGGCTCATCTTCCGCGGCTTTTGTTGGACATCACGATGAGTTCACCTTGTTGTAGCCCCGAGCTGTGGCGGTCCGGAGACCCACGCAGTACGGGGAAACTCCAAGGTTGACACCTGCTGAACTAAGTGAGTGTTTTTGGGCGACAGAATTCAAACATCCAGCTTGTGACCCAAAATTAAGATGAGTAAAACCACCATGAGAGAATATCATTTGTAAAATACTCCGGAAATTTTAAAATTGAAAGGGGTTTCCGTCTGGTTTAATGTGACGACCTATGCAACTGAGAACAAGGTAACTAACATTGTGCATTATGCTTTGCGGAAAAAGAAAAATACAGAGATACAGGGTGAGTAAAAAAAAAAGGAAACCCAAACAGCAGGACTATTTTTTTTGTAATGAAGATCTGCATGTAGCACTTTCAAAATCTAGGATATGAAAGCCCAATTAATAAGCTTTCTTTTAGTATAAGAACTTCATTCAAATCACTCTTATACTTTTGACGTCACGGGATATAAACACAACACCGTTTGAAAGTTCTGTCCACGGATCACAAAAAAGGTAAGTGTTCTTTCAGCAAGACGAAACCAATTCACCTAGGGCCTACATCCCTATTTGAATTGTTTGGGTTTTTTTGCTGAAAGAACACTTACCCTTTTTCGATCCGTTAACACAACTTTAAAACGTTAGTTGTGTTTAAAATCCCGTAATTTAAATACATGAGTGATTTGAATAATTCTTGTTCTAAAAGAAAGCTTATTAATGGGCTTTCATATCCTAGATTTTGAAAGCGCTACATGCAGAACTTCATTTTAAAAAAATGATCCTGCCAGTTGGGTTTCCTTTTTTTTTTACTCACCCTGTATAGGCGCGAACATATGTAGCTGGATGGGGTGCGATCCAACAAACAGGTACAATTGTGAATGAAATGATCCAAATTTCACCCATCTGACTACACTTTCCGGGTGCAAATTTGTCAGCCAAATGTGACAAGTTTTTGCATGCTGGACACAAGGGGGCAGCGTGCTGCTGACTGACTGAGTCGCTGACTGACTGAGAGACTGGGTCACGGAACGAGTCGCTCATTGACTGAATCATGAGTGGGTACCAATACTGTGACTTTACTGTCCTAAACTGAGACGTTCGGGTCCATCTCGACAAGGCAAGCCTAGTCTCGTTTTAAGAACATCAAGTGAGCTCAGTTTTCAGGGTTTTAATCTCGAAGCTACATAAAAGCACTCACTTTTCAACATGACCTTTCCGAAGACGGACGTGTCCCTGTCCATGGTGCTGCAGTTCCAGCGGCCGCTGCGGAATTGGTACTGGCACTCCTTGACTCCCTCCCTCGCACCCCGGCCGATGCTGACCATCACGTCTGGGTAGTTACGGCACAGGTCTCGCTGCTTGCCCACCAACCCCGGGATGTTGTCGCACATGATGCGGGTGCCCACCGCACTGAGTTGACTGATGAACCTAGCGTGAGGGGGAAAATGTCATGATAATAACTACCGATAATGGGTCATTTGTATAGGGAGACATTCCCATGGACTTGAGAAAAAAGGTTTTTTCAACTTAAATGACCCTAAGCTCAACTTTTCCTTATTCTACCCCACGAATTTTGGTATTTTTACTTGTTGGACTACGAGCAATCGATCTAGCCTATTTATGGCGGTAAAATGTTGCCTCTAAATAGGGGCTGAGGCATTAGGGAGACATTGAGATGTCTCCCTAATTCCACATGTCTCCCTATATCCACGTCTCCCAATGAGGTTTAACTTATGAAGCTAAAGTAAAAGGTCCTATTTGTGATTGTATTCCGTTGTACTATCTCATTGTATAATCTTTGCCAGAATCCTTTTTTCCCTATTTTCTTTAAAAAAAAATTCAGTTGAAGTGAAATATTGATTACTTCTTTGTCTTTAATATCACGTCATTCTTCATTTTTTACGTAGTCACCACCGTAAGTCGCACTTGCCCTTGTGGTTGTCGACAAAAAAATGTGAAAATGAAAATAAGTATGTGTACCAAAATCGCCACTGTCTTCACGAGGGGGCGATGGTGGCGAGTTTCATATTCATAACGATGTAAAGTCATTTTGACATGACCGTCCTGGATACAAATTCTACCTTTTTTTGAACACGAAATGAAGTGATATTCATAAATACCTAAGACAATTAACCCATTCATTCGGCTCGGGTAATTAAAGACATCCAGACTCCAACCAGTCTTAAACACAGTGTTCAACACCACCCAAGCACACATTATTTTATTCCCTTATTAATAACATGTATAATTGTCTGCCCTCCATTACCAATTTTATTAGTTTTTGAATGATCACACAATCACATCAAGCTAAAACCATATCTAACAAGCTTAACGTTTGTTTTGTTAAACTTAAAGCTATGAAGATGTTTCTTTTTCATTACGAGTCTGCAGGTATACATTACATACTTTTCTATAAAAAAAAATCAGAAAAAAGTTCAAGGTTGTGAAAAGCTTGAGCATAAAGTGCCGATTATCGAGTCACACATGAAAGCAATAACATCGTGAAAAATCGGCGATGAAATAAAAAAGCTGGCAATCAGAGCTTCTAAAAAATCTGAATTTCTTTTTTGTTACGACACCGATGTTGATTTTCAATTAAATTCAATTCAAACTCATATATTTCCATACCAAAATGAGAAATAAAAGCATAGAATACACGATAGTACATAAATCAATAAATGGAGTTTGTCAAAAAGGTGAAAAGGCAAAAATATAAATAGGTATGGAGGCATTTTTGGAAGCCTAGGCTTGTGGCTAGATGCCTTGAACGAACAAACACAAAACAGAAACAAAAACAAGTACACACAAACAGTTGGACCAAGACAGAACCTAAGCATGAAAACTTATAAACTAGAACACAAGTGTCGCGGTTTGCAACAGAAATCAATCATCGTGTCCATCATCGTGTAAAAGAAAAACCACAAGTACAACGATACAGCAGATTAACTTGGCAAATTCCTCTCGTCCAACAAAGGCTAGCCCTCCTACGTGCGGTACAAACCACTTGAGACGCTAAACCGGATCGCTGCCAAATATTGCTTGCTCTCTGTGTGGGGTCTAGGTGAAGGGGGGGGGGGTAATATTGCCACAATATCTTGAGCTATCTGTCCAGATAGATACAATTTAAACTTCGGAAGTTTTAATTGGACCTGTCTTCCTGTAATTTCAGAAGGAAAATTTGATTGTAACAGTCAAACTCCACAGCAATCAGATTCGTGCCAGTTTAACTTCTTTCCAGTCAAATCGGACTACGGATTCAAGTTAAAGAATGCAATCCAGTTTCTGATACCGAAAACGCAATTCCATTCTAAAATGGGGACAAACAAATTTACTCAATAATTGCTTTACCGTAATCACACCATTCCAGTAGTTATTAATATGAAATATTGTCATCGAAATGTGGTTGGATGAGCGTTGATCATGGGCGTATTACAGAAAAAAATAACCGATCCGTGATCTAATTTAGTTTGTCGTGGCCAACAAGGCATAAAAATTGTCATTTATTGTTTGATAAATTGATTGTGGTGTACCACATCGTGTTGGTGAAGTTTGATAGCTTTTAACATGTCTAAGTTTTATCCTACAGTGCACTGTCTTCATTTTCGTGTTAACTATTCACGGTTCTTTGTAACAAGTGTGAGAAAAAGATTTCATTTCAAAATACAGATGGAGACAGTATGCAATAGGTATGTTCTCACAGTCACACGAGAATATCTTATATTTTTGTGTGTAAGACTGCAGCATGGACTCGCATGCCTAAAAACACGGTGAACATTATGGCTGTTACCACAAAGTTGACCAGAAATTATCCAACTTACCACCACGTCGATAACACTTGAGAAGGCATCATAAAGAGCAGGAGACCGCAGACGGCCAGTTGATGAACACACCGCCTCTCCCGCATCTCAATTTAATCCCAGACTTCAGATATTTCCAGAGAGAAAGAACACAAAATAAATCTCGAGATTTTTAAAAGATGGTCGAGTCAACCCTTCGGGAACACTGGAGATCCTCGCAGTGAGGTGCAAACTATTCCTGATTTGGCAAAAAAAAAATTTCAACGTGGCCCTTTCTCCGAGTTGGTTGTTACAAGTGTACGGTGTAATTCGCCGGCTTACGAAGAGCATAACGGAGGAGTGACGAGGACAGATCATGACACCGCCACCCCATTGGTCTATTATCACGATCAAAGAGTCCCGCTTACTTAATATTCATGACTTTTCTTTCTTTCTTTCATTGACCCTGCGTGTGTTGCATGCAGGCCGCCCGACAGCAGCTTTTTTTTCCCGACCCATTTCTTCCGCGGGCAATGGTGTGTGGTTAGTTGCCACTGGGTAAATGGTATCAAGATATGTCTGCTGAAAAGGCGGTCTGAAGATTACCTCCTTGGGGTAAGATGAGAGGATGGGCCAGATAATGGATGATTTGCTAATCCTTAATTGTTGGAGGAGTACTCCCTGTCATGTCTTATTACAAGGATACGTCTATGACCTACCATGGAGGAACACCGGGTAGTGATTGTCCTGTAAAGTTGAGATCATAGAGGCATAGGAGCTATTAGAAACAGTTCTAATCTAGGGAGTTTGGGCTAACCGCTACACTATCTCTGTTTGTTACACCTGTTTTGGTGTGGAAGATCATGTGGGAATGTATCGATCATTTTCCCCATTTTTTTGCCATCCTCTTAAGGGTGTATACATGTACTTTCTTAATCTTTTTCCATTTTATTCGGGTAGTCAGCTTCCTCTATAAGCATGCTCTAACTGTCCAGAAACTTATACTTCTCGTACTAGTATTACAGAAAGCTCTCTAATCATTTAATTAGGAACACATTTTATAATAATGTACGTGTCTGTTTGCCCGAACTTACCACGTTGCGTGTACGGTTGTTATAAATTACAACAAACCTCAATTTTCTAGAAAGGGGATGCCGACTTTACAAGGCTTCGCTGAGATCCACGAGCTGATGACTAACTTTTCAACTCCATAATTACCACCCAAAATTACTGAAGAACCCTCCATTCAAATTGAAGACAGAAATGTGGTGCGATTTTCTCCAATCCAACCAGAAACCAAAAAACCCCGAGGACCCCCAGGACCAGCGAATTAGACTCCAGCTCGGACAAGAAGCGGCCTGACCTCAAAAGGATAAACTCGGGAGTCCCAAAACATCAAATTTAATTAAAGCTATCCCAGGTAGCCTCTTAAAGGGGTGTGAACGAGTCATTGTGGCCGGCGAATCCAACCCCAATCCAGCCCTTTGAGACTAGTGTACACTGATCCCTTCTGACAGGGTTTTTTTACAGGGTGAATTACCTTTGTTGGGTGTAGGAATCGGCGGGGGCGTTTGAAGATTACAACCGAACAAGCCTCTGCTTTTCAATCTAATAGTGGCTCGGGTCAATGGTCCGGTGATCTTTTGTGGCGGACCGTTCGTACTGTAAAGCCAACCTGCTGGGTACCTCCATGGTTATAAGTGGGGTGTTGAAAAAAGGTTGAAATGAGCAAAGTTGTGGCTTTTGATTAGCGGTGTAGGTTTAAGGACTGACTTGCATGCTCTGACAAAAGAGCAAGGAAGTCTTCAACAATACTTCCTTGCTGGTGTTTTCTTATTTAATTGAACCACTGCGGGGGAGGGGGGGGGGGCATTCTCGAAAGATTTTTCTACACGTCAAGACTTCATCTACGAAAATACAATAGTGATAAGGAACTTTTCCCAGCCAGTTTCTCTCAGTCCCATCGCGCGTTGTAGACTGCCGCGCGGTGAGGCATTTGCGTGTGCGACTCTGTCAGCGGGTGCGGATCGGGTGCTTTGGGCCGGAGATTTCGCCCGTGCCGACCGCGGAGGGGGAAAACACAAGCCTGGCGTCGGGTCTGTCGACAGCCCGTCGGCTAGACAGATGGTGGGCAATGCTGACAAAAATGACGGCAACCGCTTAAAAAACGGCTGGTATTAACCCAATTTCGTTACTCTGGTATGCACGCAGTATATGAGACATTTTTTTCAAACTACTTTTTGTATTACATCTATTTCAGAACATGACAATAAGCCAATGAGCAAACTTTTCTCACAAATGTTTTCATTGAGCAAATTTTGGGTTCACAATTTGCTCAGTGAAAACCCCTAAACTGAACAGAGTCTTCCTGAAATGACATCACAGCAACAGCGCCCTCAGTTGTCCCGAAAAGCATGGAATTTAATGAACAAAAGTGCTTAAAGAAGTGCACTTTTCAATAAAATTAACCAAAAAAGTGATGTTTTAACTTTTTAAAATTAGTTCTCATACAAGAAACTTGCACAAAATGTGTTCCTAAGAAAAATTGTTTCGCATGGACCTTTCAAGATTTTGAGCAATTTAATTTTGTAGCTTCAAACGAAAAAAATGAACACAAAACAAATGATCCTATATACCTTTAACTTTCAAATTAACTCACTAGAGGGACGCATCCGCGAACGCCCCTTACTGGAGACTGAAAAAGTCCCGTAAAATTATGAAATGTATGTAAGCTTTCTACCTACCGAGGCATCAAACGGAGGGTTGTACACGGTGGATAAAAAACAGACGAAACCGAGATATTATTGCTAATTGGACCAGAAGTAGGGCACATGTGAATCAAAGGGAGATATCCTCTGTTAGGGTTGAATCTCCTCTTTAAAATGACACCCTGATCATGTCCTTACATTCACGGTTGGCTGAGCAGCGATCAATTTTATGAAAGGTATATTTATAGAATTGCGCCACTTTTCAATTGTGGGTTTTGTTGTGTCAAAAAGAGATTCCATCATGAAAAGTGGTGCAAGTCTCTAAACAGACCCTTTCATAAAATTGGTCACTGCTCAGTCAACCGTGAATGTAATGACATGACCAGGGTGTCATTTTAAAGAGGAGATTCAACCGTAACAGATGACATCTCCCTTTGATTCACATGTGCCCTACTTCTGTTCCAATTAGCAATAATATCTCGGTTTCGTGTTTTTTTTTATCCACCCTGTATATTGGCCATGCTATTATGTTTTATTTGGCTTTCGTATTGAACTGCACCACGTATACCTCGTTATCATGCAGTAAATAAAAAAAGGAGAACACTGTTCGTCAATGCTTGATTGCCCAACCTTGATAATAAATGACCCAAATTTGTAGGTTAATTCTCGTAAAAAAAATTGACTTCGGAAAGAATTTGCTCAATAGTATAGGCAGTGATAGTGCGTTGCCCAACACTGGGCAAAATCCTATCCCATTTGCCCGACACGTTCTTTTTGTGTGCGCATTTCAGCATGGCAGTGAAGGTACCGCAAAACACACTGAGTAACTCAATAGTTCCAAAGATCCACAAACACGGGTGTCAACCCTCCTGCCTAATGACTCGACCCACGGCCTACTTTCTCGGCTGGTGAAAGGGCCTGACGCGTCGACAAGTTCCCGTAAATTGTTTCATCTACAGCCAATTACCCTCCCATCATTCAGTGCGGTTTTTCTGTTTGTGCTGCCTATCATAACAAACTTCTGGCAATTTTGTCTTATAGTTCACTCGTGCCAGAGCCAAAGACGAGGGGAGAAGACAGGCCTATATACTTGTCCGTGAACTACATGTTTTTGCATCAATAATGGGTTGAGTAAGGCGGACATATTGGGAGGGCGCGGTTTGGTTTGGGTAAATCAAATGTTGTACCCCGAACTAAATAGCGTCCTGTTATTGTATCCACCCTATGCACGGTTAGGAAGCTTGACAACTGAAAAATGACAACATTTTGACCCGGGTCAAATGACACTTTTCAGAGGCATTTTCCGAGGACATCTGACCCGGAAAATTGTCCATTTTGACACGAACATTGTCTTTTTGACCCAGAGAAGTGTCAATTTAAGCCAAATCTAACCCGGATAAGGGTCAAAATATTGACGAGCTGCAGTCTGTTGAAGATCAAATACTTTAGTAGAACAAGAGCTTTTTTTTTATTAATTGATGGAATTGTATTGGGAAAAAAAAAAAAAAAAAACCAATTCAGTATTAGAAATAATTCGGGGAGAGCTGATAGGTATGGACGGTGTGTCTGGCTTGTTTTTCTTAGGCCAGCGCCGCAAATCTACGCCGAGCTCAATCTGCAAGTTGGAAGGATGCAATGGTGATCAAGCGTACGTGATATTTATTTTGGGGTCAACTACTTCCAAAACATTACATAATACGCAAAACTGTAAACTGGTGCGTTTGTCTGATCTGGATAACGCCTTTTAAACTCTTGGGCACAACATCTTTGCAAGACCTTGCGCTATATGGGATGTGGGCAACTTTAATGGTTGTGTCCAGTTTGGAGATGTAGTAATCTTTGTCGCGGCGAAGCGGCAAACTGCGAGCAAGATGATGAAAAGTATAGTGTTGTATAAAGCAGTCTCGCCAAGACTTTTGGCACATCCAGGTCATTTTGGCAGAAAGTCGACGCAGACAAGCTTTTACTGGATAATATCTTGGGAAATACAACATTTTACCACAGGCACATATACAGTTTTAAAAGTGGTTTATCTAATATATTTTATTTCACTAAAATTTCACTATAATGCCTATTAAATACAGCTCAACTTTCTAAACCTTTCACTATTTGGAATCATAATTTAATGTTTTATGTGAAAAAAATACTGACCTCATTCGAATTTTGCAACATTAAAATAGATCCAGGTTTATCTTACAAACAACGTGTATGCATATCGCTGTATAATCACGTGACTATGTGACCTTTGGGAACTTTTGGTACTAAAACAAGTGCTGAATTTCACAAAAGGGCGTTACATTATTAAATATTCTGTTGATATAATCAATGAAACATGAACTAAAAATTGAAAACAAAAGATAGGTGAACATTTAGTTTTAACTACAGTGCTTTAAAGATGACTGTATACGTGCTATTTTCGAGTAAGTTCACGCCGAGGAAGAAATTTGGTTTTAGAATGTTCTAGCAATGCAAAGGTTATTCACTTGTGAATGAGACATCCACCGAAAAACAATCGGCCCACGTTTAGTTATGGGTTTTCTGATTATTTGCCGTCCGACAATAAGTCACTTCTTTAAGAGTATAGACTAGTCTTGTTTCCGACCCTTAGAATCGGTGGGATCGGTAACTAGTCTACTCACAGGGCAGATCTGTACCGGTATGTGAACAAAAGCGATCAAACGTAAATGCCATTTCAATAAAAAAGCGGGTTTTTTGTGTGTGTTTCTTTTAAATACAGTCAAAATTTGTCAGGAGAAAAAATAAGTTGTTTAAGAACACGGACGGTACATCTTTAAGCCTCGTTTGGTTTTGTGTAAACGGTATAATGTATGCTCGTCTTAAACTAACTCGATTAGGCTTTAACTAACTCGATTAGGCTACATTGGCGAGAGTTTAGTGGAAGATAAGATGCTACATTGGCGAGAGTTTAGTGGAAGATAAGATGCTTCTTCTTGTGGATGACCTTGGGAATAAACTTGAACCACTTGAAGACTTTGCTGATGCCTTTCTTCAGCCAGGGTTTGTGGATGGGTCCTTCAAGCATCGTAACCAGGCGAGGTGTTGTCGCCTCCTCGGTGGTTTGCGCCTGCGTGGTGGCCTCTGACACCATGTCACCATCCTCGCCTTCCATTGACCAGAGATCGTCGATGTCGATGGGCCAGTTGCCTTGCTTGAGGAGCGCGATGGCTTTGAGAATCAGAGCGAGTTTGAGCTCTTTCTTGGACTTGGTGAAAAACACGTTGTCCTCAAAGTCACCACCGCAAGCCTGCGCATGAAAGATCATAAAAATCATTTAGAAAATAGAAAGTTAATATACGCGGTGAAATATTCTAGTTTTCAAAAGTTTAAGCTTTCTTCTTTTTCTTTTATCTTTTGTTTTTGTTTCGAAGGATCAGGACTCGTTTTGAAATGGAAAATGTTACGTCAGGGAGATACAGGCCTACGTTTCAATAATGTACACTGTACACTTTTCGTTGTTGCGCTTTAAAGACATAAGCGTTGGTGTTGAAAGACCCCTTTTCGAGCCTTGTCACACGGGAAAGGGCAAAACTCAAAAGTTCAGTTTTTGAAGTGTTATCATTTTTGTCTACATTTGCAGGGTTTTTTCCCGAATCGTCTGTGGATCTCTTTTTTTGGGGGGGGGGGAGTTGGTTGTGTTGTAGGGTTGTCTAGGACTTTACCTCAAGTACGTCAATCGCCTTCAGGATGAGAGCCAGCTTGAGATCTTGAGTATCAATAGTCAGGCCGAAATCATCACCATGGTTTTCCTGGTTTAAGGTAAAGTAAATGGGAAAATTGCTCAGATCAGTTTGACTTGCTTATAGACCACACTTAGGCCCCTATCGGTAAAATCTTGTAGAGTTACGGTGCGGTGGTAAGCCTAGTTAGATTTGCGGTAAATCACTTTATTCCCCTCTATAAAACACACTTTAAACTCTGATAGATTGAAGGTAATGTTTAAAGTTTCTTTAATTGATAAGCTGATAGAAGAAATTACACGCCAATAGAAGAAACATTTTGGAGTAGCTTCACGATTAAGGGCGTCATTCCATGCATATAGGCTATTCTCTGTTGTAATCGACGTGAATTTCAAGAGATTTACGCAAAAAAACTATAACATTAAAATTGTCACTTTTCATGGACAATTCAGGGTTTCTCCCGACATACTCCCTTGATTCGATATCATGAAATGCACTTGAATCAAACTTATTAACTTCACTCCACTTCTTGATTTGTGACTCCCCCCCCCCCCAAAAAAAAAATGGAGACTGTTTTTTTTTTGGGGGGGGGGGGGGAGGGAGGCACTATGACCCCAATGGCCCCGCTAGATCAGCCTTTGGTACGAATATATGTTAGCATTTAGGCATTCAATTTATCACTTCACCCTGTACTTCCTTATAGTTCTTAAGTGGGTTTAGTTGAGGAGATAACTAACCTCCCCGCCCCCCCCCCCCCTAAAAACAAGGGGTTCTGCAGAAGAACAGTTTTAACGTCATGCGTTCTGGCCTTATTATGTTATTGCACGATCTCATCCCGCAACACTAACCTCGATAATTCGAATTGCCTTCAAGATGAGCGTCAGTTTCAGTTTGGCAACGATGTGCCCGGCAAACACGGCATCTATCGGCCTGTTCTGTTGAACAAAAAATAAAGACAACAACAATATAACTACCTTTGAAATGTTTGGACTAGTTTAATGCAGTACGTTTTTGAAACTCGGTTACATAGACAAGTGTATTAACCTTAAAGCGGTGTTCTGTAAAACATCGGAATTACACGTTCACCATTTTACAGATATAGAAACTGAGAATTGTTACTAAAGCAAATTTGTTCAGAAAACGAAATCACACGATTTCTTTGATATTCAGAACATTTTTGGATCTTCCGTTAGGTCAAATAACAATTCCAAAACGATTACAATTTTGTTTCTTTCAGCCAATCGTTTCAAAATGCATCCGTTAAAATACAACACACAGGTATCGTTCATTCGCATGAAGTACACAGAATGTTGTAATGCAACACCAAACATTCAATTCGTGCTAGAAAAAAAGTCCTCGAAAGAAAGAAAATGGTACCTCCTTCCTCGAAGTAGATATCCTTTAAGTTTCATTGTTTCTTACTAAGGGAACCAGACAAAATGGCCGATGCACGAGAGTACAGTGTTGAAGGAGTATAGATACCTTGAGTATTATGATCGCCTTCAGGATGAGTCGGAGCTTGAGTTCATTGGGCATGACGTCATAGGACGGGAACCAGCCAGACAGCGAAACGGAGTGGCCTTCGTATGACTGCAACAACATCCAAAAAGATTTCATGTTAATATTATCAATGCAATAGTTCGCCTAAGCTTTGCTGAGACCAATATTATAGAAGCATGGATTGTAGCACCTATGGGCCTACTAATATCATGAAGAAAATGTTGGGGAAAATGTGATGAAAATCCACGATCTACACTTTCATCTGTATTGTATAACACAGCTCCGTCTCGAAATAAGAAAACTGAGTAAAAAAAGAAAGAAGGCAAACATGTGACGTGTTCCATAGGCATAGCCGGGGGGGGGGGGGGGGGGGTAAGGGTATTTCCCCCCCCCCCCAATATTTTGTAAAGACTGCCCTTTTCCATTCAAATGCCCTTTTTTTTCAACGGGCTTAACCCCCCCCCCCCCCAATAATTTGTAAAGAGTGCCCTTTTTTTATGAAGTGCCCTTTCTTTATGAACAGGTGCCCTGTTCAAAAAAGAAGTGGTGCCCTTTTTTGTGGCATCTGCCGTTTTGGGTGCATTTGTCAGAATTGCGCACATGTATCGCCCTGAAAAGCACCATATATTGGCCCTTTGTGTGTATAATGTGTCCAGAGAAAAAATCCTGTCTTTCACAACGGATGTGCAAGTGCCCTTTTCAAAAAATCCCCCCCCCCAAAAAAAAAAAAAAAAAATTACCGTGCTACGCTCCTGTGTTCTGGCGAAAGCTGGTCTTTTGAGATCGATCTTCTCCTCTATAATGACAGCTTAGTTTTTGAAAACGGACTTCGCTCTACAGTTCAGTGCCTATTTGAAGTTTATAATGTCATACAGAGGTAATAACAGAGAGAATGTGTGTTGAAGATGACCTCCAAAAATCATTCAATAAATCACCTTTAGAGGCAAAAGTACAGTCTGAAACTTATACAGTATATCTAAGACCTGATAAGGATAACAGACTTGAAAACAACAACAAAAATCTCAACTTCCTAGTTCCTATTTTCTCGAATTTCTTTGGTCATAATTTCTACTTCACGTTTTGCCAAGAACTGCCTGGTTTTGACAAGACGCGTCATAAATGCGCGACTTGCTCAGACAAAGTTTTAGTAGGTCTTTACCTTGAGAATTTGAAGTGCTTTCAAGATGAGTTCCAATTTGAGGTCGTCTCTCGTCTGATCGGGAAACATTTCGTCGACCTCTGCCTCCTCCTCCGCCGTCATCTGTTGATGAAATTAAAACAATTATTCCTATGTTGCTGCGATACCAGATTGATATGTCTGTATATGGAATATTCTTTCTTGGTCCGATGTTATGTATGCACGGACACAGATTCTATATGGTGTAGTTGCTTTTAAATTCTAACAGCCTACGAAATATTACGATTATTTTTACACAATACACGTAGTTGTAAATAGAAAAACCAATGGATCATTTATATTACTAGAAAACATTGGATGACGAGAGGTTCTTCATGTGATTGTACATCAAAAATCCAAAGGGCATGTTTATAAAACAGACCTTCAAATTAATACAGGCCCAATGTGCTCTTAGACTACTGAATGTTTTATTTCAACGTTAAACAGTGAAGGATGTGAAAATGTAACACATCGTTTTGAAAGGGATTGGGCTATTGACGCATCCAGATTTATCTATTTTTTTTTTAAGTTAGATTAACAATAAAACTGGAAGCATTTATATCATTAGTGTTTTTCTTACCATGTCTGGCATCTGCATCTCATTGTCGGTAGCCTCGTCTCCAGTCGTCATCTCATCAATATCACCACGACTCTGGATGACGTAGGCCTGAGAGGAGACCACACACATCAACACCGCCACCAACCCGAGCACAATTCGCCTAATAGTCGCCATGCTGAAAATAAGTTGGGCTTTAGTTCTTGGAGACTGTACAGATTTATGAAGCTTGATTGAAGAATTATCGCACAATACTTGCTGTTGCAAAGTTGTTGTAGTTTAGTCTTTCGTTCAGCTGGAATGATGGAGTTTGGTCCGAGTGCACTGAATATAAAGCTTTTCAGCAGGATGTCAGTAGCGCACCCAGCCACTATCCCATAGCTTAGTGTTTCCCTGCAAAACTGCAAATCACGCGACCTTCCTTCCAGCGTGCCTGCGTTTGACGTATGGGTAAAGGGAAGGTCCAACTTTCTAGTCGAGTAATTTGAGCGGAAGGCTAGTGTTTTTGATATATATAGTCATGGAAAGAACTTCATGTTGTTTTAATGAGTATACTTTGTCATTTTGAGGGGTTGGGGTCAATATAGAAACAAAAAGGGAACACTAAAGATGTGAAGGCTGCAGGAAGTCGGATGGATTGACAAAATTTAAACACCATTTTGTAACGTATGCATTTGTAGCGTGAATTTAGGTCTATGAAATACAGACTCGCTGGTAGTATTGCGCATGCCTATAAGTGAAGATAATTAGGAGAGTGACCGTTCAGGTGAGAGTGTTTAACCAATAATAGGATGAATGAGTCCACTAGGAGTCCGATTTTTATTATGACACCGTCACAAAGAAATAAGCCCTTACTTATTTTGTCACAAGTTTCAACCTCCGTTAAGTATTTTTTGTAATTACTTTTGTAATTACATTTGTATTATACAGGGTGAGTAAAAAAAACCACAAAAAAAAAACAAACAAATGTCGGGACTATTGTTTCAGTGAAGTTCTGCATGTAGCACTTTCAAAATCTAGGAGATGAACGCCCAATTCATAAGATTTCTTTTAGTACAAGAATCATTCAAATTTCAAGTACTTTTCAAGTTACGGAATTGTAAACACAACCACCGTTTTAAAGTTCTGTCCACGGATCACAAGAAAGGTGTGCGTTCTTTCAACTTGAAAAGTACCTGAAAAGAGTGATTCTTGTACTAAAAGAAAGTTGATGAATTGGGCTTTCATATCCTAGATTTTGAAAGTGCTACATGCAGAACTTCACTAAAGCAAAATTTGTGCGCTTGGCATGCAGGCTCATGAAATCAGGACCCAAGCTTTTGGGGATTCCCCGCACCCAGCCAACGGCGTAGGTTAATTTTTGTCGTCGATGGCTGATGGGGCTGATTAGGGGAACTATCCTCTAGGCTCCTATCAAGAAGTTGGAAATTTGAGAAGGGGGAGGGGAATGGTCGACAATGGCCTGAACTCAATGGCCTTAACTCATCCCCCCTCCCCACCTTCATATCACCCCCCCCCCTTCCTGAAAGCTACATCCGCCCTCTGGCTGCTTTCATGGCCTTCTGTTTATTCATTTTGTTCGCCACTTATAGCCTACAAATTCACTTCTTTGTGTTGTCATGTTTACAGAACAGCGTGAAGCTGGTCATTATATTTTAGCACAACAATCAGGGATGGGAGGATGAAGATGATACATCCTTTAAAATCATAATATTGATTTATGATCCATCCTCCGATTAAACTGTGTCGGGAGTGACCCCCCCCCCCCCCCCCCCCCATTTATGCCCTTGTCAACGCTGACATTCACTCCTGTGAATTCAATTCCCCGGGAATATCTATTCAGTGCAACTTCCCGTTGTTGTATCGTGATAAATCATTATTACCACACAAACCTTTTTCCACCCGTGAAGACAAAGGAAGTTGACAGAATGAGTGCAAGTCCATATTTAGCCGAGTCGTAACATGACGAACCAACTAACGGCCTGGGTTGGTCTGTGGGTGGGACTAGAGGGTGACGCTGCGCGTATTTCCCGTGTCTGAAGTTGCAAGTGAGGGGCTGGAGGTTTAGGGAAGTCAATACTTTGGGAAAGACACTAAGAAATATGTATGTCACGCGTGGTTATCCTAATTTGGTAGCCGAGTAGGCGAGACTGTTCCCCCTTTTCTTTTTGGATTAACTTTTTACAGAAATATTGAAGGGTGGGGGGGGGGGGAGGTAGCATGCACCACTTTAAAATTAGGGCACTCTTGAGAAGTAAAGTAACGCTGATGAGCGTGGCAAGGATTTTTCTAGAGGGGGGTAAAGCACATTATTTCAAAAAATCCTTGTACTTTCTCTAGCATATATTTTTAATTTATAAAATTTTTTTGCGAGGGTTGGTGGGCGGACGCCCAGGTTGTTGTTGTTCGTCAATATAACAGCAATAAGACTTCGCACCTCGTATAGTCCACTTCGTTTTCCCTTCTTCTCCTTTACCCTTTTTTCCTTTTCGGGGGGGGGGGGGGGGGCTTGCCCCATCCTGGCGACGCCCATGGTATAACGCTGGAATATTGTATTCATTTATGCTCATAAAGATTTACGTCCATCTGAACAAACCAAACTCACAGAGAGGAATAAGTCAAACCAAAACAATACAAAATATTACTGCCTAGTTATTGAAAGGCAGGTCTAAAGTAGGTTCATGTACCTGGACTGTGAAACTTTTGCAGATAGGGGCCTACTTGTTTTCTTGCAGTTATTCGGAGACAACCTTTCTACAAGCAAGTTTCAAGCGAGCAAAACTTAAAAAGTAACGCAGAGGCCGCAGTCCAAATGTAACAAATTTGTTTTTGTGCCGCCATACTTACTCCCAGTTCACCGGCTAAGAATTCGATTTTTTACTTTTTTGAATTTCGCCCAAACTCCAAATTTTCAAACTCACGTCCCTAAAAAGGAAAATTTTTGACCATGCATTTATACGAGGAAATTTCCTCAGATCTAAAAGTTTTAATGGGGGGAAAGGATAAAATAAGACCGCTTTAATTACTCATCAATTCAAATTGTCTGCCTCTAACTGTATAAATGTGCTCCGCCCTTCAAAGGGTATAGACTCATACTGTTTTAATTCGTTTGTCACAAATATCCATTGTCACAAGTTTCACAGCCCAACCCTCGATTCTCATTGAACATGGAGGATTCCTCCATGCATTGATAGCGTAATATGATGTCATAATGTATTTTGGAAGTACTGAGCCATACCGGTGTGCATGAACTTGCCCATAACCTGTGCGTAGTGGCGTGGCGTGGGTTGCCAGCTATTTCCAATGTAAAGTTAATGTGATTTGCAATTTTTTTAAGGGAAGTGTCAGAGGAACTTGAAACCTAGGGGCAGTGGCTGGGTGCGCCTTGAACATCCTGCCAGTTGCCTTTAAAATACAGCACACCGTGGCCACGCTCAGTCATTAGCCAACTTGGTGCAAACTTGATAGCAAATAAACTTCGCAAGTACAAAGTTAAGCACAAACGAGTTTTTTTTTAGCAGAGAATTTCAAGGAGGAATCCAGTCTTGGGAGAGCAGATTTACAGAATGGCGACTGTTCAGCGGTTTGTCCTAGGGTTGGTGGCGGTGTTGGTGTGTATTGTGTCCGCACAGGCCTACGTCATACGGGACCGTGGCGATGTAAACGAGATGGCGACCAGCAGAGCTGATGGATCTGACATGATGACTCTCGCAGAAATGGTGAGGAGAGATAAACAATGATCTTTCTTAAATTTGAGTCCATACTGTTATCCACTCTGTCTGTTTTCCAATATTGAGGTAATTTTTGGCAGTTTTGGAATGTACTGATGTTCCATTTCAAGAAAAATGGGATATAGTCCTACACTGAATCATTTATATCAAACCTTTTTGAGAATCACCGCATTCAATTTTGACGACTGCTGTTGCATTGCCTGCATCTTGTTTTGAAAATGATTTCAATACTTACTTTCAAGCTTTTCTAAGAACGACATCAAACCCAAAAGAGATATACACGTGGGTGCTAATGCAAAATGTAAATCAATATTGTAATAACGCAACTTCATTTTCCAGTTGAAATTTCAAATGAACTCGCTTTTCTTTGTAAAGATGACGGCAAAGGAGGAGGCAGAGGTTGACGGAATGTTTCCTGATCAGATGAGGGACGATCTCAAACTGGAACTCATCTTGAAAGCGCTAGAAATACTCAAGGTTCGTTTTTAACAATACAATGTATAGATTGCATGCATGGCTTTAAAAGCAGTTGCACAGTTTCATAAAATAAAATCTTGCATTACATTTTCTTGAAATTCATGAGGAGATCTTTTGTTGCTATATATCTTTCAGTGAAGGCGTTACACAATTATGTGAAATAAACATTGTTTTATTCATTAATTAATTCCAAATCCTTTTCGGCAAAAACAGGATTATGAAGGGGAGTCGGTGCCTACGTCAGTCACAAAGTGGTTACCAAGCTATGACGTCATGCCAGAGGAGCTCAAACTGCGACTCATTCTCAAGGCTATCATTATACTTAAAGTAAGTTCAAATTAAAGCACATAATTGGGTCGATATGAAAAAAAAATTCACATCATGTATAATATCAATCAAAGTCTTTGGCATCAGGCCTATCCGTATTTCATGTGTGTCATCATACCTTTATACTAAAAATGAATTAATAATTAATATATGCCTTGTCTAATAAAAGTTATACAAGGGTGGTGGAATTGGGAGCGGGGTTGTTGCTCCTTCTTAATTATTTTTCTGAATTATGATATTTCCCCTCACCCCATTAAGGCCCCCCAAAAAAGTCTCCGGTTTCTGGTATGGAGCTTGCCCAAAAAGTGATGCGGCGACGCGGCTTTTTTTTTTTTAACCTGTTTTTTTGGCTTCAAATGTTGGCTGATGACTGCAAATGGTGCCCGACTAAACTTAGTGCAAATATTATGGGAGACCAGAGAGGCCACATAAAGCTTATTCTCGATTATAACCCCATCTAAAAACACGTTATAATTGTGCAGCAGCAGGATTCCAGTCAAACCAGTGAGTTTGGCGGTTTTGAGACATCATCTTTCATTGAAAAAAAAACTTTTTCATTTTGCCGACGCGCATGGCTACGGCGACGCGCACGCATACCAGAAACCGGAGACTTTTTTTGTGGCCTAATAGGATTTCCGGTAAAAGTGAAGGATGCAGTGCGTGCCGCACACTTTCAGAACCGCTACACCGCTTCTACTTCACAAAAACATACGTGCTCTTGTTTTTCAGGATAGGCCACTGAACGCCACATTTGCCGGCCACAGCGTCGGTTGTTTGGAACTCACGCTGATCCTAAAGGGCCTCTTGATTGTAGAGGTAAGTATTCTAATCCGATATGATAAAGCCGAATGGTATTATTTCGCCATTTCTCTTCGCCAATTTTGTTTAATTATCAAGTAATATCATCAACATTTTCGTCTTGTGCTTAGTGACCTATTTTTGTTACTTAAAAGTAACAAAGATAGGTGTTTCAAAGCTTTGTTTACGTGGCCTCCGCTAGATTATGGACTTCCCTGCCCCAAACAAAATCCTGCATACGGCACTGATTGTGCGGTTAATTAATTTCATTTTAAAGTATAAGGTTCTGTGTAATTGAACTGCTTGTGTGTCGGTTTGATTGTTTTGATTTGTCTCCATATACTCCTTGCATCTGACGTCACATTTGAAAGCAGGTCTTTGTTCCTCGGTGCTTTGCATGAGTACACCGTACTTTCGTTGTCACTGAATTCAAATGACAAAAACTGGCCTCTCAAAAGTGAGGGCGCACCTATAGCAAAGATTCGCTCGTACCCCCACCCTGTAAACAGGGCGCTGGGAAGGGCTGATGAGCTTTTCAGAATCTTGTGAAGGAAGTGACCTATGACCTGTGTATAAAGCATCTGGGCTGCAGCTATTCAAGACCGCAGTTAGACAAAGCGCAAATGCTATCCGAAAACTTCCCATAGAAATGCACACATTCCATACCGGATGTGATTTCTTTATCATTGCGGACCATGAATTCGTGAATTCTAAACGGAACCTGTGCAAGTGACAGGAATCGCAAATTTACAACACAGATAAGTTTTACAGATTTCCTACATTATAACGCTCTTCAACGAAAACAAAAGCATTTATGAATTTGGAATAAAAGAGTAATGAATCAGTCGTAACGGCCGTTTGAAACCTTGCAGGATCGTGACCGTGATGACTTGCAGGTCACAGGTAACGCAAAATCTATCCAATCAGAGCGTGAATTCATCAGCCCATCCCAGCGTCCTGTAGTTGCAGGGGGGGGGGGGATAGCAAAGAGTCTAGTTCACGCGCCCCACGTGTATGCACAACATTAGTTGGGACTGTCCCAACTAGGACTATGTAGTTGGGGTGTAACATATTACGGCTTGTTGAACTCCGTCCTCGCCTACGTTCCAATAATATCAAAGCGTCCAGATTAGCATGCCAGACGCAGACGCAGCTCAGGTTTCGTGTCCTATATTTTCCTGTTTTGCTGAGAGTTTCTTAAGTAGAAGAGAATTGATTTATTTTTCGTGTTTGGTATTCAGGAAAGCAAGACTGACTTCAGCCTGGCCGTTGATAAGGGAGATCTCAAGCTGGCACTCATTCTGACTGGCATCGACGTTCTGGAGGTACTGTACATTCAAATTATATATTTTTTTTAAATGCTGGTCAAATAGGACCCTAATATTCTGCACCAATTCAACCCCAGTAGAAAGTATCACAATGACTTGTATTGATTTTTGTGTTCTCCTGATTAATTTGTTTAAGTCATGAAAGTTAAGTTAAAAGCATCTCACTGAAAGGCTGAATATTTCAGTTCAGTAGGGGAGCACCGGCCCGGCGGTAGTAGGTTCAAATCCAACTCCATAAAACTTTTGTTTAATAAAAAAAAGGTGAAATTTGTACCTTATCACCTTTCTCTCGTTCGCTCAGGTCTTCGATGGAGAATGCAAAGACACCGTATTTTTCACCAACTCCAAGAAAGAGCTGAAACTCGCTCTGATCCTGAAAGCCATCGCGCTCCTCAAGCAAGGCAACTGGCCCATCGACATCGACGACCTCTGGCCAATGGAAGGTGAGGATGGTGACACTGGGTCAGAGGGCACCCAATCAGAAGCCAGCACTCATGAGGCGACGACTACAAGTGAGCAGTCCACAGTCAGTGAGGCTGCTACAGAAGTGGTTACAGATGAAGCTAAAACTACCGTGACGGTTGAGGCAACATCAGAGCGGACAGAAGGAGGAACAAGCAACCAACCAGAAGCCAGCACTCACGAGGCGACGACTACCAACGAGCAGTCCACAGTCACCGAGGCTGCTACCCAAGTGGCTACAGATGAAGCCAAAACGACGGTTGAAGCAACATCAGAGCGGGCAGCAGGGGAGACAACTGCCGTTGAAACGAGCTCAGAGCCGGCGGAGGTGACCGAGCCTGCCGTGGTACCAGACCGCGGGGACGTACCGGACCACAAGAAGCACTGGCTGCACCAAGCGGTTGGGAAGGTCTTCAAATTCTTCACTTGGCTGCCCAGAGCCATCATCAGGAAGAAGCTTCACATTTCCCACTAAAATCCCTTCTCATTCAGATCTCATGAGGTAGTTGTTAGCAATGAAACGTAGCTATCATTATGTACTTAGTATTTATTTTATAATAAAACATTGGGTTAGTAAGTTCTTAAACTTGAAATATTTAAACCAGGTTAATGTGAGTACTACCATATTAAGTTGATATTCTTTTCCTCAAAAGTGGGTTTAAGCGTAGAATTTTTCATACAATTAAAACAAAATCTGTGAATTGAGCAAAACTAGTAAGCACATAATATTGAAATGTTTGATGTTTCATTCCGAATGATAATCGATAAGTGCAATGATGACTGAAGTTCAAAAATTTCCGCTTTAACTTAGATTGATTATTGGAAAGCTGCTTCCCCAATAACAGATATAAATGTATTTACTTAAAAAGTTATTGATATTATTTAAATGTCTCTTTGCACTAACAATCCGGTCACGATGTCACTTCGAGCACGAAGGCCCCCTTCGTCACGGGGCAGCTACGTCACGGGGCAGTAGCTTTGCACAATGCTTTCGCCATTGAAGGGGGCCTGGTTTGTGTACAGTGATCACGTGCCCGGAATGGATTCGTCGGCTGTAGCTCGCCTTTTTTCCGTAATAGTGCAAGATTGCAAAGTTCCGTACCAAATTTTAGCAAGGTTGAGTACGTATGCACCGTCGCGAAAGGTAGAATAGTTTAAATTTCAAGTGGGCATTGTTTAGTCTGATTACTATTTATTTGAATAAATTCGCATGATAATTTAAAAATTAAGTACTGTCTAGCCGTGTGTGAATAATTGCTAATTTTGTGTAATGCGGACAAGGGCAGGTTGGGGGGGGGGGCAAACGGGAGCCATGCCCCCAAAAAATCCGAACCCATTTTTTGCTCCTTTTCTTAAATGACGCAATAAAGGCAGGTACTGCGTACACTGCCGTCTAGTTTTCTCCAAAAAAATGCATAAGTGGTCAGAAACTGCCTCAGATCGCACCACAGAGCATCCGTAAGTTTTTGGACCCACTTTTTGGGGGTTCGTAGACAACGAACCTAACCACTAGGCCATTCGGCTTCCTTAGAATTCGTTATTTGAAAGATGTACATGGTATATGGCGTTTCTTATACATGTATTACGTCAATTGGAAATTGCGCCATTAATAATGGTAGTCATATTGATCGAACGAAGCTTAATTTTGATTATAGTCAATTATTAAATATTCATTGATCTATGACATAGACCTTTGTTGCGTTTAATACTACCTGAGACCTGCCGAGCAGATGTAAATATCAAACTAAACCAAAGCTGAAAAAAAATAGAGGCTTAAAAAAATCAAACAGTAATGTGCTAGCCAAGTATTCAGGGATTGGATGGGCCATAACGATGCCCCATCACAATCCCTTAGGGCTCTTCTGGAATCTCGGCGTTCAGGGCCAATACACACTTACTTCCCTATCCTTCCATATAACCACAGAGGGCCAGGCACCATGTAAAAGCAAAGAGCTAAGGGAGGAACAGGGCGACACCCTAAGCCCTGATCCTCCGAGTGGACCACATGCCCTGAACCTGTACGAAGGCGCCAACCTGGAACTCACGGACCATCTGTCGATGGGGGCGTTGTTCAAAACCGACCATTACGAACACTAATGGAAAATATGCGGTGCTTTTCATGGTGAAATTTAAAAAAAAAGGCATCCGGAAAGGCTAATGGCACAAAAAGGCCACTTCTTATTAAAAGAAAAAGAAAAAAAGGCCACTTGTTCAGAAAAAGGGCACTCTTTACAAAATGTTGAGAGGGGTAAGCGCTGGTGAGAAAAGGGGCATTTGAACTGAAAAGGGCAGTCTTCACAAAATATTGGGGGTAAATACCCCCTTACCCCCTGGCTATGCCTATGAGTGATGCCCAACTAACTACGAGGCAATGAAATTAATTCAGAACCTTAACAGAAACCATAAAAAGACACAAACAAATAAAAATGAAGTTGACATTTGCTGTACATGTTTATTTCATTTTCTCAATAATAACATCTGCAGCAAGCAAGGTTTAAACAATTTTTTTCTTAATCGACAACATCTGAACTTTTTAACGATTTTTTTTAATACCACTGCGATGAAAAAAAAGGAACAATTGAAGAGATCGGAAGTTCAAGTCCAATAATTGTTTGTGGTGTTTATTAATTGAAATAAGAGTTTTTCCCACAAAATAGTCTTCAGACCGGTACCCTGTTGGATGTTATGGCAAAGAGTTAACAACAAAACAAGATAAAATGCTGCACAACTTCCGTTGAATTATACAAGCACTTTTTATTAAAGTTAATGGCAAACAATTTGTATTTGTTGCAGCAAGGTAGGGGGAATTTGATAAATAGTGCTGTATTAGGCTGTGCTCGCCAATACAAGACGAATGCTGGGCAATTCGTCACGTTAGTTCAATAAAAAGTAATTCTGGCTTTTGATAGCTTGGAGAATGCTACAGTATGTCCCAAAAAAGTGTCTGTCCGACTGTTTTTGAAATAACTACAAACTCCTGCATGTTTTGCAAAAAGGCTGATGTGGTTTGGGATTGGAATCATTTGCCCTTGAGCATTAAACTGAGGTCTTGCCATGATGACTGATAGCCAGGCAAATGATTCCAATCCCAACCGCAGCCATTTTCACAACATGAAGGATTTTACACAGCTTTCAAAACATTTACACGGCACCGATTCAAGGCACTTGGTCACAGTGTCCAAAAATGTTGTGATTAATTGACAGTTGTGTAGTCATGAAACTCATAGGGGTTTAGGCCAAGGAGTATAAGCACAATCAAACATTTCAAAATTGGCATCATGGTTTTGTAGTTATTTCAAAAATAGTCAGACGGACACTTTTTGGGGGACATACTGTATATAAATATACATTTACTCCATCCAAGCATTCTGTTTGGGCATATGAAACTTTCTATATATTGGAGGTTCACTTTTTTCCAGTCCCCGTTGACATCAGACATCTGACGATTTTGTGCAAATTCTGGATGTAATCCATAATAATGCCTACCCCCTAACAGGCGGTTTGGCTGTTTACCAAAAACCAGTCGAGAACCATTCAGAAGTAATACCATTATCACAAACTTTTGGTTACGGTTTTTGTCTCTTCTCGGCACACATGAGAGTTCAAGGGCTTGAAAAAAAAATTTGAACTTGGCCAAGAAAATGTCAATCAATGAATGGGGGCGGGGTTATATGGAGGTAGACTGGTTCCTGGTCCCTTATTTTGTCTTAAGGACTTCAAATGTAGGGACCAGTTGAATCCTGGAGGAATTCCTCCCGGTGTAAATTAGCCAAGGTCTAACTTAGTCGAACTATGGCTAACAATAGCTCTTGCGCGAACTTGCCCATTGCTACCACTGATGCGCAGTTTGTGTGGTGATGAGTTTAGATTTTCTCTGAATTCAAAAGTTTCTCTATCAATAAAGAGAGGGGCACTGCTTTTCAGTATTTCAGTATTAGTATGAAACCTATGCAATTGAAATGCTTCAAAAATTACCTTCGTGGGGACACTATGGCGATTTTGCCTTCTGGTTAAGGTAAGAGTCAGTTTTTCGATAGCCAAATGTTCAAGTGTCATCCAAGCTTGAGAATGTACACATCATTTTCAAATATAAAAAAAAAATCGTACTGTGCACGCACAGAGGTGATCGAATCAAAGGCTTTTCGTGTCCCCATATTTTATGGGAGCGGGAACCAGTCTAATGCGGAGGGTGTGGTGTGCTACACAAATTGATACAAGCCTTAATTCGTGTTTAAGATAAACATCAGAATTTAAAAAACTCTAGAACCGGAAGCAATCGTCAAATTTGACACCAAAAAAAAAAAATATTTTGGAAGCAAGATTTGCAGAGCAAGTCAATCGTTGGTGAACAAACTAGGCCTCATTTTCTGCAATTGGTGCTGATTTATAAAGTGTGTTGGACTTGTGGTAAAACAACTGATGACAAAAACCACAACAAATAACAGCCCCCCACCCCGAAAAAAAGCAAAATGGAAGAAATTGGAAGATTTGTAATCTAAGCACCAATTATTATTTTTTTTAAACAAAATGACCTTACTCTGAACATAATATTATAAACTTTAATACTGCCAAAACTTAACTGAAGGTTCATGATATATTTTGATGATATTTGAGAATCAATATAAGGTTTTGCCCTTCACCGCAGTATTTAAACACTGTATCCTCAGTGTGTTATCTCTTGAGTGAAGGTGAGACAAAATCACTCGGGTGGGACTCGAACCCACAACCTCCTGCTTTCAGGATACAGGCAGGTATGCATCTGGTAAGGAGTCCAACCCAAGTTATTTTTCTCACTTTCACTCGGGAGGTAACACACTGAGTATACAGTGTTTACACATCGTTGAAGGGCAAAACCTAATATTGATTTACATCACCCCGACGCAAAATCCATCTTATGAATAGTTTCCTTGCGGTACCCGCTGCTACATCAGATTCGAACCGGACAACCGATCAGGTTAGCTCGGTGGTCGAGTGGTAAGACATCTTCACTAGAAAGTAGAAGGTCTTTGGCTCGAGTCCCATCTGAGTGATTTTTTTTCAACTTTCACTCAGGAGGTAACACACTGAGTGTACAGTGTTTACACGTCGGTGAAGGGCAAAACCTAATATTGATTTACATCAGCCCGACGCAAATTCCATCTTATGAATAAGATATTTGTGCACGTAAGCTACACATGATTCCTAGTAAGGGAGTTTTAATGTCAAGTATTCATGCCTGAAAACCAATCCAAAATCTTTTGATTCCTGTTTCTGAATTTATCCTGAGTATTTTTTTTAAATGGGGCAAGATGTACAAATGTACCAAGTCCAGCAAGCACTTCAGTTTTTCGAAACTATATTTCAGTATGTTAGGTCCTAAAAATCCTTAATAAATAAAGACCAAAAACTGCCATGTTGCCACAAATGTTTTCTTGATGTTCCGAATTGAAAAAAAGATGTCACTCGTTTTCGTAAGTTCTGTAATAACAGAGCAAATGTCATTTAGTAAAACACTATCGAGCAAAAACTCTAATCCAGAAAGCCACAATTTCGCATACAGTTTACTGTAAGATTTTGTACAGATTTTGTGACCAAAAACACAACAGATAACACCATAAATATACCTCGGTAAAAGGTAACATTCGATTTGATTTTTAAATGTCGTTTAGAAGACAATTTAAATCTGTAAATCCGGCAAACGGGAATTGAGGCTCCCGTCACCTGACACTTGGAAATCTGTCATGTGACCCAGCTTTCAGACTGCTGATTGGCTGTTTGTTACATCACATGACAAGCACTTTGGTAGCTGATTGGCTAAAGGCGTGTGAGCTGCTGCCAGAGGCTAGCAGGCACGATACTCTCGATCTTCTCCAGTAAGAAGCTGAAGGGAGCAGACAGAGAAGACAGGAACTACAAACAGAAAACGACAAAAATCAAATTTTTGAAAAATAATTTCAGATTAGATGTGAGGCCAGATTTGCCTGACTCTGTAATAACGATCAAGAGCCAACCAGTGTCTGGTTCTGGTTTATGTTGAGTCGGTAAAATTCACTCAAGAATTTCACATCAACTTCTGACCTTAAGACTCGCAAGGAGTGGATGTGGAGATGAGCTTAGTAAATTGCTTTAGCTGTCCATGAAGTGCTTGGATGTACTATCCTTGAATGCAAGCAGTGTCCTAGAGTCGACGACATTGGCTGGCAACTTGTTCCATTCTGCAATGGTTCGCAGGAAGTCCTTCTTGAAATGTTTTTCAATGTGTTTCATGTCCCCTGATAAGTTATCCTGAACCAACATTGTCGCTTACTCATTGATGCTTTACCTGTAAATATTCTTTACAAGTAAATATACATTTAGCGTGTGCAGGTACATGCATCAATCACTCACATAATTTTTGTGGAAAGGATGACTTGTCACCAGTACCATCCAATAGGCGGTGGGTGCGAGTGACACCCCCTACACCTTCCAAAACCCCCTACACCTTCCAAACCCCCCCCCCCCTTCATCCCATCCTGATTTTCAGTACTTCAGAGCTAAATGGCTTGCAACTTTCTTTCCAGAGGTACATTTTCTCATAAAAAAAATTAACAAATTGGGAATGACACCCCCCTACCCCTTTCACCGCCCCCAACTCCCCTCAACCCATCCTGATTTTGTATTGATGTCAAACTGCTTCATTGCTAATTTGTTTGCAACTTTGCCTTTTTCGTTATTATGCTAATGCAAACTTCCATATTCATAAGCAAAAGTGTGATGTAATTTCAGACAGAAACCTTAATGTCACAGCTACTTCAGCACTAAAAAACACCCAGAATTTTGGATATTTTGCCGCCGTAAATTTTCTTTTCTTTGGCGATTCGTTGATGTTTCAGTAGATGACATTATAATGCCAGTGAGCATACTTTTCTCACAACTGTTTTCAGTGAGCAAATTTTGGGCTCACATTTCAAACGGAAAACTCCTAAACTGGACAGCGTCTTCATGGAATGACAGCACAGCAACAGCGCCCTCTTTTGTCGGGAAAAGCATGGACATTATTAAATGTTTAAAAAGTACTCACTTAAATAAATTGAACCAAAAAGAGATGTCAAATCTTTTGCATACATTTAAGACGGGTAGAAATTTGCATTAAGTATGCCCCCCCCCAAGAAAAAATCTATGTAACGGGCCCTTAACCAGTTCGTGCCAGGATAATTTTGACTAGTTCGCTGCAAGCGGGTCGCTCTCAGATATTCCCTGCCACGCTCCCTGTGTGCTTATCCCTCATCCATTCCGAATACCGCAAAACTTTTACGTGTATACACGTCATCCGGCGCGAACTGGTTAAGGCCAAAAAAAAAAAGTCTCCGGTTTCTGGTATCAGGCATGCAACTGGGAAATCACCAAAAAAGAGGAAATTCAAATTTTTCCCAGACTTTGTACAGTGTTTTTCTATTTTCAATGGCACACATGGGAAGTAAAAAAAGAGGAAATCAGCTGATCCAAGGAAAAGTTGCATGCCTGTGGTATGCGCGCGCGTCGCCGTAGCCATGCGCGTCGGCAAAATGAAAAAGGTTTTTTTTCAATACAAGATGATGTCTCAAAACCGCCAAACTCACTGGTTTGACTGGAATCCTGCTGCTGCACAATTTTAACGTGTTTTTAGATGGGGTTATGATCGAGAATAAGCTTTATGTGGCCTCTCTGGACTCCCATATATTTGCACTAAGTTTAGTCGGGCACCATTTGCAGTCATCAGCCGACATGTGAAGCCAAAAAAAAAAAAAAAAAAAAACAGGTAAAAAAAAAAAAAAAGCCGCGTCGCCGCACCACTTTTGGGGCAAGCTCCATACCAGAAACCGGAGACTTTTTTTTTTTTGGCCTAAACCCTTTGGTTGATGGGTTTTGAGACTTACTGCTTTGGCAATGACTCCCATTGGCTCAGGAAACTGGTGAGTCAGCAGAGCCAGCAGCGCGGTGAACGTACAGAGGCCCGCTGTGAACAGGATGAAGAACGGAAGTTCTTTCTTTGGGTAGACTGACACCTCGTGGAAGGCTGTAGGATGGAGAAAGTTCCAGCGGGGTAAAATGAAATGTGCCACTGCCTTGAAGTTTTCATTAGCTGGGAAAACAACCTCTAACATGTTAAGCCCATTTCATAATTAATGTGAATTTGAAAGCGAAGCGAGTTTGTTAGGGTAACAGCGTACGTCACAATGAAACATATATTATTGACGTCATGAAATTCGCTTCGCTTTCGCATTTGCCTGAAATAATGATCAAGCCTTTGGGGGAGTGTGGCCCAGTGGATAGGGCTAATGACTCATGATCAGAGGGTCAGGGGTTCGAATCCAGCTGCTGCCCATATGTCGTGTCTTTGGGCAAGCCACTTCACCCCCACTTGCTTCTCTCCACCCAGGAGTATAAATGGGTACCAGCATTAGCTAGGGAGTAACCTGCGAAGGACAAGCATCCCACCCAGGGGAAAAAAGAAATATTCTCAGTCATTTCATGCTACTGAAACTTGTATGAACGTTAAAAGTAACACTCCCAGATCTTTCAGAAACCACCCACAGGTGTTAGAGTATCCAGCCACTATTAATTTACGCAGAGCTCGATGCCTCTGAAAAGTTTCAAGTACAAAAAATATGCTATTGGTGAGATGCACACTGGAGCGTTCAGGAAGATTCAGAATGATTTGAAAAAAATTAATTTAATTTCCTGGGGATTGAACCCTTCAGCCCTTGTAACTCCTAACAGTGCAATACAGTTTAACAACAGTGCGATACAGTTTAAAACACGTGCTAAAGGTTTAAAGTTTCAAGAGAAAGACGTACATGGTAGGAGCTCCCTGTCCACGCTCTCCGTGCAGCTGGGGTAGGGGTAGAACAGATGACCCTTCTCCAGCGGGCTGGGGATCATGCGGAACGTGCCCTCCCACGTGCAGTGGAGAAGCTGAAGGGCGCCCTCTACCCTCTTCCAGTGCGGCAGGTGGAAGAAGGTGTAGGCGATGGCCTCGCTGTCGCCCCGCTTCAGGATGTGCTCCGGGGGAGAATGAAGCTCTTGATCTCCAGCAGATACTGCACAAGAGAACAGTTGAAGATTTTCAAAGTGTTGAGCACTGTGGTCCGATAATTAGGTTGTTCAACCCATGTGCTGTGATACGATGTACGTGGGTTCACACTCTGACAGAGAACATGGTGCTTGTGTTCTTGGGCAAGACACTTTACTACAATTGCCTCTCTCCACCCAGGAGTATTAATCCGCGCTTGTGCGGGTTGAGAACAGAATGCGTTGACCATGAGCCGCCACAGAAAAATGGTCTCATGGCCTGATGAATCGGGAAAATAATTAAGGCATTGTATCCTTTGGGAAAGGAGCTTTATGCCAATAATCATTAATATTATTCAAGCTTTATATTCAATTCTTATTTCTTGAAGTTTGGCTTTGAACACTTCCTTACTAAAGTTTTAAGTCTATAAACTTTAGCCTGTGCCTCTGTCAAACTGGAATCATCACACCAAAATGTCACCACCCAAAAAAATATAAAAATTAAAAAAAAAAAAAAACCCCTAGAGACAGAGAAAATGTAATTTCATTTAATTTTGAACTTAGCCATCATTGCGCACAATTTACTTACAATCCCAAAAAAGTTTTCTTTTTTCCCCCCAAACATCTGTACTCTTTCCGATTTAATTAGAGAAAAAGCAGCGCAAAGTTAACAAGTTGATCTGATCAAAGTGAATTTGTTAGGGTGGAACAGAAGCCAATATGACGCTACAATTATTGACATCATGAGATTCAATACGGCATTGCCAAAAATTCAAATTACCACAATACCACCGCATAGAAAATCACTTTTCCAATTTGCCTGCAAAGTTTGAAAAATGAGAGACCGGGAATCTGCCTGAAAGACAATACCTTAACCCTCCTGTTATCTTGGCGGTCGCAGAAAGTCCAGAAAAAATCAACCCTCTTCCTCTGCCATCCCTTTTTACACAGGCTAGGTACCAACAGTCAGATCGTATTTCAAGCAAGCACTGTGACTAGTCAAATTCAGTCGACAAACAAAAACAGGCAAGTGGTAGGCACAACTGGGATATTAATCACCTGTAGTCAAAGCATGCATACCGGTAGCTGTATCAAGTTATTTTGACTGCAAGGACAACTTGGCACAGAATGTGTGTTTGCATCATCATCGTCGGTCTTGAGGCCGTTGTCCAGTCTGTTCTGGGTTGGCCTGCTTTCTCCCTATGGCTCCTCTCCACTTGGCCCTGTCCGTCCCGTCCCTTGCATTGACTCCAAGCAGACGCATGTCATCTGTCACAGAGCTCTGCCACGTCTTGCGCGGTCGGCAAACGGGTGTGGGCCCTCCCACGACTATGTTGGTACACCTCTTGACCCATCTTCCTTCCTCTCCACGTGACCATACCACTTCAGCCTATGCCTCCTCAACACGATACCGATCCCCTCCACTCCCACTCTCCTCCTCAGCTCCTCACTTGACAGCCTGTCAGCCAGAGACACCCCACACATCCACCTGATCATTCTCATCTCCGCTCGTTCCAACTGCTGAACGTGCCCCATCCTAGTGGGCCACGTCTCACAGCCGTACAGCATGCCGCTCCAGACACAGGCAGTATATACTTGACCCTTCATCTTCAGGGGCGGTGCCTTAGAAGTTAAAAATAGGGCCAGCTCCCTGAACTGCATAGGAGGGTTAATAGCAAACTTCCAGTCAAGTCTTGCTATCTTACCTTTGGTACATGAGGATTGAACTCCACTGCTCTGTGTATGGCTTCGACTGCGTTCATTTCAGCTGTGGTCAGTCCTCGTTTGGAAGCAACCTCAGGCGAAAATCTTGATGAGGGGAAAAAAAAGTTTATATTCCGTCATTTAACCCGTTGGATTGTGCGCTTGGAAGCAATTATTTAAATAAAACAAGATATCAGGTAGTGTTGCCAACGCCGTTAGCTAGTACAGCGTGTGCCAATATACAGGCATGCACCAAGGAAACTCAAAACCTCACAAGACTTTGAACAGTATTTTCCAATTTTTTATACCATTCATGAGAAATATAAAAAAAACGAGGAAATCAGCGGATCTGAGAAAACGTTGCATGCCTGAAACTGGAAAGGAAACGGGAAACTCATCATGTTTGGGTTGTGCATGATTCCATGACTTTCTCTCGACTCTCTTCTTGGAATATCAACTTTCCAGGACTCCTTGTAAAAACAACATTACATGACCAGTCCAGAGCTTTCCAGGAGAGTTTTGAATTTTAGGATTTGTCCATGACCATAGAAACCCTGCCTCTACAACTTTCAAATTTCGGTGAAACTGTTTGAAAATGCACCCATCCAGTTAATTTGCTCTGTATACAAGGGCGGATACAAGGGAGAGGGGGAGGCAACAGGGGGCTATGCCCCCCCCCCCAAAAAAAACCGAACCCATTTTTTTTATTTTTAAGTGACCTCGCAATAAAGGCAGGCACTGCGTACACCACCATCTTTTCCTTAAAATTGGTCAAAGTGATCAGAAATTGCCTCAGATCGCACCACAGAGCATCTAGAATAAAAAAAAACAAATCGGTATCCCACTCCCTAATTTTTTGGACCCACTATTTGGGGGGACCAAACTTTTTGTTGGCCCCCCAAAATTGTGTTCTGGATCCGCCCTTGTCTATATAATGTGGTGCGAAATTCCATCCCACACTCACTTGTCGCACACCGCCCTGGCCTTGAGCAAGGCCGCCGTGTAGCATATGGTGGCCGACTTGGGCAGGCTGATGTCGTCGTACTTGGCCAGCAAGGCCTGCACGTCTGCGTAGTACTGCATCTCCAGCAGGGCCTCAATCAGATTCTCATGAATCTGAAACATGCTGACCACTGGAAACTCTTTGATTAACTGTAAAAAAGAAAGGAAAATATTGAACACTGTGAAGAGAAAAGGCTTGTTTCATTAACCCTAACTCCCCAGGGTGATTTACTAGGAGCCTTCCTCATCCTTGCAAATCCCAACACCGTATGGTAAACTGTGCACAAACAGTTGAACTCTGTTTATTTGTGGTATGCCTTATCCCACGTAAAGCGCAGTCAGTTTACTAGTGCAGTACTCATCCTAACAGATTCCAACAAATCCTGGTTTTGGAGTTTGGCTGGGTGGGGATCGTTGGGGTCAACGCTCACTTTTCCATATCCTCCTGTAGAACCTAATTTCATGGCACTGCTACAATGTTAACTCTTTCAGTGCCCGCGAAATTTGAAAAGTTTAACCCTAAAGTGCCCAACTTTGAGCGTTTTTGTTAATTGTTCGAAATTGTGTAAAAAAAAAAGTAATAAGTTTTACTCACTAAATTTGTTGTTGTTGCTCTCTGGTATATCCTTGATATATTGGAAAGTCAAAAGTAGTCACAAACATAGTGATACACCCTGAAACACAGGCCTGAACACAGGGGAATTCCGCACTTTTTGCAGAAAATACGAGATTTAGTGCTGCGCCCTCTCGCAAGAACTCGAATGAAAAAAATAAATACAGGTCGTACATGCATGAAAATGGTACCATTAGAAAGAGCGAGAGCGCCCCCTTTTGATAACATATTTACTCTACCTCGTACATGTACGAGGTTTGGCAATTTTAAGTACGAACATTACCTCGTACATGTACGAGGTTGGCGCTTTTGTACTAACAAATATACCTCGTACATTAGTTTGGCACTGAAAGAGTTAAGAACAAAATTTATGATCGCAGAGCCTACCTCCTCCATTTCACTGAGACTGTCAGCAGAACAGAAGAAACCACAGACCAAAAAATGCTTAAATCTGTGGCGTTACAATTCAAATCTGTGGGTATCCGCGACAATTAGCATGTCCATGCTGTGAATAGCGCAACATGCTGATATGGTTTTGATACACTTTTTGTGATAAAACTGTTGAGAAGTGCCATGAAATTGGTTCCAAGGCATTTTCTTTGCACGATTGAAAAATTCAATATTGGGTTGTCCGGAGTGATTGTGTGAAAAAATTCCCAAAGCACTTGGGTGGGACTCGAACAACGATCTCCTGCTTACTAGTGCTTACCACTTGACCACCGAGCTTGCCAGGATCAGCTGGCTGGTTCGAACACTGAGTAAACAGTGTTTATAGAAATACTTGTGTGACGGGCAAAACCCAACATTGAACTGACATCATGTGACGCAAATTCCATCTTATGAATAGTTTTGGTTGCAGTACCGTTTTCCAGAATCCAGTATTTACCCAACTGTATACGTATTGAAGTTGGAAAAACACAAACTTACATCACGCATTATCTTGACTGCTTCTTTCGTGCGGCCAAGTTTGCGCATACACATCGCAAGGCGACGCTTGTTGTACACCAAGATGTTCAAATCTCGTCCTGGATAACAAAAAAACAAAGTAACAACTAGTGATTTAGAAGGTTAGACTCGGACATTTATATTAACCCTAACTCCCTTGCATGATTTACTAGGAACCATACCCATCCTGGCAAATTCCAACACCATGTGGGAAACTGCACACACGTATTTCTGACTTTGATTCTGGAGGTGTGCCAACCCAATGTAAAAGATTGTCAGTTTAGGGGTACTGTACCCATCCAGACAGATTCCTTCATGTACAAAACATGCCGTTGGGGTTTGATGGGTTGAGTTCTGGTAGGGCTAATAAATGTCCTTTCCTTTGAAAAAAGTTCTAATCAATCAGATCGAAACTTCAGCCCTGAAAACATTTTCATCTCTGCTTCAAATACTAGAGTTTCTGTCCAGTCCTATAGGAAAATAAATAAAACTATCATCTGCTGCTATATCAACATACTTCCCACATCAGGATTCACTCACTGTGTATTTTCTCATGCGTAGGGCTGTGGTGTTGCAGCGCCTGGCTGCGCTTGAAGTTGCAGTCGGCCGATTTGAGGGCTTGACGAAACAAGCGCTCGGCCTCGGCTATCGTAGTGGATTCCTCCTCAGCAAGGAGTATCAAGGCGGCTGCACAACTGGTATTAGAAAAATAAGGAGCATGACATTTCAAATTGCAACTTCTTGTAGATGTATTTATGTCTTGTTGTTTGCCAGTATAGAAAACATTACGCTGGGGAAATTCCATGTAATGTTTTAATTGATTGCCTTTCTGTCCAGGGGTCACGATTCTATTCCTAACCGGCTTCAAATTTACCCGGCAAGAAAACTTGGCAAAAAAACATTGGGGAAAAAACTCCACAATTTCACTTAAAATGAACTACATACATGTACATGTAATATGGACTGCGGTACTTGTATAGTGCTGATTCATTAAAACCCTAACCTTCCAAAATCCTCCAAAATCCTCTATGCAAAATGGAAGATTTTACTGGATTGAGGCTACATGGCAAAAGTGTGTGGCTGATTTCGGAGGACGCACTGTGTCAAGGTCTTAGGCCGGACCTTGTGTTGTTTACAGACATGTACATTTTGTATGCTCAGCTTTGCATAAATTTAGGCCTATGTAAATTATACTTGAAATCTTCCGTACTGCTATTTTGCAGAATTGAGGCAGTGGTCACCCTTCCAAGGACCATATTCAAGAAATAACAGAGCATTTTGCAGGATTGAGGCTGTATGCAATTTTTACATGGAGGCAGTTGGAGGATTTTGCAGAATTGAGGTTACATCCTAGCAAAAATGCCTAGGGAGTTAGGGTTAAAGAGTGAAATCTCTCTCATACATGTGTAAACATGACGGCTTTCTGAAATAACTTTGTTTTGCAGTGTCTGGAATCTATTCATGGGGAACTGAAATTGACTAAAGCAGGGAACTGACTCCTCCAGGAAGTGGATTCATGAATCCGATAACAAGTTTGGAATAGACTTGCACATGTACCGGCATGCTGAGCTCAGTACTGGTTCATTTCTCTTTTACAAAAATGCTGCATGTTTGTCCAATGTCCCAACTCAGTTTAACTTGTTAAAGGTTGGACGTTCAATCAAGGACGTTCGATCGAGGAAGTTCGTGTGTAATGTTCCAGTCTTCCAGATGCAATAAAAATTGACCGGCAAACAAAACAAAAATGTCTGCTAGTTTTCTTTTCAAACAGCCTGACAAATGGTTGACATTTAAAATTTAAAGTCGGTAACGGTTGTGACAACATTTGAATTCATTCAACATACAGAAAATACTGTTTAAACCAATGTTTTTTTTTAATAAATATATATTTCTCATTACCCTATGCTAATTAGTCTAAGGTCTCGGTCTCGGCCATAAGGTCTTGGTCTTGGTCTCTGCTTTGGACCCTAAGGTCTCGGTCTCGGTCTCTCTCGGTCTACGTATTATCAGTGGATCAAGTTACATTCACATCCGACAATCCAAGGGTCTCTTTTTTTTCTCTACAGTAACTCTGGACAGAAAGCTTGTGCCATAATCACAGTCCAGTGCATGTAAATCTGAACTATATAGGTTTTTTATCTCCCTTGGGAAATTAATTTTGTTTCAAACACATCACAGCAGAAATTCTCTTGGGAACAGTTTGAAGCCCAACTTAGCTGCAATCGAAGCTACCGGTACGTAAACGCACATGCACATGCACATGTACAAATGTATGTACTGTATATGAAACAGAAAAAGCAGACGCAAGTTATACACAAACATGTACAACATTACATGTATACAGTACAGTACATGTGCAGTATGCTTAAATTTCGTTTACAGCTTATGCTTTTTAATAAATTTATGTACCAGAACATGTAAATTAACATTGACACTAGTGTCTTCTTTGCCCCAAATAACCATGCCTCTACAGAACATCTTGTTCAGATCTAAAAACGTAAGGCCCTCTTATTTTTTTTTATTTGTATATTTCAGGTCAATCCAGTCAGTGAGCAGTTTTGCAGCAATTGATTTCATTTTTCACAATTTCTGTTTGGTTAACTCGGGACTGAGCCCCTTTTCAACATGCCAACAATGACAGTTGGAGCAGGTCTGCATTCAGGTTATTCATCCCCTCGATCGCTTTTTTATTCAATCTTAATAACACCTGACAATGTCCCCGATACAGGACGCAGCACAAAAAGGCCCCTGGCACAAAACTGCCAGATCTTGTTTTCTGAGTTTGCGAACAGGATATTTATACGACTTGATAGGATACCCCATGTGGATACAACAGTATGCAAAACCCCCTCAAATAACTTCTTGTCTTGTAAAAAAAAATCAAGCCCTTTTCTAGGAGTACATTAGGGCAGTAAAGGTAGTTTTATATTGATTGCAATGAAACTTTACTTTCCATGTCGGGTGCAAATGTTGCTCTCTTAAAAATAAGAATGGAGGATTTGGAAGAGTTGACAAGGGTTTCCAGCCAAAAAAAAAAAAAGTGGACAGTTAATTACATGTACATGTAAGTTCTGTCACGGATGCAACCTCTTAATCCATTGCTTACAGTACCAGGGTATCACCCTAAACTACTGCCCTGCCAGTAAGTGTTACTCCCTGTACTGCCCTGAACTGCCCTGTCTGTTACTCCCTGCGCCGTCCTAAACTGCCCTGACTGTTACTCCCTGCACCGCCCTTCCGATTACTCCCTGCACCGCCCTAAAACGTCCTGCGTGTTACTCCCTGCACCGCCCCAAACCACCCTGCCTGTTACTTTCTGTGCCGCCCTAAACTGCCCTGCCTGATTCTCCCTGCACTGCCCTAAACCGCCCTGCCTATTACTCCCTGTGCCACCCTAAACTGCCCTGCCTGTTACTCCCTGCACCGCCCTAAACTGCCCAGCCTGCTACTCCCTTTACCTTGTACTCCGTGTACCCAGAACTAGGAAACTAGTTCACCTTGGGAACTAGTGCACCTCGGGAACTAGTTTGCCAACTTCCAATACCCTGGGGAGTTAACATCGACTATCCACAAACCTTGTACTTACTCTGGGGATTTCTCCAACGCTTCATGGGCTGCTTTTATTCGATTCTGTGGGTTCCTCTCCCGCCATGCACGAAGCATAACTGCAGTAAAAAAGGAGACATAACTTGAGGCTCAGTTACTTACTTGGCATTTATTGCAAAGGCGGCATCACATCAAAAAAAAATACAAGCAGGCTGAGTAACTACTTAGCAATTCGAATGTGCATCTACCATGTGCACATGTACATGTGTTGCTTGTACTGATGGCACACATGCACATTTACCCCGATCAACACATTTACGTAGCATTTACCAGGGTTTGACCTTAGCGGTAGTCCGCTCACCAAATGCCAGTAAAAACAGCGGCAAATTGGTCAAAACCACTCCGTAAAGTAGTTCGGCTGGCTAGTCCAAATTGTTATTGTAAATAAATCAGGCATGGAACATTTCCGTGTATCCGCAGATTTCCATGTTTTAAAAAAAAACGGTCTTAAAAAAAAAAAATTTTTAAAAAAAGTATTACGCAGAGTTTAATTAATTTATTAATTAATAAATATTTATTTAATTTGTCCATAATGTTAATCAATATGTACCAGTATCTGCTTTTCTTCCCTGTTATTACATGTACCGGTAGATCTGTTTGTTAAAAACACTGACATTCTGTTGCATGCATGTAAAAAAACAGAAGGATTGCAGACTAGTGAAAAGGCCTGCTGACTATTTAACTCTAGTCAGGTTCACTAGTCCGTCTGGCTAGCGAAAAAAGTGTGAAGGGCGAACCCTGGCATTTACCGGAACATGTAGCGTCAAACCTGTGACAGTATAAGAGCTTGGTTTAAAGTGTACAATGTACATGAATGTGATTACATTGTGATTCACAACGGTACATGTACATACCCCGTACATGTACACAAAGCCTAAGCTTCAACGGGTTCAAAGAAGATACTGTACAACCTACCGGTATATACTGTACATGTACATGTGCAACTTACAAAAATGTATTTGTGAATTACATGTACATGTACATGTATGTCATGTATGTACAGTATTACATTCATACAAAATTCATACATTTGTATGAATACATGTTTAATAATTAATGCAATAACAGCGTTTAAATAGTCTATTTGCTTCACATTGACTGACTAGACTGCAGAAGATGCATCTAGGTCCTAGATTGTAAAAAGAGCTGCTTGACTTTGTAACCTTAGACTTGGCAACATTGGGAAGGTTACTACCAGGCATGCAACTGTACATTCACACAAAAAAGAGGAAATTCCAAAATTCAGAAGACTTTGTACAGTGTTTTTCTATTTTGATTGAATGAGAGAAATGGGAATAAAAAAAAAGAGGAAATCAGCTGATCCGAGGAATAGTTGCATGCCTGTACAAAGTATTCAGTCATCCAACATGTCCAATGTCAAAATCTGGTTTTTGAAATTTTCGACTGAAAAGCCTGATTTTATCTGACACTTATTTGTGAAACCCAAAACTACAATGATGTACATGTGCATGCAGTTACGTGTGCATGCATGCAAGTTGAAATTTACGGTACCCGGTACATTATATATCATGAACATGTGTACATGTACACGGACATACATGTAATACAGTACATGAACACATACATGTACATGTACATGTACATGCAACATGAAAAGCATGTTAGCCATAGGATGTACATGTACCTAAAAAATCAATAATGCAAACATACAAACTTGCTGACAATAATTTTTGACACTCTGGTTTACATTGTACTTTGTAGTAGTGGGAGAAATTGGAGATTTCCAAATCCGGTTAAAAAATCCTAATTTGTTTCCAACCCAATAACGGTTATTTCACTGGAAGTTCCCTCCAGCTCACAGTCATACCAACAAAAAGTGACGAGTGAGGTGTCGCATGAAATGCCCTCCCTATGACTGGGTATAGATTGCAGGATGGAATGACCACTGGGCCTTTAAAAAAAAATACACTTCAGAGCTGTAATGTTGAAAAAAATTGGATGGGAACTCTCTGATAAGTCAACTGGGCAGGCTATTCATACCAAGAAGACCATTATTCCTTGTTTTCTTTAGCATATGTATCACACAAAAAAAGAAGGCTTAATTTCTTTAAAAAGTTGGTTCCGAAAAATTGAAACGGAATACTTGAATTCAAACCAAATTTAAAAAATCCGGATTTAAATCCCATCGTTACTTGGTTCTGGTTTCCCAGACCCATTGCGTTCAATTTTCTCTCCCAAAAATAGATTAATTATAAAAAGAGTGTGCATAATTTGCACTTGAATATTATCCAACGACATGCATACGTGTACATGTACGTGTAAATGTAAGTAGGCCTACATGAAAAGGAATATTTACATATGTCCCATTTTTTTTCCATGACAGTATGCTTTTTATTAAAGGCTTTGGCCAAATTGATCCATGATGAATTCAATGGATTTGGAACTTTGTGTACAAGCACACTGTTCATGTACATCTACATATACATTGTACATGTACGTGCACATCAGCAGCAAGGACAACACGAATTTGATTTTAAGAGTAGGTGACATTGTTAAATGGTTCCTGCATTGAACAAATGACAGGCTAAGGGGGCCCATTAACGTCTAATGATGAGTGACCATGTCTGGCTTTGGCCTTGCCTGGTCTATTAAGATGTCAGCATCATTCAGATGTCACCTTATCTAACAGACTACATGTACAATGTACATGTACATGTACATGTATGTGATGGAAATTCTACACCCATCTGTACACAAAACAGGCAACGCTTTCTGGCCCGCCTGGCCCGTCACGTCAGTGCCCAACATGAGAATGAAATCAGATGAGAGTGGGTTCAAAATGTCTATAATAAAACTTTACATTGTAAATCTGTTTGAGTGATTGAACGTGTGAAATATTTTGGAATCCAAAGCATATCGGTTATCAGAAAATGTGCTCAACAAGGGATAGGGGATGGGGGATTTGGGTCTAGGGAGGGTACTATGTACCGAAAGAAGCTCTTCTCCCTGAACCCTGCCAGTACAATGTCTTAAAGGGCCATGAAATGATTTTCTTCTCAGCAACATATTTTGTGCAACTTTCTACACCTCTAAAATATATAAAAACTATGACATCCCCTTTTGGTTAATTTTGTTGAAAAGTGCACTTCTTTAAACATTAAAACATTTTTCATGCTTTTCTAGACAATGGGAGAGGGGGCGCTGTTGCTGTGATGTCATTTCAGGAAGACACTTTTCAGTTTAGGGGTTTTCTGTCAAAATTGTGAGCCCCACAATATGCTCATCAAAAACATCTGTGAGAAACGTTTGCTCATTGGCTTACTGCCAAGAACTGACACAACAACGAATCACCACAGAAAAGAAAATGTACAACAGCAAAATATCCAAAGTTCTGGCAACTTTTAGTGCAGAAGTACCGGTAACTATAACATTGAGGTTTCTAGCTGAAATGATATCACACTTTTGCTCATGAAAATGGAAATTTGCATTAGCACAAAAAAAAGGCACCAAAATACCTTTAAAAATGGCAAAACAAAAATTTATAATAAAGCTTAATAGGACACAAAGGTACATTTTCAAGGATTGCATTAAAAACATTATATTGCATGGGCCTAAGAAAATTCAAACATGGTTGATTGATCAAACTTCTTCTTTTTTTTTACTTGATGATGCAAAAAAATGTGTTTGTATAAAATGGTGGGGAGGAAGAAGCCTAACCTAGGAATTCTACATTAGTACACAGGTTCAAGTTAGAAAAAAACAAACCGGTATAGTCATGATAGTGTACCTGTATGTCAGAAGTCTAAAGTGGTATTAGCAGAATTGTATCTGCACAAAATAAAATGGAACACAGGCATGCAACTGGGAATTTAGAAGACAAAAACCTCAGGAAACTCCAAACCACACAAAACTTTGTACAGTATTTTTCCATTTGTAATGGCATTCATGAAAAGTCCAAAACGAGGAAATCAGTGGACCCAAGGAAAAGTTGCATGCCTGAAAACAGCAATTTGTACCGGTACCTTCATCAGCAGGTCTCTTGGAGTCGGAATCGCAGGTGAACAACGTCTGGTGATCCTGCGCCGATTGGTTCATATCGTAATACGTCAGTGGATCCTTGCCTGTCACCCAGGTGTAGCGATTGTACTCCGAGCCCCGAAATAAATTCAGGGGATTTCGCCAAGTCTTGCATTCTGGAAGGAGAGACAAAAATGTGGAATAGGAAACTGGATGCAATGGAATTAGGAAACTTGATGCGATGGATGCAATGGAATAGGAAGCTTGATGTGATGGAATAGGACACTGGATGGAAAGAGACAGGAAATTGGATGCCAAGTCTTGAATTCTGGGAGGAGAGACAAAATATGAAATGGGAAACTGGATGCAATGGAATGAGAAACTTGATGCGATGGAATAGGAAACTGGTTTGAAAAAAAAATAGGAAATATGATGCCATGGAATAGGAAACTTAAGCCATGGAATAGGAAGTGGTTTGAAAGGAATAGGAAAATGGATGGAAAGGAATAGGAAATTGGATGGAAAGGAATAGGAAATTGGATGGAAAAGAACAGGAAACTACCAGTAGATAGAAAGCAATAGAAATTGGATTTGAGGGGATAGTAAATTGGATGTCATGGAATAAGAACCCTGGATGCGATGGAGAAGGAAACTGGATGGAAGGGAATAGGAAATCAGATGCGATGGAAAAGGACAATTTTTTTCTTCAAATGTCGGTTGATACTACAGATGACGCTTCGATCCCCTTAAAACTCTCAAAAATATCCTTCACGGTGGAGCTTGAGGTGACCTCAGTAAGGCCATACATTGCCATAAGGCTTGAGAATTCTGCACGCACTTACGATCTTGACCGACACGAATATTCTTCGGGAAATTTGGACAGTCAAGAGAAAAATCAGAGAAAATGGTAAGGTCAGACCATGCAGCTACATCGACATCAAGCAGGTGCTGCCAGGCTGGTCATTAGTCTGCTCCCTTACATATTACGCTAATTAAAAAGTGTTTACAGGTTCCAGATACACGACCATCGCTCCCTCAGTCTGGCTTCCAGACGCACCATGCCAAAATTACAACATCCTCTGCAAATGGTGCCCGACTCAATTCAGTAAGGCCATACATTGCCATAAGGCTTGAGAATTCTGCACGCACTTACGATCTTGACCGACACGAATATTCTTCGGGAAATTTGGACAGTCAAGAGAAAAATCAGAGAAAATGGTAAGGTCAGACCATGCAGCTACATCGACATCAAGCAGGTGCTGCCAGGCTGGTCATTAGTCTGCTCCCTTACATATTACGCTAATTAAAAAGTGTTTACAGGTTCCAGATACACGACCATCGCTCCCTCAGTCTGGCTTCCAGACGCACCATGCCAAAATTACAACATCCTCTGCAAATGGTGCCCGACTCAATTTAGTGCCAAATATATATGGGATCCCAGAGAGGCCACATAAAGCTTATACTCGATTGTAACCCCATTTAAACACATTAAAATTATGTAGCAGCAGGAATCAAGGCAAACCAGTGAGTTTGGTGGTTTTGAGACATCATCTTACATGTACATTGACATTTTGTTTTTTAAAATTTTGCCGACACGCACGGCTACAGTGATGCGCACGAAGACCAGAAAACGGAGACTTTTTGTTTTTGGCTACATGTAAAATAAGTACGCACGATTCATTTTATTTGGAAAGTTTACAAAACAATGCCGTCTTCTGCGTAAACGCCAGATGCCGTCGGCAATGCGTCCAAACGTCCCTCGCAGTGGTCCTTCCCAACTCTCCCTTTGTAACCGTTGAGGGTGTACTTGTGAACTGAGTCTATACAATGAGATGACTCCTTAGCGGCTCTTCAAGACTGGTCCCTATCTATTACCTGGCGGTGACTGCTGGTTGGTGTTTCCACTCCCGCTGTTGTCTGACCCTCCCAGCCACGGTGACAGGTGATTCAAAGAGACCTGCTCGATGAACGATGTGCCGTACTTGCGGAAGTACCACCACTCAAAGATCTGTCCAACACAAAATGGAATTGTAAACCCGGTTTCAAATATGTCCATTTTCTATTGGGAACATTACAATCTTGATCCCCTACCAATGGTTACAACAAATCACAGGTGACAGTTAGTCAATCAATGAAAATAAAGAGGGCACCAGGCTGGTTGTCTGGTACCAGCTAAAACTAACAAAATTGCCAGCTGTATTTGAACCTGATAAATTTTGTATTACCATTTATTTATTTATATATCGCTCATGTTTTTCTTTGACTTTGTGGATTAAACAAGTACGCTACTCAATGAGTTGTTCCACCTTTTTATTAACCCCAGCTCTGGAGGCATTTTTGCTAGGATACAGCCTCAATCCTGCAAAATCCTCTTGCTGCCTCCATGTACAAATTGCATGTACAGCCTCATTCCTGTAAAATCCTCTGTTACTTCTTGAATGTGGTCCTTGGAGGGGTGACCACTGCCTCAATCCTACAAAATCCTCCAGCAATCACTGTCAATACATGTATGTTGAGGCAGAGTCATTGACATCCTAGAGCAGTGCGGAGGATTTTTAGTATAATCTAGGCCTACGGTACCAGTAAGTTTATGCACGGCTGAGCATAAACAACACAAAACCCGGCCCAAGACCTTGAGTCCTTGACACAGTGCATCCTCCAAAATCAGCCACAAACTTTTTCCATAGCCTCCATCCTGCAAAATCCTTCAATTTGCAGAGAGTATTTTGAAGGATTTGGGAAGGTTAGGATTAACAGGGTTGCTTCTACAGCTCAATTCCGTATGAAAGGAGAAAATTGTTCACTTGTTCTACTTCAGCTGATGCTACCGGTATCATTGTAGAACATAAGCAACTTTCTTTCTTTTTTTAAAGTCAGAAGTTTTTTTGCAATTTTTGCAATTTTTTTTTTTTTTTCAAATAAACATACATGTACCGGGGTATAAAATATACATGTAGGCTATTAGTAATTTCAGTCATCCAAAACTGTTCTCCATAGGGTTTCCAGGTTTGAACATGTATCAAAATTGCAGACTGTACCAGTACATTTTGTACATTCAAACGTGTACAACTACTGGCTTGGCGTCAATCCTCATTGGACTCTTGTGTACTTTCCTTTCAATTGTCATTTTCAATTCTCAATCTGTGATTTCTACTCGTCGACCACTTACCAGGATAAGTCCTGAAATGAGTGAAGATGTTCCTGTAAGAGCCACGTAGAATTTGGGGGTCAGGGTGTTCAAGAACATTGCCACTGCAAAACACAAAGAAAAACAACAACAGCAATGAAAGAAACAGCCAACTAAACTCACTTTTCCAAGAATTAAGTTTGTTTGGTTAATACTGAAAGGTTTGGACTTGAAATTTCAAAGAATGACAAAATTCGAAGAAGCACAAACATTGTATGTAAATCTATGATTTGCTTTCAAGGATCATGTCAAATAATAACAGGGCAAAATTACTTCCACATTTATGTACATGTAGGGTCAGACATTTTACTGACTGTCTACATTTGTACCATATTTGTGACCCGCTCTGTAAGTTGCGCTGTGCATCATCGTGTAATTATCGTGTAATTGCCTGCTCAATGTTGAGAAGGTGGACATTTCATCAAAATATGACATCTTTAACACCTACATTGTAAAGTGTCGGTTTCATTCACAGAAATGTTGATTTTGATGAATAAAGAGGGGGGAAACCACAATTTTGAGTGCAACGTGTCCAAATCTACAACAGAGCCAGCTATTTCAAAGCCTGTTTTCGGAGTTGTGTAATTGGAACTCCAAGGAAATAAATTAACAAATAAACGTCAATCGCAAAAAGGGGAGCTGCTATGGAGCTCTATTATATTATTATGTTGTGGGCTTTCCAACCAGGTATAACTAATTTTTTTTTTTTTTGGAGTTGGTCACATATGTCATGGAAAAAAAAAAAAACAAAAAAAACCAGGATATCGTCTATCACGTTTACTCTTGGGCTATTTACAATGTGCATGTGTTTGCTAAAATGAATTTGTCTTTATACCAGAAACAGCTTTTTTGTGTCCAATTTTATCCCAAAATTTCTTTCAGCAACAATTCCAGTCTTGGACATTTCAGTCAAAAACACCTGGATATATATATATTTTTTTTCATACACGACACAAACCATATTCCTCTTGCAAAGGACAACTTGCATAAAAAAATCTACATGTACATGTCTGTGGGGGTTTGGGGCATTTTAAATAGGGCACTCATTTACACATCTGTGAATTTTTGAAAGAAAAGAGGCTGAAAATACCATTCAAACTGCTCCATACTGTCAGCAATACATACATTGTATCGGACTATTTTCCCCAGAGAAAATATCTCCATTATTCCAAAAATCCTCCCTAGATCCCAATTGATCCTCCCTGATGCAGCGCATGGCAGATCATTACCCAGCGAACTTTTTTTTCCCCATTATGTTACCATGGAAACCACACGAGGGAGCCGTTCTGGAGGGGCAGATTCTCATATCGGACGCTGACTCCGTAATGTCCCATAGGCTATCAACAGGCCAACATATGTTAATATTTCACTGGATATTCTGGACTCTAGTCTTAAAAAGGGTTGGCCAGAGCTGGCACAATCACCGGCAATCTGCGTCACAACTCAATTAGGCCTATTAGAGATGGATTTTGTTTGTAAGCGGTTCTCGTCAAGGAAGCGATGAATGGAGTGCAATTACACAGTTTTTCCACTCTGTGGAGTACGACCGTAAATACATGTACATTGTACAACATAAATTTGTTAGGTATGCAACATTTGCAAAAAAAGTACCAAATTATTATGAAATATCGGTACACTGTACCTTACTTGACTGCAAAAGTGAATCATTAAGCCTCCTGTGAAATCATGGCACGTACATGTAGTGTGCTGTCATTTTCATGACAGTGGAGAAAAGTGGAGTTTTTCTATCAATTTCCAACGTTGGTCGACCGATGACCGACCATTGTTGAAAAAGAAAACCAACATTTTTTTCTAATACTGCCTCCAGTTTACCAGATTTAGTTAGTCCACATTTTGCTTGCAAGCCAGCTTCCAGTAGTATACGGTAGTTCCCTGACCTGACGTCTATAAAATGCTCTCTTTCGTCTCAAGTACATGTATATATTGTATGGTCAGCTGACCAAACTACGTACGGTACAAGTACAAGATTTTTTTCTTGGTTTTCCAGCCCCTATGAACACAAAGCTTTAAACAGGTACATGTAAATTATGTACATGTAGTTGCAACTTTATTTTGCTACAAAAACTAACCCCCTGATCCATCCATTTCTGAAACTAAAGCAAAAACAAATGTTGTAACGATAAGTAATGATCTTGAAAAAATACTGCTGCATGGGGTATGTGTACAAGTATGTTTGTACCCCAGTACATGTACACTTGTACATGTATCGGTACTACATGTACATACATGTACATCAAACTTCATATTTTGTAGACATGTATGTATGTACATGTACCGGTACATGTACATGTATGTACATTCTTTAAGAAACTGTACTCCACGATGAACACTCACACAATAATATTGAGATGTAACTGGAAACCTTCAAGACCAAATGTATCATACAGCTGTACATGTACCGTACACGTGTACTTAAACATGTTAAAAAAATAAAACAACATGAAATCTGGTTTGATGACTGCATTACAATGTACATGTATACATACATCAGCTGGACTATAAAAGGCCCTGTATGTACATTGTACCATTAGATATTTTTTGTGTGTACCCGGTATGTGTGCTTGCTCAATCAATTACTATCGCAATCCATTTCTTTCTTTCTTTTAAATAACAAAGACCCTCCCAGCACTCAATTACCTGTAAATCATATTTTTTCACAAAGAAAAATTATTTCTCATGAATTGTCCGGTGAATTTTTAACAGGGACTCTTAGACAAATTAATGATGATCAATGTATTTGATGTGTTCAACTTAATATTGCTGTTTTAACCCACGCACGCTTTACTTTTATGTGCTTTTGTCTACTTTATTATTCATCAATTTTTGTTATTGATAACTCACCTTGAAACCGTGGTCCAGAAATGAACAAATTAAATTACACCCACCTACATGTATTGACTCATAAATCAAATTAATCAATGCGATTTGTCTTCTCACTTGTGACATGGTAATTGGCCTGCAGTGCTAAAATGTATACGTATGTAGCCACACTGGTAAATTTATGGTAATACACAAGATTGCTTTTGCTGTAATTTTCAGAAATGGACGGATTTGGGGAATACTACATTTTTATTTTATAGCAAATATTGTTACACTGACCTGTTTAAAGTTTTGTGTTCATAGATGCTGGAAAAATTGTAGTCTACCCCAGTGGTAGTTCCTTGACCCTACTTCAGACAAGTGGAGCAATTTATAGACGGCGGGATTTGTTAGGTCAGGGAACCGGACCAGCTGGCTTGCACCCATTCACGAATACCGGCATGTACCGGTAACCGATTGGAAACAAATATTTAGACCAACTAAGTTTGGTAAATTATTGAAGAGCAGTATCTGAAAAAATGTCATTTTCTGATGGTCAGCCAAACGTTGTTGGAAATTGATACAAAAATTCCACTTTTCTTGAAAATGACAGCACACCAGGTGCCATGCTTTCACAGGATGCTTGAGACTATTATTATTCACTTACAGTCAAGTACCGGTACTTAAGACCAAAAAAAAAAAGTCTCCGGTTTCTGGTATGCGCGCGAGTCGCCATAGCCATGCGCGTCGGCAAAATGAAAAAGTTTTTTTTCAATGAAAGATGATCATGTCTCAAAACTGCCAAACTCACTGGTTTGACTGGAATCCTGCTGCTGCACAATTTTAACGTGTTTTTAGATTGGGTTATGGTCGAGAATAAGCTTTATGTGGCCTCTCTGGACTCCCATAGTTTAGTCGGGCACCATTTGCAGTCATCAGCCGACATTTGAAGCAAAAAAATCAGGTTAAAAAAAAAAAAGCCGTGTCGCCGCACCACTTTTTGGGCAAGCTCCATACCAGAAACCGGAGACTTTTTTTTTGGGCCTAAGGTATTTCATAATAAGTTGAACATGTTGTTTTTTGATGTTTGGAAATATACAAACATGTAAGAACTACATGTATCAGTGAATGATGCAAAGAAATATATTAATTATAAATTAACTTCCCTTCTCCTCCTGTAATACATTTATGTACATGTTCATGAAGCTGACACAATCTGATTAAATCATAGGGGCCTAACGATCCATTATAAACTAAAACACCCTTTCTGGATGCCAGGAATATTTTTTTAATTAAAAGTCATCCATGTACACCAAGGATGAGATTTGGTGTTAATGAAAAATCGACGAAATAATCAGCAGAGAGTTCAGGCTTGAGGCTCGCCAAGAAACTACCGGTAGGCAGTAGCAATACTGTACTTTGGAATTTGCCTAAAGCCACCCATCTGTAATACCCCTGTACCAGTTTTTTGTTCTCTTGTACGTGTATATAAACTAAGAGGTTAAACAAAAACACCTTACGGTAAAACCTCCAGAATAAGGCCTACTGATTTAAAAAATGTGAATTTTTTTTTTTGATTTTTTTTAATTTTTTTTAAATCCTGAAATCAAGCAGAATCTTTAACTCAGGAACAATTCTGGAAAAGAATGTCCTGAAATAAGGCAAAATCCTAAAAAATCTCACCCCTGATTTAAATTAAGATTTTTACTAACAAGTACATGTAACAGTGTACGTTTAATATCCTTCAGCATGTTCAGTAATCAGTGTTCAGACAAATTTATTCGAAACACGGCTTCTAAATTGTTGAGACGTGTTCACGTAATCATATCCCGAAAAACAAATGTACAAAACATCCGCTACCAAATCCTATGCACGTCATGAAATGAACATTGAAATTCAGATTTTCAAAATAGCAAGTAAACATTTGCAAATTGGAGAAGGGGTGGGGGGGGGGATGTTCTGCAGAAGGACCATCAGCAGTCTGGCTCAGGCTAGTCCATGATTTTTTTTTACCCTCAGCGTCATAATTTATGTCCCACTCTGGCCTTTGGACTGCTAGCCTCTCTCTGTCCCTTGTCTCATATTTCAGTTTAAAGGGGTTGGGGCTTGATGCTTGAGAGAGGCTTGAGAGATGCAAAGAGAGGGGGCTTCCGTGATTGATAATAATAAAAAAAAGGTCCAGATATTCAATTACGTTGGGCAGGAAATATGATGAAAATCTTCATCCAAATCAAAATTGTGGAAT